TTCATTTTGCCATAATACCTTTAAATTTGATAATTTACTTCCCATCAACAATAAATAATGCACAGGTCCAAACAAAATGTCTGTAAATATCTATTAGAATTTACCTATAACGCTCAGTTTATAAAAAGAGTGGGCAGTCTTTTTATATTTTAGGTAGATTTATAGTTTTATCCTGAACATTTTCCAATATCAACTGTTTAACTGTTTGGTCAGACACCATTTTAACTGTCAATCTTGTAAAATATAAAGTCAATTCAGCTCAACTTGACTATGAAAATATTAATTGTAGAAGTCTTGTAGTATATCACGATCTTTATATATAACTTACTCTTTATTCTTTTAATAGAAGATTAAAGGAACTGAGCTGAAGTCCGAATGCCTTAAAATATGTAATTTGAATTTATTACATAGAATAACTGGGGTACTTAAAACGGAAAACGGATGTTTCATTTTTGGTCCATTTTTCAAAATTACAATTATGTAATTATTCTTGAAAAACGTTGTTGAGCGAATTATCTGACATTTTGTACATTAGTCATTAGCACAGACCTACCTCAAATGAAACATAAATCTCGGACAACATTTCCAGTTTAATCAAATAGAAATAACCAGTGGAGTCCCTTTAATGTCCCATCGCTTATATTGGCGTTGCTACAATCAAAATAGCAGGTGAATGATAAGTTATTTATTATGTACATGTTTATCCATCTTTAAAAGCTATTTGTTATGTCTGATTGTACTTCAGACATTGATTCTAGATTTCAGTAAAATGCCATCTTTACAGCAGTGTACTGATGTACAATGTACATGTGATATTATTGTACCTCTAAGGAAAGTGTAACATGATAAACATTACATATACTTGTTTATGTACATGTGTTATTCAAGTTCTTTCATAGCGTTAACTTTTGTATGATGAAGAAGATGCTGTTTCATATAAGATAAATATATCATATTACAAACATTTTTTCATTCCATGAAAACAATAAAACGTTTCACAAAAGTTTCGACTTTGTAAACTAAGATTTAGCTTTAGGCTCTGCAATTTCAAAGATCGTATTTAATGCAAAAATACTTAAATAGATTGGATTCTCCCCTGTCGAAGGCAGGACAATGGTGTAACTTGGGTTTTCACACAAGGAGAAGAGGAACATTTTCATTTTTTTGCCATTTACGGGCTTTCCTTAGGGATTCTATTTCACGCTATTTTGCAACATATTATAACAAAAGAACAATGTATCTATGCTGATTCTATATAAATTTGTCTTCCAGCTTGCGATACTAAGTTCAACGATGCTACCTTTATAAAAGATTTTGAATTTAATGCGTCAAGCGAGACCACTTCGAACAAAGCATCTGAAGTGTTTACCGGTAAGTTACATCTCAAAATCGTTGTTGTTGTTGTTGTTGTTGTTGCTGCTGCTGCTGCTGTTGTTGTTGTTGTTGTTGTTGTCGTCGTCGTCGTCGTCGTCGTCGTTTTAATTAATTTTATTTTATGTTTTCATTTTTTAATATTTTATTTTAGTTCTTAACATACGAAATTCATTTATTTCTTTAACATCTATATTTATTGTTTTTTTTATATTAAATAGTACAGTTGCCTAAAAAACACTTGCATGTAGTCATTATCTGTACTTTATGTTTTTACAAATCAGCTGGCTGGTGTGCGGATCAACAGAATGGTTCAAACATTAACGTTGATTTTAAACAATCATATGGTATAAAGTCCATTCGCGTCAGTGATGTCGGAGGCAAATACTCAAAAAACACATTAGTGAAGTATGTACCTAATGGTGGAGATGTCAACAATTTTGTGAATTTTCCCTTGCAGGCAGGAAAACTGGTAAGTTTAACAGTTTTTCTATAGTAAAGTGGAAAATGCCATGATTACAATTACTATCAAATTAGTTTTAAAAACAACTTAAAAGATCACCATATGAATAAAGACAACTCTTTGATAAACTTTTATTGATTAAATACAACAATGTTACCTCAAAATAACGACGTTTTAGCTATAAAGACCATGTTTCGTATCTCCTTTGTATGGCCTATGTTCACAAGTTTGACAGTAAACGGTATAAGTAAAATAAAATGACGTATGAATATAGTTAAATATTATAAATTATTTAGCATAAATAATATAAATTTAAATATGCTAATTAAAATTGTTTGATGTGATTTTAGATCTTATAAAACGGTATTAAATAATAGGTAGTTTCCGATTTTTGCAATAATTACCTTGTATGTTAATATATTTGTTATTTGTAAGGAAATTTAGGGAAAACCCTTTCTCAGAAGCAAAGATCTTTCTTTTTATTTTTCAAGGAGATTGAGATGTCTCAACCAGGAACTGTACAGAGTGATTTTGGTCAAAGTATTGCAGTCAGGAAACTACAATTCACAATACAGGGTTTCCATGGTGACTCGTGTTTAAAGATTGATTTGATTGGATGTCCAATTGACGGTATGCTGAAAAAGATTATATTTGTTTATTAATTGCCTGTAAAAAATCTACCATTAACATAAAAACAAACTCATTGATATAAAATATATATATGTAGTATACAATTTACAATTCATAATAAAGGTGGGCATTTTCTGTTAAAGGTGTCCTACTATATTTCGAGAAGTATGGATCAATTTATCAAGTATTGACAAAAAACGATCAGTTAGATGGCTAAAATTTATCTTTTTATGTTCAAATCAAAACTGTATTTGGACTAGATGCAGACTAAAATTTGATTTAAAAATTGACAAATTAACGAAACAATTTGCGTGTCTTTTGTTAAGTAGAATTGATTTACATATAGAAATAGGTCATAATTGAGAAATGCATGTAGATTGACAAAACAGACCGAGAGATAACTGTATAATACTTTTTGTTAGAAATCTTTTAAAGCCTGAACTATTTATTCTCGAATACGTAAGAACCATTTTACTGGTCAATATGGACACTTCTGTCTAAATGTCAAAGTAAAAATTACATACTATTGCACCTAATTAATATACTTTGTTGTTTCCCTACAACAGTTATGTTATGATAATATTATGTTTAAATAATTATTTTATGTCACTTGATGCATGTGCCACAATTTATTTGTTTATTTATTATTATTTTTTTCTATTTTGTCAGCCTTAGCCGAATAAATATAGTGTATTGTTAATATAGTATTGAATGTAATTAAAATTCAGATTTATATTAGCTCTTTATATTTACGGTTTCTTGTTAAAGTGAATGCAAATATGTAAAGTAGATGTATATGTATAAATGCATTACCCATTTGTTTGTACTACAATTAGTGTGTACTTCTGTTTCACTGATATACTTTTTTCAAAATAAAATGTACACATCTTATATAAAATTACAGAAGTTTGTCCAGGAGGGTGCTTAAACAACGGAATCTGTGTGATGCAGGATACATGTCAATGTGCTCAAGGATATCTCGGAAACAATTGTGAAATCAAAGGTAATATATATGATTAAATATGATGTTACATATAGAGATAGCTGTTAATAAAAAAACAATCTTCCGAAATACATACGACATACATATATATTGACTTTATATTCAGCCATTGTTGACTTATGTTTGATTTAAATTTGTAATATTTGGTTTGACATATGATTGTGAAAATTTTTTAGAATGTAAGCCGGCAAACCTCGGGCTATCGACTGGTATTATAGGAGCAGACGATATTAAGGTATCGTCACAGGACCATGTATACAACAAAGGAGAACTTGGAAACTGTAAGTTTCATACATCTTTACATTCTTATCAAGAGATTTTTGGTCTTACTAAAATTGACTTTAAATTATTCAAATAAAAGCTTTTTATTTATAAAATAAATCGAGACAAATTGAAATGCGTGTCAGTAAAATTTCAATTATTATTTTATGTTTTATTATTATTTATTATCTGTTGTTTGTTTTTTTGTTGTTTTTTTTTCAATTTATTTTTTATTTTTTTGCAAAGGCGCCAGACGCAGTGATAAACCGGAAAATATTTAATCTAGGTTATTTATACAATCTAATTTTCATATAGAGAAAACAATTACTAAACAACACTTACTAGTAACTGTCTTAGACAACGTTTGCAACTTCCATTTCCATTCTTTTTAAAGCTTGTAAGGTACCCTAGGGATGCTCCCGACACCTTTATACCTATGACGGGGTTAATAAAATTACAATTAAAAAAAATTGTTTGCAACTTCCAAGTACGAGAATTGTGGATATGCCCATTTGCATTCGAAACAGTACCGCTGAATTTTCGCATAGAATCAATGCAATATAAGGTGAAACAGACAAACTAACTGGGACAAAACATAAAACTTCTCAATGCTCACATAAACCGTTGTTTGCATGCGTTTTTGATCCAGTAAATTCGTTTGCTTTCACATTTCCAATGCCAATACCAGATTTTAATTAACAGGTCCTTTCAGGCCGCTATTGGTTTCGGGCTTTACTTGATATCTTGGTAGACAATAATATAAAATTATATAATGCATTGATTTTTTGCCAAAATCTAGTGATATCTTCAGCCGAGGATAAGTTTTGACACTGAAAATGAATGTACCAATAATTTTCGTATACCTGCTCTCAATACAACAAAATCTATTATTTATATTTTTGTTAAGTAAAAATTATAATATATGAATATATCATTGAAAATCAACTAAATTATACATCTTAATGATCATATCATAAATCTTAAAACAATATAACCGCACGCAGTGTCCACGCTCGACTGTTAAAATCAATAACCAAGTTTCATTAATATTCAAGTTAAAAACGTACATAAATCTTACAGTATTGCTTTCATTACGATACCTTTATATTTTTTTAATTATCTATTTGATAAGCAATTTTGGTAAATATTTCAAATTATCGAGGGGCACAATAGATCGAATTTTTCTGCGAAACATACGAGCTAAAGTGATGTGTAGATTGATTTGTAAATTACTTATTCCCCACTTTGTTTTAACTTTTGATTTCATTTTAGCTGAATCAAAGAATGGGTGGTGCCCAGCATTGGGTGATAATCACCCGTGGGTAGAGATTAAACTTGACCAACCTAAAGCTGTAAGTGTGTTTAGTTTCATGTGGTCCAAACAAGGCAATAAGAAAATAATGACAGAATTCGAGTTTCAGTATGTTTCACCCATTGACTCTTCACGGCGATTCAGAACATTTGCCACGGTTAGTATACTAAGATACTTGTTTTTATCATTTTTCGGCAGATTTGTTAAAATATTTTTGTATATTTTTTATAAACATAATTTAATTAATGTTGATGTCGGATGGACGTTTAAGAAACTACTAACTGACAGTCCTTATAAGACATATTTAGTAGAGTAAGTGTTAAATGCTTTAAAGGTTTAGAAATATATATCAAATCATCCCGTTTATACAGGCGACACTGTAAATTATTGTAGAAAAACATGTCAACAAAAACAACAAGTAAAAAGTAGTTTTGTTTTATTTCACTATTTTAGGAAATACCTGCAATGAACAGCACACACATCTTTACTGTAACTACTCAACCTGTTGTAGTAACAGATAATATCCGTATAATACCTTCAAAATGGATTGATAGAGCTTGTTTTAAGTTGGAGGTCCAAGGCTGTGATCCTAAAGGTACAGTGTTTTCATTTAATTCTATCGAGGCTCATAGGGAAGACTGGCCTTGCCTTACTGTGTTACCTCTCTAAGTAAAGTCTTGATTATTATTATTATTATTATTATTATTATTATTATTATTATTATTATTATTATTATTATTATTATATTAAAACAATAAACATCAATCTGAATGATATTTCAGTGTAACTTTATGTAACGTTATGTACAATCTATCTGCTGGATTCGAGTTTGACATACCGATCACTTGACCTACAAAAAATATATTAAAAGTTAGTATAAATAAAAAAAAAACCTCAAAAACAAACAAAATCTTCCGTAGGTTATTGCTTGTAGTGTTCAAAACTTGTCAACGTACTAAAATTAACTTGAAATATTTAATTTATTTTTTCCTTTCAGCTCAATGCCAATTGCAATTATATCATTTTACATTTGTATATGGATTTAAATCATTCTATATTTTTATTTTTAAATGGCTTTGACTTTTTTTGTTTTAGAATTATGTTCCCTAAGTTGGTGCCAGAATGGTGGCACCTGTATGGGTGAAAATATTTGTATTTGTCCACATGGGTTCGTTGGAAATCGATGTGAAAAACCGGGTAAGTATTTTAGCACACATCATCAGGCCCTGTGTCCACTAAGAAAAGATCAGGATCAGGATATAATGATCTTGATTTTATTTTTACTGTTTTTTAAAACTAAAATTGATCGTATTTTGCTATAATTAAATTGTACTTAATCAAAATGTGAAAAATGATTTGCAAAGAAACAAACATATTTTGGGATAAAATCGACGAATAACAAAACAAAATTAGAAATAATCGGATCGTACTAAGGATCAATTTTAGGATCAAGATCAATATTTTGATTCACTGCAAAATGCCTAATTCTTGCAAAAATAACAATAAATTTATTCTAAAATTGCACAAACATGCCATTTCAAGTCCAATTTCATCAAGATATCATTAAATATTTAATCTATGAGGATAAACAATTGAGAATTTTTGAGTTTTCACATTTGATCCTGATCTTGATCCTGATCATTAATTCTTTGTGAACACGGAGCCAGAATGTTCATTTTTTGTGTAACATGTATTTCAAAAGTTGCAAGCATGGCATATTTTTATAATATAAAAAATTCAAAACAGTCTCCGGCATGTAAGCTCATTAATACAAGTAACTACTATATATAAACAGTTTAATACTAGTCACCTTCATGTTACAGCTATTTAAGTTTAAGACATATGTCTGTTACACACTTGTGTGAAATCCTTTCAATATACCCTGGTGTTTCATGAGAACTTTAAAATACAAATCGCCAGAATGTTGCCCTATATGAATAGTCATTCTTTGGACATTTTTTTGGCATCAATTTAAAGTAAAGACCCCATGTTTTTTTTTTAACTTAAATATTGATTAGACATAATTTTATATGTAATAAACTGATGACATTTTCATGCCTAAAATCTTATATAACTTAAAAACCTCAAGGTAAGTAACTAATAGGACTTTTACCATAATAATTAAAATTATTTCCTTATTTCAGCTGATGAAATTAAGGCAACAAATATGACATTTGTAAATATTGAAAACAACGTCATAATAACAACAACAACTACCTTGAAGTTCACTGTTACTGGAAATGTAAAGTTTGAAGTGGTAGGCACAAGACCGGTTGTAACAATAAATGGCACTGACAGCTTCATTAAACTGAATCAAACTAACGGACAGGCGTCCTGTATAACAGATGTCAACCTATGTAACAATGGTTTCACATTCACAATTGACGTCAACTTTGGTCATCTCCTTGACAACACGTACATTGTTTCGAGCGGAGGTCATCTTCTTGGACATAGTGGCCTTACGTTATATTACACAAATAAACAACTTGTTTACATAGTCAGCACAACGACACAAAAGTGGACATTAGTCACCAAATATGAGCCTGTCTTACATAAGTGGCAACATTTTGAGATCACCTGGAGCAAACACCTAGGAGTAGAATTACTCGTCGATGGTCATTCACTTGGTTCAAACTCAAGACCTAGTGGTAACTCTGGTGGTAAAGTTGTAGATCTGTGCATTGGATGTAGCCATACTTCTGTTAAAGTCAATGTCAATATACAGATAACAGGAATTCATACTTGGACGATCGATCGGACCGAACTTGTAAATGCTGGGGTCAAGGACCGTAAGTAGTAAAACAAGTTTGGTGTGCGTAGTTTTTTCATTTGTTTCCTGTTTGTCACTCTGTTGTTTGTAATAAAATATGTTTTAGATTGTTTTTTATCCATAGTGTTTCTGTTGAAAATATTTAATTTTGCAGACGGAAATGGGTACATCAAATAAATGACGTTGAATGTATAAATACATCTCAAAAGAATCATTTAAAGAAAAGATGAAAATCTTACAGATCCTTTTATAGACATCAAAGATATACTTTTGGATTCATATCCACATGGGATGGTAACTGCAAAATAATGTCCTAATATCTTACATAGTTAGTTTTTATTATTTGATGTGAAGTTCAATTTTTTATTTTAAGTTCGTTGTTACATGTATATAAGATTATTCGCTCAATGACTGACTTAAAAAAGGCAAATGTTTTAAAACAGGGGTTTAACTGATATGAAAATCATTTATATCATTTTGTCTTTTAGCACCTTCAACAACCCCAGCACCTAAACCTACAACAACAATGGCTTCTACAACATCTCAAGCAACAACAACACCAACAACTCTAGCAACGACAACAACAAAGGATACTAAAACAACAACTATTGCAACCACATCTCCAGCACCACCAAGTAACTTTCTTATTAACATACTTTGTTTCCATGTATGGAATTTGAATTAAACAAATGATTATGATTCGAGCATTTTATTAACTGCATTTAAATGCTTTTGGTTAAATGGGTTCGCCCTGCCTTTAATTTGGTGCAGTTTATTAAAACTATTAAAACCAATATATTTGAGCGTGGACAGAGTAAACGACGTTATGTAATTTCAAAGACAAATGAATACATTATATACAATACTTTGATAAACGTAATTAATTACTATATGTATTTTGTATAAAAGCCTGCACACCGGTGGATTTGGGACTGGCTAACGGTACAATAGGAAATGATCAAATCAGCGTTTCATCAGAGGACTCTGAATTTAACAAGGGACAAATAGGGAACTGTAAGTTGTGCAGATTAGGATAATTTTCATAAAAATAATTGTAATGGTTTTCATAAAAATAATTTTAGTACATTTAAAGGACACTGATCAATATAATTGTGAATGTATTCTATCAAAAATTATCATTTGGATTTACAATTATCGTTTTATGCCCTAATATATCTAAGATTTCATTACAAATAAAAATATGAAAATACCATGTATTCATTTTTATGCCAATAAGAGCATTTTGAACAATTCGATGATATAAATGACGAGCAGAGAGATTCAATATTATTTGCACAAGCCAAAAATGCTTTGATGCTGACTTTTATAATTTATGATGGTAAACCTTTGACAAATACCATAAAAAATGATAGGTAAAATATTACACGTAAATGAGACAACATTCATCCTTGTTTATTTCATCATATATTTGTAGCTGACTCTATGAAGGGCTGGTGTCCGTCTCAAACTGACCTCCATCCATGGGTACAGATAAAGTTAGATGAACCAAAAGCTGTCAGTGTTTTCAGTTTTACGTGGTCAAATAAGGGCAACAAGGACATAATGACAGAGTTCGAGCTTCAATATATATCAGCAATTGACACATCTAGAAGATTTAGAACATTTGCGACGGTAATTATATAACCTGTTTATTTTCATTATATGGAATGAAATTGTATTTTTATTGTATTTTATTATATCATATGAAATAATATCAAGTAGAATCGTAAGTTACATTTCTGTGGCAAAGGTATCATTTCTTACGTTTCGTTATTGCACAATATCAAATTAAGAAAAAAGGAATCCCTAAAGAATGTCCACTCGGCAAAATTTGGATTTAGTTTGTACCTGAACATTACTTTAAAGTACCAGCTACAGTCAACGAAACTCCGAAGCAAGATTTTAACATTTATCATGTAATTATTGAATTAAGAAACATCAGCAGATGTGTTCATACGGCGGTAATCATGGAACCTTCAATGTGACACACTAGTGCCATTGAATGAACAGCGGCGCATAGTCCCCAAGTTAAAGAAAGCTTTTGTCCTATACGAGAAAGCAATAGGCAGGCGAAACGTAATGAAATGGGATTTACAAAGTGGATCAGAGTTTATGAACAGATAATTCAAAAAGGGCAATATATCTGATGGTAGATAAAACATTACTTAAGAAAGAATATACATAACAAATACAATGAATTTATTAAGTGGCTTTGAATATATCTTGCAGGCAGACATGTATTCAATATATGTTTGGCACTATTTTTTGCGTTGCATCAATATCATACAACGATAAGCAACATTGTAATGATACAGAAAAGACGATAACATTCTTTCATTCTGTTTCCTTTTTGATGAACATTGATCTAGAATTAACGATCTTAAGTATTCAAGTAATGATCTCATTAGCATATGTCCATATAGCAAATATATTGGTTGTATTTATCGTTATAAATCATGTTTCAAAACAAGGCGATTTGTGCTGTGCACATGACCAGGGTCCTTAAATATTTGACATAAAAAAACATTAAAAGCAATTCGTCGTGACTTTAATCTATTTTTCTGGAGGTGGATACCTTATACTGATAGGATATTCGTCTTTCGTTCACATTAACCGTTTATTGTTTAGGCTATGCTTGCAACCATGATCTATCACCTGTTAATAAACAATATAAATTGCTTCTAAGTTTGGTTTACACAACATGATGCATGGAATTAAGGAATCTTTAGTAAAGCATATGAAACATTTTCTAATTTATGTTATGAGAACAAATCTTTTATCTTTTCTTTTAAAATATTCATCCACAATAAATAAAATGTGTTTAACAATCATTCTAAATATCAAATACCTATGTTATATATTTTGTATATATGTTAAGCCTCAGTAGTTAACTACAACATTTATGTATTACATGGATACAGTTTCATGATTCATTTGTTTTTTTATATTTGAATGATTCCTAGGCGATACCAGCAATGAACAGTACAACAGTTTTCATTGTGACCATAATACCCTTAGTCGTCACTGACACAATTCGTATCATACCATCAAAATCAGAGGGCAGGGCTTGTTTTAAACTCGAAATCAAAGGCTGTGATCCAAAAGGTATTTCAAAATGAAAATGTTTCTTATCTTAGTAGTATTTAGAGTATTTTATCCTCATGTTCTGCTATGAATAATCATTATATTACTGTTTGTTAATCAGTTATATGCTACATATGCCAAAACTAAAAACTAAATCATAATATTAAATAAGGGTTGTTCACAAAATAGATGTTAAAACCCGGAAATGAAATACAAACAGTTAACAGGTTTAAAAATAACGATATCTCTTGATATTTTACAGCTCTATGTTCCGACAACTGGTGTCAGAATGGAGGAACCTGCATGGGAGAAAACGTTTGTTTGTGTCAAAATGGATATGTTGGCAGTCGGTGCGAAAAACAAGGTCAGACGGAAATGATATTTAACATATACATGTAAAAACATACATGTATTTGTGAATTGGAATAGGAAATCAATTAAAATAATATTTATGTTTGATAATGAGTTATTGCTTAAGCCGGTGGTCGCGAAGCATGAGAGATTTTGCTCTGTTAGTAAATTTAGATATTTATAAACCGACCTGACACTTTTGACTTAATGTTTTTAATGTTTTTATCCATGGAAGCAATAATGTTATGATATACATTCATTAAAGACAAATATACCGGGTAAAATGCAAAATATTGAACATTATTTCATGTTTATTAGTCATTTATTTTTGTATTTCTGTTACAGTGACTGACATCAAGGTGACCAACATGACCTTCGTAAATATTTCAAACAACGTCATAATAACAACAACTACTACTCTGAATTTCGCTATAACAGGGACAGTTAATTTTGAAGTTGTGGCAAACAAACCAATTGTCAGTATAAATGGAAACGATAGTTTTATTACCCTTACCCAAACCACAGGATCACCATATTGCGTTACCAATGTTAACTTATGTAACAACGGTTTCACATTAACAATTGACGTCAACTTTGGACATCTCCTTGACAACACGTACATTGTTTCGAGCGGAGGTCATCTTCCTGGACATAGTGGCATTACGTTATATTACACAAATAAACAACTTGTTTACATAGTCAGCACAACGACACAAAAGTGGACATTAGTCACAAAATATGAGCCTGTCTTACATAAGTGGCAACATTTTGAGATCACGTGGAACAAACACCTAGGAGTAGAATTACTCGTTGATGGTCATTCACTTGGTTCAAACTCAAGACCGAATGGTAACACTGGGGGTAAAGTGGTTAATCTGTGCATTGGATGTAGCCATACTTCTATTAACGTCAATGTCAATATACAAATAACAGGAATTCATAGCTGGACCATCGATCGGACCGAACTTGTGAATGCCGGAATCAAAGATCGTAAGTTTCGCAGCCTAGATCTGTTAAATGTAGATTCGAAACATTAAAACGTTTGAAAATGTTTAAAGAATTACCTTGTTAGGTATGTTTTTGGTTTTCAGAATTTAAAAATAAAGATAATGATATTGAAAAAGATAAGATTATACGTATACATGTAACTTATATTATAGAAAATCTAAAAACTTAATACTATGTTTGACAATTCTCTGTTTATTTGAAGCTCCCGTTACAACACCTTCACCTACAACGACACCAGCGACGTCTCCCACTTCAACAACAAGTATGTCATATACATGAGTACTGTTTAACCATCTCTTTAGCATGATATCTTAAAGATCCTGTAACAAAATTTTTTTATGGTTTTATATCATAAATATGATGCTCAAATTAAGATTTATCAATTTTGTAAGTTCCAAAAAGCATTATTTAAAAAGGTATTACCAAAATTAAAATTTCATGTAAATATAGGGAGGGAATGAAAAATTTATTTTCTATAAAAGTCTTAGTCAATTTTTTCAATAAGAAATGAATGCATACATTTAAATGATTGCATATAATATGTACAAATATTTGCAGTACATATTTTACATATTCTATGTTTGAAAATTGTTTTATAAGCATGATTATATACATGCATGTATATATAATTTCACTTAAGTGTGGTATGCAACCTCAATTACAACTTACAGGATTTTTAACTAATTCTATAAATTATTTTTCTTTAACGCAAACATATACTTTTATATTTTCTTATACGCATGTCTTTTTCTATTTGCATATACTGTGTATAGTCAAAACCAATCAAACAGATGTAAACATTATTTGTTCATGGTTGCATATGTTATGATACAAATTTTCTCCTAGTATATCTGATGCGAAATGCTTTACTTCTGGTGATAGCGCTCTACCCTAGCTTTAATCCGCCCCTTTTCTTTTACTTCTTCTCTGGCATAATAACTTGTTCCTTATTCTTATTTGTCAAGATTTTATGCAGTACTGTCTTGTGTAAGAATTATATTTTATGCTTTTTTTTTCATGTTACCACCAAATCGCAATTGTAATCAGGAACTTATAATTGAGACAGTGTTTTCTAATTTGAAAGGGGCATGTCAAGATTAATTTGTAGATGGCTTTAGCAGTTCCCTTTATTCTCTTTTAAGGTTTTTTCTTTGCTTATATATATTATTCTAATTTCAAAAAAAAAGTAGAATCATCATCTAGAAGTCATACAAGTGGTTTTAAAACCGGGTCTACAGAAATTGCCATAAAATCGAGCTCACACCTTCAATTTACGATGACAGAAATACCGAATGCGATGACAGACTTACCTGCTAAAGGAAACTCATCTCTTATACCCACTTCCGGCACATTTACTACATCTAATGATAAACCAATAACTACAATAACAAACACAAAAGATACAGTTTCAACCAGTTTAATACAGTTAAAAACTACACATACGAACGAAAAAATGACTTCATCAAGTTCAAGTTTGAACTCCAACGCAGCAACAATTTATCATACACCAAATTTAACTACTAAAGAAAGATTGGTGATACAGGAAAAAACTGAACTAAAATCAACGATAACAAAGTCATCTCAGATAATTAAGTCTGGGGTATCAACGGCGACAGCTTTTCCTTCAAATACAAACTCACAATCTACAGCATGGATAGGTATCTAAAGTGATGCCAGTTATTTAGCTCATTAAATTGTAAAACTCATGTTTTTTTCAGTGAAGTAGTGTAGAAAGTAAACATAAAATAGTGATTGCTTGTAGTTTTTGCTAGTCACAAAAGAAACATCTTAAGTGTGTATACTGTACACTCGGATTACGAACCTTAATGTATCGGTAAATATTAACTATTGACGAGTAATATCGTAATGAATCCGAAGTCACTCTCGTCTTTTAGGAAAATTTCGTAATACCTATTTTTGATATTTTTTTCATGTGCCCCGCCATTATTTTAGAAAATATCAATTTGGTAGCATTAGGGTTCGTAATCATTAAACATTTTCTTATGGCAGTTTCCTACTAAATGTCGTCTAATAAATAAAAGAAGTGGTTATGTTTACATTTAATTGTTGCTATATTTCACTGCTGTAATCATATTTTGAAGATAAATGCAGTTCATAAAAAAACAACTGAAACTAGATTTAATTTAGTATATTTTGTTTCACAGAAACTAAAAGAAATCTTGGATCTATGCAAAAGAATGTTTAAAGTTTATTTTGCTAAACATGAAATTAACCCTACCTATACTGGTAGTACCTTTGCTCTTAACTACATATACCATAAAATGTATTTGATTTCCGGTTCACACTATTCAGCAACCTTCTTGTTAGGATAAATTGTTTTACATACTAAGCCAGCGACATTGTCATCTGAATGACCTTCAAGAATTCTACCTGTCACTTGTAGATGCTCTAAATAATCGTCTCTTTTCAGCTCCCAAACCAACATCTCCTCTACCGTTTCTGGAGTACAACTTAACATTCGTGTCAATAGTGGATAATATCTTAATCACACCAACATTCAACTTTACCTTGCATAACAAACCAACACTTGAACTGCTAAACAATAGCCACACTGTTCTTGATTTAAACTGTACCAAAGACCAATATGTTGAATTACCCGAACAGGGTATTCCTTGTTTAGAAGACTTATCGGACTGTAAGAAGGGCTTCACATTCAAAATAGCAGTTCAGTTTACGAAGCTCGAGCCCGCAAAGAAGGCATATATTCTTTCCAGTGGTGGGGATGTACCTGGTGCAAGCGGTATGGCAATATATATCCAAAACAGTCAGCTGATCTTTGGTGTTAAATTCGGGTTCCAACACTGGACTGGCACCTATAACATGACAGGTATCGTTCAAACAGACGTTTGGTACAAGCTTGAGGTCAGCTGGAGCGCCAATAAAGGTGTTCTGGTTTTAATAGATGGATACCAGGTTATCAAAAACAATGCATGGACACCAAGTCCTATAGTACCTGCCACTAATCCTGTTCTAATTGGCAAAACGGAGGGTTCAAATGAGACAACCTGTATGAAAGTAAAAGACCTGTTTACATGGACTGTCGAACGAGAAGTTTTGGTTGATCACGGCATAGTGCAAGGTTTGTTTAAGCTTTAGTTTCTCAGAAACCTTGTTTCTGCTTGTGTTAACTTATTTCACTTCGCTTTAGCAGACAACTATGTGAAACTATCTTTCATCAGAATGTCTTAAAAAGACTAATTTTTGTGTGTTTCTTTTTTTTTTTTTGTCTTGCTTTATTTTTGTCTTTACTCTATTATTTCCGGTTTTGCTTAGACTAGTTGTATGCACATCGAAGAGCTTTATTTTTACCAACCAAAAATTAGCATATTAAACAATCAATCAATTGTATTGAATTTGAAAGTTTTATTACTACAATTGCTTTATATTTGCATTTTTATTTTTCTAGCCCCTAAAAGTACACCTGCTCCAACGACTCAATCTACAACAACAACGCAAAAACCTACAACAACTATTCCTACTACAACCCAAATACCTGTTCCCACTTACACCTGGAATTTTACAAGCATAACGAATAATGTCATTATCGGAAATCATTATAATTTGACTGTACATGGCGGCCCTGATGTTTCAAGTGGTGGAATTCTGATTAACAGCTCAACACAGTATATAGAGTTCGGATCCCATGAGAACAATTGTTTGATTAAACCAGATTCTTGTTTGCATGGTCTTACCATTTCATTCACAATTAAATTTCATAAATTTGAAGAGAACACCTACTTCTTTACAAGCGGTGGTCAACTCCCTGACGGTGTTGGTCTTGCAGTGATATACAGATTCGGTAAAATACAGTTCATTCTGACAACAGTTACCCAGTCGTGGTTTATCAACTGTGGTAAAAATCATGTTCGACCAAATCAGTTCCATACAATAATGGTATCATGGCAAGTGAATATAGGTCTTGAAGTATTTGTCAACAATATTTTGATCGAAGCAACTAAAGTTCCTTTACCGCACCAGTCAGCTTTAGTTAATGCTACCACAGTTTACATAGGTAAACAGCCGTCTACGACTATTAAAGTGGACTTCGTACTCCAGATTGTTACCATATGGTACGTTCACGTTGATATATTGGTGGAGCAAGGCAAATGCGAACCTCCTGTTCGTCCAACTAGTAAGTATACATATTTATACATGTCTTCTAGATGCGTAATGATTTATATTTGTATTCTTATCATAATAACTTTATTTTACCAGTATATCTTACTTGCAAAATTTGCGGATTAATTACAAAATCGTTCGTCAGTTTATTACAGACAAATAGTTAAAACATATTTCAATAATTGCTCTTAATTGTTTCGTTCGGTAATTCCCCATGCACGATATTGCTATATAATATTTGATGTATCTTAGCTGCTCCCCCATCACAGTCAACAAAATTAACCACAGCAACACCGATCCCTTCTGCAAGTTCTAGTAAAGCAACCTTCACATCATTGATTACCACAAAGGGAACCACTCAACAATGTCCTGCAGGATGTGTCAGTGTAGGTAAGAATGCACAGATTTTTGTTTTGTTTAATTGTGTTTTGTTTATGATGTTTTTTTTTTATCTTTTGAACTTTTTTTCGACTCATCAAACAAAATAATGTTCATATACAGTACCTTTGTGCAATGTGTTAAGTATTTTCATTGTTTATATTTTATTTCGTATTAGTATATATTTTAGCTAACGGCAAACATGTCTTAAGAAAAAACCCATCTAAGTTGATATAAGAATCATGTATTATACTTATTTGATATGTTTATATATGTTTATATCTTTCTAAAAGCAACTACACAGCCTCAGACTCCTTCAAAACAGACTGTAACAACAGCGAAGCCATCCGCAACAACAGTAAAGCCAACTGATGCTTCAACCCAGCCACCTGTCACAGCGACATCGAAATTACCTACGACCACAAAAAAGCCGACAACCAAACCTCAACCTAAACCAACAACTACTATAATGGTGCCAACGCCTGACACTGCAACACCACCACCTCCTACAACAAGAAAACCTATTCCCGAATATAGTGCTATACCAAACTTGCATGTTACAGTTGAGAAAGATAAAAATGCTTATTTAGCCTGTACATTCAAAACAACTTCACAGAAAGACGTGCAAATCAAGGCTACCCTGTATGTAGAAAACAAGATCAGGCTGGTCTTATCAGTATCTGCCACTACTGGTGTAGCTATGTTTGCTGTGTCGAAAGTGGACATGCATCTATATAACAAACAGGTAGAATAACCGATTGATAAATGTGTTGACACTATCAGAAAATGTACGATATATTAAAGGAAATAATTGTTTCAAATTTCTAAGAACCATGATCACTAAAACACACTAGTCAAAAAGTATCACAAACTTGTAGGTGTAAAAGAAACTCATATAATATCGCTCACATCCACTTTCCTTTCAGATGTTTGCAAAAATGTGAATGGATAATTACTTGATTCGTTGTCCTAAATGTAAAGTACGGGAGCTGACGATAACATGTTGATCCGTTTGAACATAAAGATTTTATTATTACCGTCATATATTAGATGAATACACTTAAAGATAAAGAGTCTCTATTCCATTGTAGATTCGATGTTCAATAGCCGCCCATTATATCGGCAGCGTTATAACAACGACCACCTACTACAGCAACATATTTACACCAATTATCACAGTAAGTATTTAATATAATAAAATTAAAATTAATGTTTTGTGAATTTAAAGCTAAGGATATGATATAGATACAGGAATAAATGATCTTTGACCATATGTAATTGTACATGTATATTTTTAAGGTTACACCAGGTCGTGTTATAGTTACAGAAGGTCACTCTAAAGAGTTCGTTACCGTGACCTCTACTGCACCACCACAATTTTATTGTTGTCAAGGATGCAAGGGTCAATGTCAGGTTCATATTGTAGGATCATTCCACTACGATAGACATTATCAAAAGTGTAACAAGAAAGTGATTGCTCAAGCACTTATAGGTTAGTCAGTTTTAGTATACTAGATTTAGAGCTTGATGTGAAACATTTAATTGCAAAATGGTTAGAATTTCATTTGATAAATGAAATATAATTTGATCTTCCGATCAAATATAGCGATGTGTCGTACATAATCAAAATATACGTAAGCCACTTGTTAAGAAATATTGTACATGCATTTTTCTATCTAATATACACTGATTACAGTTAATTATTATTTAATAGTTTTTTTTTTTAAAAATACATGTTTACGAATGAGAAAAGGTTAATATTTAACTATAATTGGTTTGGTAGATATTGTTTACAATGTTTCATATATACTTATAGGTTATACAAAATAGCCATAAAAACTTATGGTGTAAACATTTATTTCAGAAAGTACTAAGCCGCCGAATTTTAACGAACAAATATGTGGATATGCTCTCACAATAACAAACTGGAACCAGCAGAATAAGATCTACATAGTAGCAACAATTGATGGCCGACGTGATGGTGATCATACCAACGACCTAGATATCATAGCTAATGTGTATCACCAACCACAAACAGCCCAGATAACTGTTACACCGAACAGTTTTACAGTCACTACTATAAAGGTAAATTTATCACGTTTGGAAAATCATGACTCGTTTTCATTAGGTTGTGCATTTGATATAAATGTAAAGTTTTAAATGATTTCCTTCAATTTGGAGTTATTTCTTCTTTTTTTGTAACTGGTATTGTTATTAATATACCTGTATTTACTACTTATATAAATACTCAATTATTTTATCTTAAAAGAGGATACAAGAGTCAAAAATTGATAACTCTCATTTAGTTGTCTCATTGATTTGTTACACCTCAATTTATTCATCAACACAAGGATGTAATAATGAGGCTTTCAAATGGCAAGGTGAATGTTTACTTCTTTGAAATTACTTTAAAGAGCTTGTTTGTCTATGTTTTATGTGTCTTACATCAGGTGTGAGATCTATGCAATGTCGTTATTGATCTTTGGGGTAAAGTAACAAGGAAAGCTTTTGCTAAAGTTCATGTTGGAAATAATTTTGGGGATTTTGTTGTACACAGGTAACAGTTAAAGACAACGATCACGGAACTGCCCAGTGTAAATCTGTGAACGATCCTCATATGATGACGTTCGATGGACAGTAAGTATTGACCAATATCAAAATAAGCCAAGATAGTGTATAAGATATGTGAAATGGCCCTATATAAACGATAAGGACTCGGGTTACATATAGACAACCGTTTAAATACGGTCATAATAACTTCATCATCAAGACCTTTTATAATACTGCTGACTCCCTTATTTAGAGCAAAAAATAGAAATAATTTCATAAAATGACTTAAGCCGTTTATATAAATTTTATATCAACATCAAGAAAACGACGTTACAAACATGCAGTATTTTAAAAACCATTTCATTGGTGTTTTAAAGCATCCTTTTTGTTGTTGTTGTTTCACAAAGTTTTAAATATTGTTTCTTTATCGTTAAAGTTTTCTTTTAACTTTTAAATTCACGATATGTATTACTTAGACTTATATCGGTATCTTAACGGCAGGTGATTTTACGAAATATGCTTAAATGAAGATATAGTTTGTTTATGTTTAGTTTGGTTAATGTTCTTAATAAAAGGGTGGATCATAAATTCTAAAATCAAAAACAAAATATACATGCTAGAGACCTCATCAGCAGCAATATGTGGAAATAATATCAGAATAATTGTTGCCACCTTCAGGTAAGATACTACTTGCCACAATCTTATATGATTTTTTATTAGAAGGATCTTCAAACTTAGAAGTCTAACCATGTGTTGAGCTAGGTATGGAAATATTTATGATTTTTTAAAGTGTGATTTTCATTACATGTACTTAAATCAATTTTAAATTGTGTTGTTTTATTGATAATATGTTTGGAATAACAATAACATTACAGACATTACAACAACATGGTAGAAGGAGAGTTTGTACTGTTCAGACACACCAGTCTTCCCTTTGAGGTAAAAAACATGCTACAATATTAATTCGTTGGTCTTTACCTTAATAAGAATACCGCTATTTCACTTATCACTTTTTTATGTATTAACCAGGTGGAATAAAATGTGTATATTTTGACCTGTACAATTGTAAGAAGTATTATGTTAAATAACAGGGTCATTGTTTAAAAATATGAAAGTTCATCGATGCAAAATAATTTTCTTCAAATTTCCAACAGGCTCAAAAGTTGAATGATAATTTCATACCAATACTGTTTTCCTGGAAACTTGCGCGGAAACAATATTTCGCGTTTTTTCATAAGGATGGTGTTTTCGCAGAGACAGACTATGAAAATAACCGGCTAAATTATAATGATGTCGGCTCATCATTGTAATTGTTTTATTTGATATATTTTTGTAGGCACAATATTAACATGTTTGTTTGTAATTTATAGTTCTTCTTTTCATTTAAAAGGTAAGAGCTGTTTACTACAAGTGCAGTAAAAGGTCACATGCCACGTGTAATTGCGCAGTTGCTGTTAAATCTGGCGATGACGTAATTACTGTAACCGGTTGCCAAGGAACAACCCATGGTGGGCATCCAGGTCAAGGTCACGGTATAGGGTTACTTCTTCAACAAATGTTTGGTACACATGGTCATGCTCATGGACATGGACATAACGACGAACTCGCTAAAACACCCATGACTATACAGATCTATAAGAATGGGGAATTAACACCTGGAACTTACATTAGAAGAATTGGCTGCGGACAGAAATATGAGGTAGGATTAAATTGGCTGGACCATATGTATGTTTAGATAATCCTATTCTACAATGTAATGTGTATGACTAGCTTACACATACCAATCAAGTTCGTGTTTACAAATTATCCGGTCTTTGTCCAGATTACTGTTTACAAATTATTTTATCAAATTGAATGTGTTGTAAAAAAAAGTTTATAAATATCTATATGGGAAGAAAATTATTAGAATTTAAGACACTGACTAACAAAGTTGTATAATCTATACAATGAAGTATTATATATCAGATTTTAGTTTTATTTGACTATATGTACCTAGATTGAGCTGCCTACAGGAATGGTTGTGACGGTCCAGCAGAGTTGGAAACCATTCATTAATATTTGGATTAAAGCTTCCAGTTCTGATAGAAGACAAGCAGAAGGTAACAAAAATGTGACCATTTACTAGTATAGTGATTTAACTATTGTCAGTCTTATTCAAAGATTAATTGTATTGTTGGGAAATGTAACTGATTTTCAAATTTAAAATGTAATGTCCAACTGCTCATTTACAATGTAATTTCCTAATGCTCATTTACAGTGTAATATCCTAATGCTCATTTACAATGTAATGTCCTAATGCTCATTTACAGTGTAATGTCCTAATGCTCATTTACAGTGTAATGTCCTAATGCTCATTTACAGTGTAATGTCCTAATGCTCATTTACAGTGTAATGTCCTAATGCTCATTTACAGTGTAATGTCATAATGCTCATTTACAGTGTAATGTCCTAATGCTCATTTACAGTGTAATATCCTAATGCTCATTTACAGTGTAATGTCATAATGCTATTTTACAGTGTAATATCCTAATGCTCATTTACAGTGTAATGTCCTAATGCTCATTTACAGTGTAATGTCATAATGCTCATTTACAGTGTAATATACTAATGCTCATTTACAATGTAATGTCCTAATGCTCATTTACAGTGTAATGTCCTAATGCTCATTTACAATGGAATGTCCTAATGCTCATTTACAATGTTATGCCCTTATGCTCATTTACAATGTTATGTCCTAATGTAATGTCTAAAATGATTGATCATAAATGTATTACCAGAAAACAGTTGCTATACAAATATAGAAATTAAAGATGCAGATAAAACATTTGAATGGTTTATAATTAAGTAACTTAATATGAAAGTTTGATAATTAGTTAAAAGTGTTATTTAGATGCTAGGGGTGAAACAAAGACATGTGCTGTTTGATAAAAATGGTTTTAATTTATCATATTTTGCATTTCATATTTTTTTTGTTTGTCATGGAATATTTGATCATTATATTTTAGGTTTGTGTGGCGACTTTGATGGCTCTAGAAGTAACGATTTGAAACCAAACACCAATGCTGTTATCAACAAATGGAAGTAAGAAAATATAGTTTTAAACAAATTATCTTATATCAAGATTTATTCATTGTTAAAAAACTATTTTAGTGTCAACAATGTAATAAAAGCTAATCTGCTTGAAATGTTTTTGGCATCATTAATGAAATCGTGAAATTGATGAACCAATATTAACAACAACAAAAATAATACAAAAATTGGCATCTAATAGTTTTTTTTTGTGGAATGATTTTGAGATAATAGAAGCTATCGTCAGCTGGACTACGATATATTTCATTATGTGTATGTTACATTAACATATAGGATAAAGGATTTTATGAAAAAGGTCCAACAATAGGACCCCTTTTTTCGATTGTGTGATTTTATGAAAAAGATTCAACAATTGGACCCAATATTTTCAATTGTTTCATATTCCGCAGTTATTTTGGATTCATCTCTGAACGATCAATGTTATCCATTTCTCTAAGTATGGGTTAGAACAGTATATGTACAACATAATTCTCTAATAATCTTCATAGATTAGCATGCCTATTAGATTTATTTGCGTGTTAAGGCACATGCATTGCGTAATTTAATTTGAAACTCTTGTTGTTTGACAGGGTTTCTACCAGTACCAATTTCTTTTACGGGGTCGGTGTATCGTCCCATTCAGTAACATCTATATACTGCAGCTGTGTGAAAGATAGAGAAGGTGTTTGTTTAGCTGGACTAGGTGCTCAAAGATGTACTAATTCAAGTATGTTAACCATTATAATACTATGCTCTAATTTAAGTACATGTATATAAAACAATATAATATCATGCTGTAATTTAGATATATTAACCATCAAAATGCCATGCTCTTATTCTAGTATGTTTACCATAATAATTACATGCTATAATTTAAGTATATTAACCATTATGATACCATTTTATAACATGACCTAGCATTGTATTGTTTATTCAAACAAAGTCTGTATTAGGTTATAACTGTTAATTTCACTATCGGAAACGTTTTCTGTAAGTTGTTAAAATGTTTATATGGCTAACACTGTTTGCGTTAAGATCAGGCCAGTTTACCTCACATAACAAAAGAATGAGAATTGACTTAAAAAGATAAGAAATGAAACTTGCTTTTCACAAACAAAATAAGGTAAAATATTTTAATGTTTATTATTGATTTTTGGGGTGTTTGCAGGGTATGATGTTACAGCCACGTTAGTTAGACAGGCAAAACGACCTGTACTCAACAGACACAAGCGTCAAGTCAATACAGAACCAACTGTACCTGCTACCATTATACCACCAGTATGTTTATATATTACTCTTCTGATTTATCCTTTATAGTTAATTTCTACTATTCTCCTTCTATATTTATATACATTGTACCTTCATATCAAATAGGTAAAATAAATCATATTCAAAATACAGTAATTTGTAATTTTAATTTTCATGCACATGTTTCAACGTTATAACAGGATGTTGCACATTTCCATTATCAATCAAACCGAGTCTGCAATTCTCTTGTAATTTTGTTGTGATTAATGCTTCCGAGGGATCACCTTGTTTCCAGAATTTTTATAACATTCTAGAAAAAAAATCAATTTGTCTTAATTGATCAGGACTGTGGACAATATCATTATCGTAGTAATTATCGAAACATGTCTGTAACATTACAACATTATTATAAAAAAACAAATTTTCTTTATTTTCAGGATGGAACTGATGTTTCACTTGAACAAGCTGAAAAAGAATGTTATAATAAGATAATGGAAAGCACAATAACAAAGTCGTGTACTCCAATCCTGACTTCAAATCTGACCCAACAAATAGACAATTGTGCCCATGATTACAATGTATATATCATTTCACGTTTCTACTGTTTTGTACAATTAATACTCAAACTACGCCGCAAGTAGTTAAAATTCTTAAAATTCTAACCCGTGGAAAAAATATAGTTTTATTTAACAAGTACAATGTACAGTATAAGGCACTCCCAAGAGATATCAAATATAATGCATCGTGTTTTACGGCAACAGTTTAGCATAATGAAATAAATAATTGTGAAACAGTTTATTTTAATGTCCCGCTTGTGAAATTGCAAAATCGTTAATTCAGACCATTGCTTATTACTTGATAAATAAGAGACAAACATTGATATTACCCCTTTGCTGTTTTATTAGGCCACAGGAAATATAGAATGGGCCACTGATGCTATAAGAGATATAATTGTTGACTGTGTGGACGCGGCTAACACGATTAGAGTTGCTAATGAGACTGGAAATACAAACGTAACTGATGAACTTCCTGATGGTATTGGCGATATCCTAGAAAATCTTAAAGTTTGCGTTGAAGAATGTGGGGAACATGGAAACTGTGAAGATGGTATGTCAGTCTGATTTATGCACAAAAACAAATTTAAGTTGCATGTTAAAATTTGTAATCTGTGGAATCACATGAATTGAATTTAATGAAGGATATAAAAAGTTTGTAATCATAACAGGTGTTTGATGGGCTGCGCTATAAAGAATAAAGAAAATTCCTTTTCAAACTTTGAGAAAAAAAAATATATTTTTGATATAATTTTGTGTGATTTTGCTCAATCTTAGTCCATTTTATTTGTAATACATTGTATTCTATTTAATGCATTATGTGTTGTTTGAGCAAATTATTCATAGGGTTTCACATTTTCCCTTTATTTCATTTAGGTGTGTGTGTTTGTGAGGATGGATATTCTGGAATCAGCTGTGACATTTCGAAAGCAACAATACCAACTGTCTTCTCTGCTCCTTTCTTGTGTGATGTAATTGATACTTCTGACTGTATGGCAGCACCAGTTTATGGGGACAACTTTGTTGAGTCCGAGACCCTTACGTGTCATTACGAATTTGTAAAGGTAAATTAGGTTCTCTTTTGTTTGTATTTAGTTTTTTATCATCATCATCAACAGCAACAACAACAAAACACATTTCAAACTTAATATCCTCTACATGTATATATCTGTGAAAAATCAAGTACTATTGTATTTTTAGGTTTTAAATATGTGACATCATTACTGTAAAGGTCATTGGCGTCCGCGCCGAATATCATTGACCTGTATATTTTGGATATTATCGTTAATATTGATAAAATTTCAAGTTCCTGTGAAAAAACAAGTAATATTCTAATCTCTAGCATGCTTACCAAAGTTCATAGTGAACAATATCTTTCGTCCACACATTCATAAATGATATACAATTCTGGTAAAAACCAATTAACTATTGAACAGTTTATAAGAATATCTTGTCACCATATGTCTACTAGTTCATCTTCACTGCATTTCTTGCTTGGACGCCCTTTGATGCTTTGCATCAATGCTTTTCTTGTATAGTAACTTGAATAAACCCAAAAGCTTTAACGCAACACTTCACATTTTGTTGTTGTTCTCTATACGTGTCCAGATTGGTGAAACAGTAGAATTGAGCGGGGAAGAAGGTCACACGAGAGCTATTTATATCTCGATCAACCATATCACATGTCCGTTGCCAAAGAGGCAAAGTGCCCGGATAAGTGTCAGCAATGATGGAAACAAACGAAGTAATGAAACTACAGTACATGTTGTATTTAACCCTGTTTGTTTCGAGTGTACTGCAACACCAAATGAAACACTAATGTGTATTAGAAAGGTAAGATTTGTTATAAACTTCTTTAATTTCATCCTTTTATTCATCTGATGAGTATTTTTTATTGCAGATATATTAGCTGCATACAACTGATTTTGATAGGCGTGTAGAAATGATTTGATATAAAAACCATGTTTTAAATTTATATAATAAAGCTATCCAACCTTGGAATATAAACTGTTATTGCATAAATCATTTTTAGGAGGACAACTGTTTGATAAACAATGAATGTTATGAAACTGATGCCACACGACCAGGAGATGTTTGTCAGATATGTCGACCGGTAGCCGACTCGACTGCATGGTCAAAAAATAACAGTAAGTCCATCAACTTCTGAACGCTCGTAGTGATAATACTAGTAACTAAGCTATACTGCCATTAAAAGACCATACTTAGCCCGCTTCGTGTGCTCGTTACGGGCTATATTGTCGATGGTTTGATTTATCTTAAAGGGCCTAATTTACATTAAAGGCCCTTATAAATAGTTTTTGGTTCCAAAATTTTGACCAGATAAAATCTTAAGCTTATTTCAAAATAAAGTTTTTATTTAGCCACATTTGCAGAAGAAAACTTACAAACAGCAGGTGTCAAGTGCTGTATGGCAGCTGTAGAAAGTTGCCCGTGTTGTTATATTTTTCTGGTCCTTCGGGATCATTGATGCCAGCACTATTGAGTGTTGAGAATTGAGTAACACTCAAGCTGGTGCTAGGGGGGGGGGGCGTGAGGGATGTATTCATTATCCCTCATGTACAGACTCAATCAAACCGAGTCTGCAATTCTCTTGTAATTTTGTTCTGATTAATGCTTCCGAGGGATCACTTTGTTTCCAGATATTTTTACAAATCAGTAGGCAAAAATGGCATCTTTACATCCCCAGAATCAACACTCGGATAAATCACTGCATTATTGTAAGCATGCGTTTTGCAGGATTTTCACATTACTGTTTTATTACAGTTGATGAGTGTATGTCTGTCCCAGTGGCAGTTGTGAAGGACAATGATAAAGAGAAGACACAAATACTTGCTCTAGCTATAGCATGTGGTGTATTAGCGGCAATCATCTTCATAGGCTGTATATACTGTGTCAGATCTAAGTAAGTTCCTTAGTTTTATAACAGATTATAAGTATTAAAGCTGTTCACATTGTTTGGGTTTATTAAATCTTTTTTCTTCATGTCGAATATTTGGAAAAAAAATTAATGACTGGTATACGGAAGGGTGCTGAAAATGATTAAGGTTTTTATTTCAAGAAAATGCTGTAATGTGGATTATAGCATAAAACATAATAGCATAATAGCTTGTTTGAAACTAAAACTTATCTAAACAAGGAATTTACAAAGCTTAAATAATTATCCTATGATTTCTTAAATTACATTTTATAATTAACAATATACAGTTATAAAGGAATTTTACAGCATGTACAATAAAGTTTTACCTTAAGATAATATTTTAGAACACTTCTCGTTTGATTAATTAGAGATACTAATTTTAAACACATCTCGTTTGATTAATTATAAATTGTTTTTTTAAAGGATGGGGAAGGAACCTAAGAAGGGAGAATCCGGGGAGTATGATTTTACAGGATCACAGAAACTTCACAGAGATCCATTTATGACCACAAATAATCCTACATACTTCTATGATGAAAAACTATAAACGATGAAAATAACCGTTCAAACATTTACTGGTACATGTATATATCTCACCAGACACTGAACGTATAAAGAAGCTCACGTCCAGAGTGACGTTACTTTTCGTGAAAACTTATAAATGGTTTATTGTTCCAATGAGTAAATATGTTGTCAAATGTACAAATTAAGTGTTTTAATCTGGTTATCGGCAGAAATTACCTATAACTTGCCAAAATATACAGAATTTCCCTTACTCTGTTAGTAATAGGTTGGAATTTAATAAAAAACATCTAGTATCTTATGTCTTATTTAGCTCAGTATATTGTGAATATAGCTTTCTTAAACTTTAAAAAAAATAATGTTCTTAAGTTCGAAAAGTGTACTATAAGTTTTATTCTTTTATTCCTGCGGTTGCAACGATAAAGTGCACGAAATTACATGACTTTTTGAAATTAATAAAGACAGAAAATTCCTTCTTCCAATTATTATGATCTAGTTTTATGTTGTCATTATGGAATTCTAATACTGTTGAATATATTCTATCTTTAATATATGTTAGTTTGGACTACGCAGATGTATTCAGTATGTATGTTCCGTTAATCCTTTATGTCCTGATAAAATGTGCTTCAAATAGTTAAAATAATAGCTTTATACTGATTTTGTAAATTGACTTAACTAAACGTACAAAACGACAATTTTATATAAAGGCGCTGACCACTATATGAATTTATTGTAACTACTTTAAACAATATTGCTTATTTGAAAATATTCTGTTCTAAAAATTTCTTGATAGAGCATTCTATATACATGTACCATGTGAGACTTGATATTTGCGTGAGTTTAGTCCACAAGTAAAGTGAGTATGAAAAGAGTTTAAATCAGTGGAATGTAGAATTCTAAACCATTAAACATTTTAAAGGACTCGAAAATTGTAAATCACTTGATAAAGAATTGAGCACTTGTAAATCATTCTGTAATTATGAACACTCCGAAATTGTAAATTTAACGAGAATTGAGAATCACTCGAGAATAATTAAAAGATCATTAACTACTGGAATCTCTTATATAATCATATAATCGATTCTATTGAAGCACATTTTATAAATACTTTTAACTCATTTTAATTACATAAATAATTCGATTGCAATAGTATTTCTGTAATTTCACTGAAAGTTTTAGTACTATATATTTATAGCTTGTTAAATATGTTTGTGAAATATCATCTTGATTTGTTTCACTGTCATCCTCTTTTTGTTGTATCATTCCTTACTTCAAAAATATACTAGCACATGCATTTCAATATATATTCTTGTAAGACCATCTCTTATTGAGTGGAACTGTAAATGTTTAATCAAGAAAAGTCACATGGTTTTGTCATTCGTGTGTAAAGTATACCGACCTTGCAATTTAAAACGAATTTTGTCTCGAATTATACATCTTGCCTGAAAACTATGTAGTCAGCCTAAATTTGCCATTGTTTTGTTATTGGAAAGTAGTTATGTTTCAATAAAAATTCAAAACATTATTTGTTGTACATTTGTATATGATTCCCGCAAGGAAGAGTGTCATCCATCAGGTAACATTTGGAATATACTGAATGATGCTTAACAATATTAAGACCTAACTAATACATGAATGGTACTTAATATATAGGGCAACATTTGGTCACCAAGTAGACATGTGGTTTAGAATTACTTGCCATCACCGCCGCAGGTACGAAAGAATGTAGTTCTTTTCAGCGTTTTCCTGCCGTAGTACAGCCAGAAAGTCGCTATATGATCTTTACAGTGTCGGTGTGACATAAATCCTGCTGCAATTTTCTGTAACTTTGAATTAACTATGTGAAAGTTTTAAATCCGTAATGTTGAGTAAACTGTTTAAAATTATGATCATAAAATATGTGTTGCAAATAGTTAAATCGTCTGCTTTATAGTTAATTTATTTTTTAACCACCAAAGTAGGTTAAATATTACAAAATTACAATTTTCTTTAAAAGTGCTGTAGAAAATAAATATTTTAACTACTTCTATTCGGTTGTTATTTGTAAATATTCCGTCCTAAATATGAATTAATAAAACTCTGGTTATGGTACTTTCACTTGAGTTTGAGTATATTTGGAAACTTGATAAAATAAAGCCATACTAGACTATATAATTTAATCAAATGAAAGTTGTGAAAGAGTTGAGAATTGATAACCATTTTATAAATAAACTAGAAATGTGTCCATAGGACACGGATGCCCCCACACGCCACTGTTCTGTCAATCTTATGACTCTAGGTCAAATATTTTTTGGACTACATGTGCCACAAAATGAAAACTAAAAATCAACAAAGGGCCATAATTATGTTAAATTTGGTCGCAGCAAAAATTCCTTCCTTTACTACCATCTACACATTAAGGTTGTTAATCCCTGGAAGTTTAAGCAAAATCTGCCATCCGGTTTAAGAGGAGTTGCGTTCACAAAATTTCTACATAGTATATAATGAAAAAATCCACAAAGGGTCATAATTCTGTTAAATTTGGTTGCAGCAAACATTCTTTCCTTCACTGCCATCTACACATTAAGGTTGTTCATCCCTGTAGGTTTAAGCAAAATCTGTCATCCGGTTTAAGAGGAGTTGCGTTCACAAAATTTCTACATAGTATATTGTGAAAAAATCAACAAAGGGCCATAATTCTATTAAATTTGGTCGCAGCAAAAATTCCTTCCTTTACTACCATTTACACATTAAGGTTGTTCATCCCAGTAAGTTTAAGCAAAATCTGCCATCCGGTTTAAGAGGAGTTGCGTTCACAAAATTTCTACATAGTATCTAGTGAAAAAATCAACAAAGGGCCATAATTCTGTTAAATTTGGCCGCAGCAAAAATTCCTTCCTTTACTGCCATCTACACATTAAGGTTGTTCATCCCTGTAAGTTTAAGCAAAATCTGCCATCCGGTTTGAGAGGAGTTGAGTTCACAAGATTTCTGGACGTACGGACGGACTGACGGACGGACGGACAAGTGCAACGCATTGTTGGGGCATAAAAATAACCTAAGAATATACTGATTTATTCTAGAAATGTGTATCACCCGAAAAGACGGCATTTAAAAAAGAAGAAAAGGAAATAGCGTCAATATAAACATGCACATAATAATGTGTTTCTTTAAATTCATATTGAGTACAACAAATTTTGATTGCAATGGGATTTAAGAATTGGATTGGAAGCTTTATAAAACGTATACATAGCTGAAATAAAAGCCAGAAAAGCTTAATACGAAATCTCTTTTTATCGTGTCATTCCTTACAAACACGTATATTACCATATCTTCTAAGACTAATTCGTATTGAGTTGAAGATGTAACTATTTAATTAATATAATTATTTCACATAATTGTATAAGTCCTTTGTAAAGTATACTCAACATGCAATGAGTCTATCTCATTTTGTCATGAATGATACATCTGCCTATACCTATGTTCAAAGGATAAAAAGGCCTAAATTTGCACTTATTTTGTTATTAAAATGTAGTTTTGCACTTTCCAGTACCGTCCATGAACAGGCTCAATCAAACCGAGCCTGCAACATATTCAATTTTGTCGTGTTGGGCTTTCTTTAGGGATTCTGTATTTCTCTATTTTATTGTCACATCCGTGTTATTTGTGTCGTGTGGCGGCTGTAAAAAGTTTCCCCGTACATTTAAACAATGATGTTATATTTTCGATCCTTGAAGATCGTTCAGCACGACATTATTGTTGTGTATACATTTTACATGGTATTTTTAGTTTCTTGTATTTGGCCTTTGTCAATTTGGGTGGTTCCAGTATTCCTACTTGAATACTGTTTAATCACCCTTAGGATATGTTGCCTGCTTTTTAAATTTGTCTTTTGACGTCTTATCTGTGCTATGCAGGCTTCATAACCTCAGTTCCCCTTTCAAAATTCCATTTTATTTAGTTCCGACCATTGTTTTCTCGTTTAGGGCACACGCATTCTTTTACTTGGGGGCCATACGCCGCTTTTCATGGAATGACACTATGTCACATTGAAGGTTCCATGAAAACCGCCGTATGAACACATCTGCGGATGTTTTTAAATTCAAAATTTCACCATTTTAGTGTTTAAACGTTGAATTCTGCTTAAGCCGGTACTAGGGGGCGTGGACGGTAACTTGCACTTTCCAGTACCGTCCATGAACAGGCTCAATCAAACCGAGCCTGCAACATTTTCAATTTTGTCGTGTTGGGCTTTCTTTAGGGATTCTGCATTTCTCTATTTAGTTATTTCAAGTTTCAGTAAAAATGCAAAACTTTATATTCTATCGCTCCAACAAAAGATCATGCAATCTCAACTTTGGACACTACTCTGTTAAAAGGCCTATTTAAAACATGTTATGAAAAATAGGGTGACACATCTGGACCTAATATACTGTCGGTGATTTGAAATAACTAGCCCTTGCCGCTGTGAGTTCGAATCCTGCCGGTGACTAGATTTTAATTGTGAGAAAACTTCGAGGATCTTGTTAGATATTGCGCGATTGGGCTCCTGAAGTTTTCCTCAAGCTGGAAGGTCGCCATATGCTCTTTAAGTGTCTGTGTAACATATATTTAAGCCAATTGATATATAAGAAACGTATAACAAACTAAATTTTGAAGAAAAAAAAAACATTGAAATATTATGACTTGACTTATCCGAAGTAAAAGTTGAAGTAGAAAACAACAACAAGAGCTTTATATAGATATTAAGTATGAATAACCTATCACATATACATGTACGACATGAAGCTACTAAAGAAAACTTAAAAATATAGTACCTAAAATGTTTTTAATAACGAAAATTGATACCTATTTTGAACGTCCTTATCCTTTAAGTAATTTCTCTACTGAGCATTAAGATAGGAACAGAAAACGTGCATAAATGGGTACAATATCATTAATTCCATTTAATCTTCGCTGACAAGAAAACCTGAAAAATGGGAATGATAATCGTAAGTATCGTTCATGGTTGTTGTAATGTCGCCTTCAATTGTAGAGTCGTACAAGCAAACCATCCACACTTCGTCATCCTTCTGCAAACGTATGATCACATTACTACTTCGTTCAATCCAAATACCTAGATGGTCAGCGTGGAGATATAGCCCGGCATGGTTAGTAACGGCGTTTTTTACCATTTCAACATGGAAGCTGCTGTTTGGGGGGATTGATAAAGTGGCGAAAAAGGCATATGTTCCATTAACAGGTGCTTTAAACACGCCGTGCGTAGGTTGGTACGCTGTCCCAGAGTTGAGTTTAACAGTATCAAATATCAATGGCTGCTTTGCCCCACAATGATATTCAGCAGACAATGTTGCCATGAAAGACGGTTTATGTCCAGCTGTGGAACCAATACCATTCCTGCAACCTGTTAATAAGTTAAGAGAGTTTATAGAAATACCTCAACTTTCAATATTTATCTTCGATATTCATATACATAATTATGTATCATGAAACAAGCGATACGTTTTAATAAACGCTATGCCCCCGGGGCCACCTTGTTTTTTTTAGCCCGTGACCCCTATATAGAAGTAAATTTTCTTGTACCTGTGATAAATAAACAGAAAGACCAACAGGCTTGAAACAACGGTTTCCTGATGTACTGATATGTTGGCATAAAATAATATTGCCATTGATTTCCATGATTTAACGATTTAACAAAATTTTGATTATCATCATTGCGGTAAGTCAAAACTAGTAAATTATTTTATTTCGAAAATTTTAAGCCACATCGCGAGGTCTGACATTCTGCTATATTATTCCAAATGACTTATACAATGGATTGTAAGGCACTTAACACTTACGAAATTACATATGATTATATATGATCACCATTTTTGTAAACAAATGAATTCATTTAATATTGATTTACCACATTTATCCTGTTCAGATTCTACAGACGCTATTCGGTTCATTAGATCCTCCATCTTCGCCTCCAGTTTGATCCTCATCTGTTTTTCCTCCACTAACAAAAACTCTAAAGCGTCTGTCCTGTTGTTGGGTATATAATTACCATCATTGATAAATCCACACGCTATACTTGTACATATAATTAATATGGTATAAAACAGTATTTTATTTGCCATCTTTGTTTGAAAATTATACATGTATATTGTGCAAGTTTGAGATATCATATCTAATAAACTTTACTCTGACCTCCAACATATATAAAGGGCTATATAATCTTAAGTCGGACATATACTACACAGTAAAAAGTTTAATACTTGGTCTAAAAACGCATGCTGTTTTACAAAACTTTTTTTATATTTGCTTTCAGTTTGGTGCCTTAGGGTTAATACATACCAGCTACTTAAATGTTTTGGCGAAATATTTAATGTTCATACTTGCAGAAATCTTATATTTTGCGGATATATCTGAGTATCTGAGAGCATGTATTTTACACGTACATTTACAAAATTTGCTTTATCATATGTAAACTGAAAGAAACAGATTTTCATTAATAGCTTTAGTTTATTTAAAATAAGTTTTACGGAGGAGAACTGTTTTGTGTAAAGTATTACATTTGTAGCTAATTTGACATTATCATGGCCTCCTGAATGAATGCAAACTAATAAAAAATGCCGACCGATTCTCGTTCATGTTCAAGAGAGTCGTGGTCATAATTCAGGGCAGTGGGCAATGGTAACCCTTTCATCGTTCAGAGCAACCAGGCCTGTGGTGAACATTCATCGTTGAGGTTCAAAAAGATGTGATGACCCCTTCATCATTCGGGGCAAAAGGCCGTGATAACCCTTTCAACATTCAGTACAAAGGCCGTGATAACCCTTCATAGTTCAGGGCAACGAGGGCCGTGTTGACCATTCATTGTACAAAGGCTGTGATAACCCTTCATAGTTCAGGGCAACGAGGGCCGTGTTGACTCTTCATTGTTCGAGGGCTGCGAATACCCTTTCATAGTTCAGGGCAACGAGGGCCGTGTTAAACCTTCATTGTACGAGGGATGTGATAACCCTTTCGTAGTTCAGGGCAACGAGGGCAGTGTTTAATCTTTATTGTACGGGGGCTGTAATAACCCTTTCATAATTCAGGGCAAGAGGGCCGTTTCTAACATTCATTGTACGAGGGCTGTGATAACACTTTCATAGTTCTGGGCTACGAGGGTCATGTGTACCCTTCATTGTACGAGGGTTATGATAGCCCTTTCATAGTTCAGGGCAACGAGGGCCGTGTTGACTATTCATTGTACAAGGGCTGTGGTAACCATTTCATAGTTCAGGGCAACGAGGGCAGTGTTGACCCTTCATTGTTCTACCTTTCATAGTTCAGTTCTTTCATGCATGTCCTAGGTAATCACTTTATCGTAATAGGCCATGTTGACCCTTTATTATCCAAGGCAGAGAGCCCTGGTTGCCTTTTATTTGTTTAGTCAAGGGGAAAACCACCATATTCAGTTAAATATTATAGAAGGCATAAACATCAAATTACCAATGGTAAAATTTGGCGTAGAACTACACATAAAATATGGCCAGTCTCAATATTGAAAAGATTTAACTTAAATGTAACACTGACACTACCACACAGAAGCAGCTGCTATTTTGTAATTTATGCCGAATGTATGTTCTAAAATCAGAACTAATGTACATCTTTTTTTATTACCTATGAAAATCTAACAAATAATCCTTCACCTTTCCTCTAGTAACAATAAATCAAATCTTAATTTAAAGTGTTACCTGTAATAGTCTGTCCCCTTTAAAACTTAAGAAAAATTATCTTTTATCTAGTTTTCAAAGTGTTTGCAGTCTAAAAATAACCAATTAAACAAACTTAATGTCACTAAATTTGATTAGAAAGAGTATATGACATAAAATATCAAAGACAACTATAAATTATTCATATCTTTATTTCATATGATGTAAACAAACACAGATTATCTGAAGCTTTGATTTCATGATTTATTTATTTGTGTAAACACTGAAACTAAGTTGGTTTTCTTTACAAATCAGAAAGAAAACAAGAAAATATATTTACTCTGTAATGCATTTCTCATTAAATTTATAGCATGAGTAAATATCTGTCAATATATCTATCAATCTTGCAATAATGTAATCGAAAATAATTTCTTCATAGTTTTTATCAATGTTTATATTCAACACAAATTTACATAACAATGTAATATGGTATTCTAGTTCATTTCCTTGGCAATTATTTATATGATTTTGTCATACTATGTTTGTATAATGACTGTGACCAGTTTGATTCCGACATTTAACATTAGTTATGTTCATATCCTAGAGGACCACGTCCCTGATCTAACAATTTCAAGGAGGACTCTCGTAGAAGATGTAGCACTCTCTGTAACTCATCTTGTCTAAACACCTGCAAGTAAACAACAGAAATATATAGTGATGTAGCTCACTAAATTACAGGTGCAATATTTGATATTTTCACCTCTGATATCTGATCAGATCTACTAAAATAATCGAGAGACAACCTTATCACAAGGTTCAGCTAATAAAAAAAAATAGGCAGACATGAATTTTGAATACCAACTCCAAAATGTTTGTATTTATCTCTAATAGTCTTTTAGAAGAAAAATATGGAACTGTTAGAAATATTTTACTATAATCAACAGTAGTATTAAGTACATAGTGAAGTATATATATATTACCTGGTATAGTTTGTTTTGCTCAGCTGCTAAGATGTCAGCAAGACGAACACATTCCTGATATTGTTCACTAGTATGTAGAACAGTTTGTAGCAGAAAGACAAGACCTGGTAGTACAAGGTGACGTAGACAATCCATCTGTTCATGTCGTAATGGGTCACTATCTGGTCTGTCTGCTATACTCTCCTCTCCTTCCTCCTGTAATACAAATATCTACTTTATATACCAATAAACCAATATATTCTATTACTTAATAACCAGATAGGATTGTAATCAAGTTTTATGTTCTCCTCCATGTTGGATATTTTCTACACAATTACCTGTAACAGCACACAACAAATGGTAAGCCACAGATGACACGATTTCTTTACAACTATATAGATTATTACTTTTCTCATACTGACATACTCAAGTGGACAAATATATTTCAGCACCATTGTTACAGAGAATAATTTAGCATTTTTTTTATCATTACCAATTTTTTTGTATGTACATACTTGTATATCAAGACATGTTATCTATTACAGTCAGCAATGAATTTCCCTTATTACTTAGTATCACAGTTTAAACTTAGTTGATAAATGATTAATGCGAATACTTAATGCTAATCGTTATTTTATTCTGACAAATGTGCAATCAAAGCATTAACCTAGTGAAGAAAAAGGGAACAAACAATACTACATCTATCATACTTCTGTAAATTTAAGAAAAGGCTACATCTAACATTCCAATATGTGTTTCCTATATTATATATTGCCTCATATAAATTGTATATTACCAAGGTCTGATGCAGACAAGGCCTATAAATGGTGATGAATAAAATAAACTGATTATGTTGATCTTTTTTCCCAATTGTATATGACTTACTAATATATAAACTAGATTTAAACTATTTCAACACATATTCTTCTTTTGTTTCAAGGGTTTTTTGTTAATAACTTAGAGACAATGTATACATAAAGGTTAATTACCAGCAATAATACAAATACAGAATTCATGCAGATAACAACCTTCCTGTACAAGAATGTACAAGGTGTTTTTGTTTATCTTCAAGCAAAAACAAAATGTGTTAATCTCCAAGCAAAAACAAAATGAAGTAAAATAATATTGAGAATGCAAGTACCTCAGCTTGATCCACCATCCAGCCACCATCAGCAAACAGTAACACATTGTATATATGATCTTTGGTTGTCTGTAAAAACAACAAAGATGAATCATTTGACAATATAGTACTTAAACCTTTTACTGTCTATATACAAGTATACCCATCTCACTCACTGTACAATCATTTTTTTTCCAAGTTCTTCTTTATGTACTTTAGAAGTATCTTATACAATATAATAATTTATATCAATGATGTTATAACTGTTAATGCTGTCAATTGAACCCATTATCAAAGGTTGAAAAACTGACGACACTTAAGGGCAGAAATCATATGAAAATCTTTGTAAAATTTTATATTTTTAACTATTCATAGTTCCAAACACACATTAATAAAAGTAATATATGTGACATAGATGTTCTGCCAATCAGCTGGTGAAAATGCTTTTATATTAAACCTTCTAAAATAGACTTATACAGTTTACATTATAGTGCTGATTGGTATCAGAATAAAACTTAATATTGATCAGGCTAACCTGGCTCCATACTGCTGAAAAAAATGCTTGATTAATTAACTTTTAGTTCCTTTACACAACTTAGAATGATCATACCTGTGTTTGCATTAGCAAATTGTGGTGCCATCGTTCTCTTTCTTGATCATATTGTTTCATTCTGTGTTCATAAGCTACCCTATCAGTGAATGATCCACCCTCCGGTGGTGCTGGTTGTGTCGGTTGTCCATGGTGGTAGTGCTGGATCCAATCATTGAAACTTTCCATGGCATCCTGTTAAAACAAAATTATGAATCAATTCTCCTGAACGAGAATTCATTTAATTTTTATTGATTTAATGAAAGTTATTGCCAATCTTAAACCATAAATCACTTTAGACCCTTAAACATACATGTATATCAATAGTATATTGTCACTAAAAATATTTAGTTTGTATAAACACCATGTTTACTCATAAGCCCCTTTCATTGTCTATTTTTTTGTGTGTCTTGTACTTTGATATGAAAGTTTGGCCACAAACCCTTTATCATAATTTTGTAAGGTGACAAGCTATACAAACAAGAGGTGATGGTAGGATAGCAGGCTCAGCTATTCTTAGTGCTTGATAGTAAAACAAGAGCCTGGATAATGTAAAATTCATTAAGTTCAAAAAGTTCTGTCAAAATCCATGTAAAAAAAATATGAGTAATGTTTGAAGGTAAATATATGTAAAAACATTTACAAATTAATCAGAAAGTTTTGTTTTGACAAAGTATAAATATATCCTCATTACCAGATAAGCTTTAAAACAGAGATATTCCCTGACAGCGTTCTTGTCTTCTAGTGGTAACATAGTTGTCCCAGTCTGAAAATATCACAGTTATATAAGTCTCATACACAATTTAACAATCCATAACAAATGAATATCTTTAGACCAATGACAATAATGAGTGATATATGCCTGCAGTCCAAGTCAGGCAAAAATTAAGTCAGGCAAAAATAAATCAGGAAATTTTAACAATAATTTTTCTGATGACTTTTTCATAAAAACCTTTCATATATTGTTAAAATATCTGGTCATGCCAGTATTACCTGTTGCAGCCAGGTTCTATGTACAACATCTACAGAATCTGGTGGTAATTTCTCAAACACTGCACGAGCTGCATCTATCTTCTTTAATGCTACAATAAAATATACACTCTTTATATCTTGACTTTATACTATTTAGTTTATATACAGAATTTATTTTAGTTGATTGTGTAGGAAGCTATTACCTTATAAACAGACTCACAAATATGTTCTTGGAACCAACCAGTACAGAGCAACAAGTGGAAAGTTACTTGCTCAAGGAAACAATGGCTTACCAGTGACAGGGGTTTGAACTCATGCATCTAGCAATCATTAGATTACTAGTTTGACATGTTAACCTCTCAGCCATGCCGCCACTTTAACTATTCAGACATATTTAGACAACTAGGAAGTATTTAGACTTCCTCAGAGGAAAGTCAAGATAGAAATACAAACAAAATTTACATTCTCAGATTTGTTATATCATTGAAGTTTTGTATTGAGCCATTTCTTAACATGCTCTGTAGTCTGAAACTAGTTATATTTTTTAAGCTCTTTTCCCATTAATGTATTCGTATGATTATTCATATGATTATTTTATAGATAAAACATCATTTCCTATCTATATCTTTCCTTTTCATTCCAAACAATCAACAAAGATTAATGTATTCCGCTCCATCATACACAAGATGATTTAAGATGTGGAGTGTGAACTGGTTCAGATATCAATGTTAGTATACAAACAGCTTACCAATGAAAGTTCTCATCACAGCATTGGCTTGTTTGAGAGCTTCAGCACGCTGGCCAATATCAAACACTAACCAATCTATAGCTTCTATCTTCAGTCTGTCCTCCTGCAATATGACAAATAATATAGAACTTTACATAACAACCACACTATGTTTGTATTATACAATATAAGAACAGCCATGCCTGCAGTGTGAACGCTCGTCTGTAAAGGACAACAAATATCAATAACCAATTTTAACAAAAAATTTTAGTTGAAACAGGGTCTTTTTTTTAAAAAAGAAGACTTATTCTATTTGAAGACCCTAGTTAAAAAGGGGCAAACTGGAACATTTTTTTTTCAAATATATGCCCCTTGTCTTACATATGTACCTTGCAAGCATTCCAAATTTCATATTAATAACTTAAAACATTTTGAATAATGGGCTACATAATTGTTTTTGCACAACAACAACACAATGATCATACAATGTAATAGCTTGTCTTTTTCTCTAAAAATCATAATATTGTAAAAATATCAAGATAACAAATTTTACTTGTTTCAACTTATATAATAAGAAATATTACAGAGCAATTCAACAATGCTGTAGAAATAATTGAGAACACCCAACTAATATCATACATGTACTAAAATATAACAGCTGTTATGTAGCTTCTAAAGACGTATGATCAAGCTTTGTTCTTTTTCTCATTTTCTTTTTGCATTTTTTCTTTAGTCTGCATTTTATATGAATTAAGAAATTAAACAGCATTAGCAGAATAAGGAAAGAAATATACAAAATTGATCAAAAGGATTCCACAGTATATAAATGAGTCTACTTCCTGTTATCAGAAGAAAAGTTCGAGTTGAAATATATAGGCACCCAAGTAAGGTTCATTGATCAGAAGTAACATGTGCATGCACAACATGGTACACATTAAATTAAATAGACTTGAAAGACAAGGTATGTGATTTTGTTTATCTACTGTAAATTCATTGTAAACAAAGTTTTGGCAGATATCACATTTTTCATCATCTGATCTCACCAAATTTTATTCTAGCAATCATAATAAGACCAACCTCTGAGATAACAGTGTCTACAGACTCCTGGGCTTCATGTAATGATGTAAAGTCTACATCTGATTTCATACGGATATTTTCTACAACTTTCTTTGTGACAGCTGCTAGATCAAGACCAGCTTCCTCTGCGAGGTCCAGGTAATGTTGACGCTCATCCTTGTTAGTTATACCTGAAATATCAGTGTTTAACTACAATCACGTCTTATGTTTATATTTCAAAATTAAGTGTGTTTTTTTTTTCAAAGTTAAACATTTGAACAATTCACTAATGAAGAAAAAAAACAAAAAAATCATAAAAGAACAATCAATATTTGGCTCTAAACATAATCTTATTACAAGAGAATTGTTAGAATTATTTAAAGTGACATTTTTTCTCTTTGTTTTTTTTTTAGCTGTCAAGTTGAGCTGAATTTACAATATATTGCAAAGAGTGACCATTATAATGGTTTTTGACCAATGACTGATAATAAAAAATGTTTAAGAAAAAAATATGAAAAATGTAAAAAGACTACCCCACTCTATTTAAAACCTGAACATCAGGGTAAAAACACCATTTTTGGGGAAGGGGCCTCAGCCTTTTTCTTGGGGAAAATATGCGTGATTTTGGCATACTTTGGGAAAAGGGGTCTCAAATTTAACACAAAATTTTAACAAGTTCTTCAAAAAAGAAAAGCAAAAAGCACTGGGAAATACATGTTCTAATAAGGCAGTAAAAGACCTTAATTCAACACCATCATTTAATTTTGTTCTAAATATTATGGGAAATTTCAAAAGACTGGGGAATTTTGAGGACCAAACTGGGGAAAAAAGAGGCTAGTTTGCGAAGTCTGATCAGAATCCATGCTGTACGCTACCAGTTTCTCTCCTTGTTATAGGGTTTGCAAGTGAACAGCATGGATCCTGATCAGACTGCGCGGATGCACAGGCTGGTCTGGATCCATGCTGGTCGCAAATGCACTATGTTGGTTTTGTCGTGACGCAGCTCATATAAAGATTTCATTGCGAGTCACATCGGTTAATGATTACACATGTGACGTAAAATATGAAATTGAAAACAACTGTGTCAAAATGTGATGTTATTTTTATTTTTACCCCTGTACACTCACCATGTCACTTTACCCTCTCAAGTTAACAATTTTTTTTAACTTTTTGCAGTAATATAATACATAAAATTGTTATTTACCTTCTAAGAAGAGAGCATACCAATGGACTTGAGCATTCAGTGGTAACTTTGATACATAGTAAGCTATGAGATTATAATGTTTGTCTCTGATCAGTCGTTCAACATAACACTCTAATATTGAATTACACAACTCCTCCTACAATATCAATAAATTCATTTTCATAAACATTTACAGTCAAATACAAAGCAATCAAAGGCATTAAGATATACACAATTGTAGTGAAAAGTTTAGTTTTTTAACAGAAAAATAACAATTGTCAACATTTAGTCTGGTTAAAGTACATAATTATATAATATGCCCATTTGCTAATAAGAACACAAAACAGAGATATGTGGATAGTATATATTTGGCACTACCACAAAACAAATAAGATTTAAATCTTAGCTCTTGCATTCAAATAATTACACTTACTGAGCTTTTCAATTATATGCTTGCCAATGTTACATTAAAGAAAATTCAATTATTACGATACTAAATATGAGCTGTCAGCAGTATAATAACAAACTGTAGGCAGCGTGTACACTATATTGATGACACATTCCAATCATTTATAGTAAATACAAGCAAAAAGTGTCTTTTTTCAATGATTTTCAATATTATCAACAAAGCAAAAGCTATTCTACACATTAACCTAGCTATATTTTAATGGTTTCAACAATGCATAATCTACAAACAAATTTACAGATATGGACAGCTGCAAAAATTTGCTAGAAGCTTTTTGATAAACTATTTACCTTTGTATTTTGCTCCGAGGTTCTGAGAAAGAGAACAAAATGAGCCATAAATCTGAGAGCATGTAACGAGACATCTTGTCCTTGTTGCCTCACACGTTCATACAGTAAATCCAATAATCCTGAATATATATAGACAGTAAATCCAATAATATATATATATATATATGTATATATATTTATATATATATAGACATAACTTCATTAAATCCAATAATCCTGAATATATATAGACAGTAAATCCAATAATCCTGAATATATATAGACAGTAAATCCAATAATATATATATATATATATATATATATATATATATATATATATATATATATATATATATATATATATATATATAGACATAACTTCATTAAATCCAATAATCCTGAATATATATAGACAATAACTTAATTACACATCTAGGGGATATATTTATAATTGTCTTTAACATAAATGTTTTCATTTACTTATGCTCTCTCTACCATTAGTAAATAAATCTGTTCATGTTAATTCATTAAAGGGTTCAATCTCCTTGCATCTTTGCATATAGGATGGACTGTCCATATTGAATAAGTTGTAAGATATTTATGACAATAATTTAGTATGTTTCTTTACCTTTGCAAGGACATGCAGGCTGCCCTGACATATGTAAGTTACTGGAGGTATAAACCTTTCATTATTTCTACAAGTAATGTATACTAAAGTTCATACTAACCAGAAATGTCTCCAACAATAACATATTTCTGTATCAGATGATACAGACCCATTGATTCTTTCTGCATCACTTCATTAGCTTCTATCTCCTTGAACACAGATCTTGTTGTCAGACTACAATTTTATATCAATTTATGAACTGAACTGATAAATATATTGTTTTCCTTTATGACAAATATTAATTTCATTTAACAGTTTTTACAGTTAACTAACAATATCATTTTGCAAAATTACATATAAATATTTTCATTTCAAATGACCTTTATACCTTCAAATAAAATATCAACAAATGTGCACAAACAATGTCATTTACAATGATAATAAATCAATAGAAAAACTGGTACCTTACTGAATATAAAACATGTAATATCAATATAAGCACATCCTTTAATTGATTATGTACAGGTCTTTGATAATAATCAAACACTGTATTGCTCTTCAAGGTACCCTTCTTTCTTGGGCATAAACACTGGATGGTTGCAAACGCTTTGCTATCATCCATGTTCTTTTGGGGATTAGGCTTGTAAGCCAATACCAAGAAAGAAGGAGGCATACTGGCTCGGACTACACCAGACTTAATGGTTTTAACATGTATTATGTCATATTTCCAGTTTAAGTTATATTTATCATATAATCATTCATTTGGTCTGATGTTTCTTAGCCAGTTATGCCAAAAATAAAGATTTATAAGTCTATCACTTGTTTCGTGGTTTTAATTTGATTGAGTATAAATACACATCATTGATAATACTTTAAAATGAAGATTTACTTTTTCTCCCAGTATTCTCCTGGTAGAATGGCTAGAGATCGGCTCAATGTTGTCTTCAATCTGATTTCATCCTCCACTTTCCGGTCAACAAACACACGGAAATATGCCCACACATAGTCCAGCCAGGACTTACATACTGGCAGTACACCTCGTAGGTTACCACTCAATGCAGAATAAATTGCCTTCTCATAAATACCAACTCTTGCCTGCAAAAAAAAGCCATACATATACAATAATATTATATTTAAACAAATAAGATAAGCAAAAAAAAATCATAACAATTAAATAACATCTTATATATTACCAAAATGTATATCTATAAATGGATGAAATGAGTGATGTAATGATATAAAATTTTCATCTTCTTTAGATAAATTAAAAAAAAACCCAAAAAACATTGTTTATTTCATTGCTTTACTGTTTGGCATATACACTACAAAAACTAAACCAAATGGAGTATTAAAATACAATTCTATATAACTGGATAAAAATTATACAATCAAATGATACTATTAAGCATCAAGTATTCCTATAGCTGTACAAATCAAAAACTACCCTTAATAAATTATAGTAAAAAATAAAAAAATATAAGTGATTTTCAAAGCCATATCATTTTTTTAAAGTTTCATTTCTTTCCACTTGATTCAATTAACTGCATTTGATTTATAACTTATGCTTAACATAACACACAACTATACATACATCTTGTGACATATTCCAGCACACAGTCTTCCAAATGTCTCGATGTGGATTACCAATAACAGCTCGTCTCTGACCTTCTGGTCCAACACCCTCAAAGTTTGGATCATGAAATAATTTCCATCCCTCTAAAGTGGCTGCCCTCCATGCCTGACCACAGTCAGAGCACATTTTCTGTGCCTTTAATAGAATGACAATGAGTTAAATATCTTGTTAGCTGTTAGTTTTAAGATAAAGTACATTATAATTCAGATACAGACGCTTGAAGACACCTTGTTTACTGACATAGTTTTTAATGCAATGTGGGTGTATTGGTAGTCTTTTATTTTGTCTTTACATAATTTATTCCAGGTATAGTAAGTTTGGACCATTTTGATACTCTAAGAAAGAGAACTGTCAAGTAAAAATGTTTATTCTAAATTGTAGAGACAGCAAGCAAAAAGCCTTATGGGAAGCTATATAGAGCTTCATGTTAAACATAAGTGAATTTGTAAAACAAGTGAAGTTTCAACATAAGCATAAAAAGAAAATAATTACAACTTAATTACAAATTTACTAATGTACCTTTTCAAGTTGCCCTGCTCGTAAACACACAAAAATATACTGCAATAAGCGATCTTCATCTTCTTTGTCTAGGTCATCTAGAAGCCTGTTTTGTCTTATTGGTGCATCAGGGTCCTATAAAAGTTTAACAACCACATAAACTAAATCAACCACCTTCAAGATGTATAAAAATTTTTTTGGGCATTCTTCTATTGTTGATAGTTACTTTCTTTTTAACATTAATTAAAGTTCAATCATAGTGCTATATACTTCACACACAATGTTCATGTGTATTTTATTGTTTTTTAATAACTTATAACTGGTAAGAATACTCACGAGTTCTGTAATAAGATTTCTCTCTGCACCAGCTGGTACCCCAGTCTGTTGATTCTGTAACCTATGGCGGGCATTCTCACTGTTGTCATATACAAAAATATTTGTGAAGCTAACATAAACATAACTAAGTAAATTTTAACACAACACATACTTAGTAAGGGTTAACATAAAAGACAACTTTCAGAGAAGAAAGCATACTCTACAATTTCATACTGATAACTGATGGCATAAACAAGAAATAAAAAAATCTATAGGTAAGTATAAATAACAATCCTGCCTTTGTATAATGAAGCTAATTAAATGTCATGTACATGTAATAATGCTAAATCATTATCGATACTAATGTGAAAATTGCCAATCACTTACAGTTCAGATATGACTTTGCAATGGTATGTTAAATTCAAACTTAAAAGAGAATTAACATAACAATATATGGCTGATCATGTAAAATTTCATTTTGAAAATTGTAACTCTCCAAACTGAAAGAAAGCATAGCTGGATGGAATACACAAACCAGTGTATGAGTATAATGCTAGCTAAAGGTGTTTTTTTATCCCCATATCATTGTAAACAACAGAGAGGGCATTGTGACAAATTATACTTACTATCCTACAGCTCTGTCAGAGAAAAAACTTGATATTATCTGCAAAATTCTCACAATCATCCTGGGCACAACTCTCCAGCCAGTCCACAACTAACTGTATATAATATACAATATTATCTGATATAAACATGTGATAATACAACAATATGTTTCATGCCTGTAAAAACTTCCAAAAAAGCAATGGTCTTTCTGGTTATTAACTTGAAATAATAAAGGCACACAAAATAACTTAGAAAATTTCTTTTAAAGTGAAAGTACTCTTAACCATGACACACCTCTCTGATTTTTATGAAAGGTAAATAAACAAATAAGTTCACCTGAACAATGTTTACCTGAGCTTCTCTAACAGACTGGTCCCTATCAAACAATGTTTACCTGAGCTTCTCTAACAGACTGGTCTCTATCAAACAATGTTTACCTGAGCTTCTCTAACAGACTGGTCCCTATCAAACAATGTTTTACCTGAGCTTCTCTAACAGACTGGTTCCTATCAAACAAGGCTTACCTGAGCTACTCTAACAGACTGGTCCCTATCAAACAATGTTTACCTGAGCTTCTCTAACAGACTGGTCTCTATCAAACAAGGCTTACCTGAGCTTCTCTAACAGACTGGTCCCTATCAAACAATGTTTACCTGAGCTTCTCTAACAGACTGGTCTCTATCAAACAATGCTTACCTGAGCTTCTCTAACAGACTGGTCTCTATCAAACAATGTTTACCTGAGCTTCTCTAACAGACTGGTCCCTATCAAAACAAGGCTTACCTGAGCTTCTCTAACAGACTGGTCCCTATCAAACAATGTTTACCTGAGCTTCTCTAACAGACTGGTCTCTATCAAACAATGCTTACCTGAGCTTCTCTAACAGACTGGTCCCTATCAAACAACATGTTTACCTGAGCTTCTCTAACAGACTGGTCTCTATCAAACAATGTTTACCTGAGCTTCTCTAACAGACTGGTCCCTATCAAACAATGTTTACCTGAGTTTCTCTAACAGACTGGTCCCTATCAAACAAAGCTTACCTGAGCTTCTCTAACAGACTGGTCTCTATCAAACAAAGCTTACCTGAGCTTCTCTAACAGACTGGTCCCTATCAAACAATGTTTTACCTGAGCTTCTCTAACAGGGACTGGTCCCTATTCAAATAGAGCTTACCTGAGCTTCTCTAACAGACTGGTCTCTATCAAACAATGCTTACCTGAGCTTCTCTAACAGACTGGTCTCTATCAAACAATGTTTACCTGAGCTTCTCTAACAGACTGGTCCCTATCAAACAAGGCTTACCTGAGCTTCTTCTAACAGACTGGTCTCTATCAAAACAATGCTTACCTGAGCTTCTCTAACAGACTGGTCTCTATCAAACAATGCTTACCTGAGCTTCTCTAACAGACTGGTCTCTATCAAACAATGTTTGACCTGAGCTTCTCTAACAGACTGGTCCCTATCAAACAAGGCTTACCTGGAGCTTCTCTAACAGACTGGTCCCTATCAAACAAGGCTTACCTGAGCTTCTCTAACAGACTGGTCCCTATCAAACAATGTTTACCTGAGCTTCTCTAACAGACTGGTCTCTATCAAACAATGCTTACCTGAGCTTCTCTAACAGACTGGTCCCTATCAAACAATGTTTACCTGAGCTTCTCTAACAGACTGGTCTCTATCAAACAATGTTTACCTGAGCTTCTCTAACAGACTGGTCCCTATCAAACAATGTTTACCTGAGTTTTCTCTAACAGACTGGTCCCTATCAAACAAAGCTTACCTGAGCTTCTCTAACAGACTGGTCTCTATCAAACAAAGCTTACCTGAGCTTCTCTAACAGACTGGTCCTATCAAACAATGTTTACCTGAGCTTCTCTAACAGACTGGTCTCTATCAAACAAAGCTTACCTGAGCTTCTCTAACAGACTGGTCTCTATCAAACAATGGTTTACCTGAGCTTCTCTAACAGACTGGTCCCTATCAAACAATGTTTACCTGAGTTTCTCTAACAGACTGGTCCCTATCAAACAAAGCTTACCTGAGCTTCTCTAACAGACTGGTCTCTATCAAACAAAGCTTACCTGAGCTTCTCTAACAGACTGGTCTCTATCAAACAATGTTTACCTGAGCTTCTCTAACAGACTGGTCTCTATCAAACAATGCTTACCTGAGCTTCTCTAACAGACTGGTCTCTATCAAACAATGTTTACCTGAGCTTCTCTAACAGACTGGTCCCTATCAAATAGAGCTTACCTGAGCTTCTCTAACAGACTGGTCTCTATCAAACAAGGCATTCACTATCTTTTCATCACTCTGATATATACCCTGAAACATAGATTTGGGATTTATGTAAATTATTAAGAAGGTACCACAATTTGTCAATGCACAATTACAAGATCACTAGATGTATGCATGCTATGTGATATATATCAGACCATCGTATATCATAAACAGGTGAACATATTAGTATAGATCACTTTCATGGATAAAATATATCTAAACATTCATTAAACCTTAACAAGAGCTATCGGTAGGACAGCAATGCTCGACTATTCTTAGTGCTTGATAGTAAAAAAAATGCTTGATACAGTTAACTCCTCCTGTTTACAGGTTGGGGTAATGATGGTGAGCAAGTGTGCAAAGTTTCAAAGCCATATGCCAATGGACTTTGAAAATATTTGAGGTATTACAAAAACTTCAACGTAAATTCTTAGTCGAAAAAGGGGCATAATTCTGTCAAAATGCTTGATAGCAGTTAAGTTCTTCTGTCTACAGGTTGGGGTGATGATGTTGAACAAGTGTGCAAAGTTTCAAAGCCATATGTGTCAATAGACTTTAGAAAATATTTGAGGTATTACAAAAACTTTAACGTAAATTTTAAGTCATAAAAAGGGGCATAATTCTGTCAAAATGCTTGATACAGTTACCTCCTCCTGTCTACAGGTTGGGGTGATGATGGTGAACAAGTGTGCAAAGTTTCAAAGCCATGTTGTCAATGGATTTGGAAAGTATTTGAGGTATTACAAAAAACTTTAACATAAATTCTTAGTCAAAAAAGGGGCATAATTCTGTCAAAATGCTTGATACAGTTATCTCCTCCTGTCTACAGGTTGAGGTCATGCTGGTGAACAAGTGTACAAAGTTTCAAAGCCATATGTCAATGGACTTTGAAAATATTTGAACTATTACAAAAACTTTTAACACAAGAGCTGTCGGATAGGACAGCAGGCTCGACTATTCTTAGTGCTTGATAGTAAAAAAAATGCTTGATACAGTTAACTCCTCCTGTTTACAGGTTGGGGTAATGATGGTGAGCAAGTGTGCAAAGTTTCAAAGCCATATGCCAATGGACTTTGAAAATATTTGAGGTATTACAAAAAAACTTTCAACGTAAATCTTAGTCGAAAAAGGGGCATAATTCTGTCAAAATGCTTGATACAGTTAAGTCCTTCTGTCTACAGGTTGGGGTGATGATGGTGAACAAGTGGTGCAAAGTTTCAAAGCCATATGTCAATAGACTTTGAAAATATTTGAGGTATTACAAAAACTTTAACGTAAATTTTAAGTCATAAAAGGGGCATAATTCTGTCAAAATGCTTGATACAGTTACCTCCTCCTGTCTACAGGTTGGGGTGATGATGGTGAACAAGTGTGCAAAGTTTCAAAGCCATGTGTCAATGGATTTGGAAAGTATTTGAGGTATTACAAAAACTTTAACATAAATTCTTAGTCAAAAAAGGGGCATAATTCTGTCAAAATGCTTGATACAGTTATCTCCTCCTGTCTACAGGTTGAGGTCATGCTGGTGAACAAGTGTACAAAGTTTCAAAGCCATATGTCAATGGACTTTGAAAATATTTGAACTATTACAAAAACTTTAACACAAGAGCTGTCGGTAGGACAGCAAGGCTCGACTATTCTTAGTGCTTGATAGTAAAAAAAATGCTTGATACAGTTACCTCCTCCTGTTTACAGGTTGGGTCATGATGGTGAACAAGTGTGCAAAGTTTCAAAGCCATATGCCAATGGACTTTTGAAAATATTTGAACTATTACAAAAACTTTAACGTAAATTCTAAGTCGAAAAAGGGGCATAATTCTGTCAAAATGCTTGATAGAGTTACCTCCTCCTGTTTACAGGTTGGGCTCATGATGGTGAACAAGTGTGCAAAGTTTCAAAGCCATATGTCAATGGACTTTGAAAATATTTGAACTATTACAAAAACTTTAACGTAAATTCTAAGTCGAAAAAGGGGCATAATTCTGTCAAAATGCTTGATAGAGTTACCTCCTCCTGTCTATAGGTTGGGGTCATGATGGTGAACAAGTGTGCAAAGTTTGAAAGCCATATGTCAATGGATTTTGAAAATATTTGAACTATTACAAAATCTTTAACGTAAATTCTAAGTCGAATTAAACTCCTGTTTACAGGTTGGGGTCAAGATGGTGAACAAGTGTGCAAAGTTTCAAAGCCATATGTCAATGGACTTTGAAAATATTTGAACAATTACAAAAACTTTAACGTAAATTCTAAGCCATATGTCAATGGACTTTGAAAATATTTGAACTATTACAAAAACTTTAACGTAAATTCTAAGTCGAAAAAGGGGCATAATTCTGTCAAAATGCTTGATAGAGTTACCTCCTCCTGTCTACAGGTTTCGGCTCATGATGGTGAACAAGTGTGCAAAGTTTCAAAAGCCATATGTCAAACACTGGACTTTGAAAAATATTTGAACTATTACAAAAACTTTAACATAAGTGTTGTTACGCCGACTACGACGCCGACGCGACGCTCGGGTGACTGCAATAGCTCTACTTTATTCTTATCGAATAGTCGAGCTAAAAAGGGGCATAAATTCTGTCAAAATGCTTGATAAAGTTACCTCCTCCTGTTTACCCAGGTTGGGGATCATATGGTTTGAACAAGTGTGTGCAAAGTTTCAAAAGCCATATGTTCAATGGACTTTGAAAATATTTGAACACTATTACAAAAAACTTTAACGTAAATTCTAAGTCGAAGGGGCATAATTCTGTCAAAATACTTGATAGAGTTACCTCCTCTTGTCTACAGGTTAGGGTCATGAAACTGGTGAACAAGTGTGCAAAGTTTCAAAGCTGTCAATGGACTTTGAAAATATTTGAACTATACAAAAACTTTAACGTAAATTCTAAGTCAAACAAGAGCTGTCGGTAGGACAGCATGCTCGACTATTCTTAGTGCTTGATAGTAAAAAAAAATGCCTGATACAGTTACCTCCTCCTGTTTACAGGTTGGGGTCATGATGGTGAACAAGTGTGCAAAGTTTCAAAGCCATATGTCAATGGACTTTGAAAATATTTGAACAATTTACAAAAACTTTAACGTAAATTCTAAGTCGAAAAAGGGGCATAATTCTGTCAAAATGCTTGATAGAGTTACCTCCTCCTGTTTACAGGTTGGGGTCATGATGTTGAACAAGCGTGCAAAGTTTCAAAGCCATATGTCAATGGACTTTGAAAATATTTGAACTATTACAAAAACTTTAACGTAAATTCTAAGTCGAAAAAGGGGCATAATTCTGTCAAAATGCTTAATAGAGTTACCTCCTGCTGTCTACAGGTTGGGGTCATGATGTTGAACAAGTGTGCAAAGTTTCAAAGCCATATGTCTATGGACTTTGAAAATATTTGAACTATTACAAAAACTTTAACGTAAATTCTAAGTCGAAAAAGGGGCATAATTCTGTCAAAATGCTTGATAGAGTTACCTCCTCCTGTCTACAGGTTGGGGTCATGATGGTGAACAAGTGTTGCAAAGTTTCAAAGCCATATGTCAATGGACTTTGAAAATATTTGAACTATTACAAAAAACTTTAACGTAAATTCTAAGTCGAAAAAGGGGCATAATTCTGTCAAAATACTTGATAGAGTTACCTCCTCCTGTCTACAGGTTGGGGTCATGATGGTGAACAAGTGTGCAAAGTTTCAAAGCCATATGTCAATGGACTTTGAAAATATTTGAACTATTACAAAAACTTTAACGTAAATTCTAAGTCGAAAAAGGGGCATAATTCTGTCAAAATGCTTGATAGAGTTACCTCCTCCTGTCTACAGGTTGGGGTCATGATGGTGAACAAGTGTGCAAAGTTTCAAAGCCATATGTCAATGGACTTTGAAAAATATTTGAACTATTACAAAAACTTTAACGTAAATTCTAAGTCGAAAAAGGGGCATAATTCTGTCAAAATGCTTGATAGAGTTACCTCCTCCTGTCTACAGGTTGGGGTCATGATGGTGAACAAGTGTGCAAAGTTTCAAAGCCATATGTCAATGGACTTTGAAAATATTTGAACTATTACAAAAACTTTAACATAAGTGGTTACGCCGACGCCGACGCCGACGCTCGGGTGACTGCAATAGCTCTACTTATTCTTATCGAATAGTCGAGCTAAAAAGGGGCATAATTCTGTCAAAATGCTTGATAGAGTTACCTCCTCCTGTCTACAGGTTGGGGTCATGATGGTGAACAAGTGTGCAAAGTTTCAAAGCCATATGTCTATGGACTTTGAAAATATTTGAACTATTACAAAAACTTTAACATAAGTGGTTACGCCGACGCCGACACTCTGGTGACTACAATAGCTCTACTTTTTTTTATTGAATAGTCGAGCTAAAAAAGATGACATACACAAGAACACCACATGCTGTGTTAACACTCGTGTGTTACAGTCATCGCCTATCAATAACAAATTTTCACAAATAGTCTCAGTTGAAAAGGGAAATAACTCCTAAAAATATTGCTTTTAGGATTATGCCCTTTGTGTTATAAATGCAGCCAATCATGCTAAGTAAATATTCTGAGAAATGTGTTGTTACCCCTTTAAAATATTTAAATAATGGACTACCACTAAAGGTTTTGCGTTACAACAACAACAATGCATTGTAATAGCTTGACTTTTTCTTCAAAACAGACTAAGATAAAAATAACAAAAATCTCATTCTTCGCAGACTGTAACTCCAACACCATGTGATGTATACAAATGGAAGAACCAATTAGGAAATAAAGTGAGGTACCTGTACAACTTGTATGTCCTCCTCCCCCTCTTCCATCATACACTCTTCCCTCATACAAGTCTCATGTCTGTCCTTGAACAAACTCCTGATCAGCTTCCATGTCGCCTCCTCCTCATACAGCTGGTGTAATACTATAAACGTCTTTCTCATCCTGGATCACATAAACACGACAACATTTTAACAATTAAAGTTGCTTAACTTTGTTAATACACTTGACCATTATAATCTTTAAATAGTCATCTTAAAAATACCTTTTTCTGCCAAAAAAACCCCCAAAGCATTTTAAATTCTTATTTTTCAGTTAAAAGTGCAAACCAAGTCTCTTTCAACTCATATAAAGTATGGCTGTAAGGTAGAAAGTGTTTAGCAATCTATTCTGTATGCAAGATCCGAATCACACTAGTCAAACCTGTCTTAAAGACCATCTCCAAATATGGACCACTCTGTAAATAAAGGCCTTCTAGCGACAAACCTTCATTGATTAAATAGAACAAAATAACCTCCAAATAGAGACCGCCCATTAATTGCCATGTTAAGTCTCTCTTTTGGGTGGTCATAGTTCACAGGTTTCCCTGTATAAATAAATACATATTGCAAAGAATTTGGAAAACTGAAAAATTGATTTTTAAAGTGAACATCCTTGACTTTCTGAGTTAAGTTGCCTTAAATTTAAAAGATCCATGCAAAAGCATGAATTTATTGTACAGCAATACTTTGACTATTTGCAACTATAACTCTATGTGTGACTATGACTTACTTTTCCTCTTGTCTTGAGGCATGTGTGACAAGTTTTTTCAACATAACAACTTGTTCTTTACATGTCTTCTGATATTCCTCCACCAGAAGAAATAGTTCTGCTTCCGACGGATGAGCTCTATGGCACTGTAGGAAATCCTCAAACAAACCTTTGGATGCTATAAATAAAAGAAATTGTGCACACTAAATCTTGGAGTCATTTCACAAAACAATGAAGTTGTATCTGTTATTATTGTTTGTTTCATTTTACAACTTTTTCCAACAATATTTCAGTCACATAGGCGGTTAGTTTCCTGACCATCGTTCCTAGAGAGTTACACCAGTACTAGACTACCTCCCTCCATGCTAAACTACCAAAGCATCTCCCGGGGATCAAACCCACGCCAGAGAGGTAACTAATGGATTAGAAGTCATCGACTCTTAACCCCTCGACCACGGAGGCGGTATGTATCTGTTATTAAGATGTATCTTTTACTAAGTACTCCACACATTTGAGACCCTGCATATTTTATAGCAGTCCCTAGTACTAAGAAAAATAATTAACACTTGACAAATCAAGAACACTGTATTCTATCAAGATGAGACTTATAACACCATTCAAATGTAAACAATTTATTATCAAAGTCAGACAAGACAAGATAATGTCACATGTAAAGATTTTAATTTTCTTTATCTTGAAACCTCTCAATATGTTATAATGGTCCATTCAAAACTCAAAGCAAGAAAAGAGTGAGGGAAATACAAACTGTTAATTTGTTACTAACTCAAAATTCAAAGCTGAGCACATTGGTTACTTACAAGCAACAAGGAGTTTTTTTTTGTTTTTTTGTCTTTATGCCAATTCAGACAATTCAATTATGACTTGGTCATACATGTACCTCCATAGGACACGAAGTAAATTTGGTGTACAATTTACCTGAGACTCCAGGATCCTCTTCTAAAAGTAGGCCAACATTTGTTGTTGTTATCTCCTCAGTCATGTCCTCCTGTAATACCAATATGTCTTATCATGATAATAGTAATAATAATAATAATAGTAATAGTAATAATTTCAAATTCACATGACAACATTTTAGGTCTAATTACATCTCTCTTGTTTCATTGTCAAAATGGGAGCCCAGATACCTTGTGGATTTTTTAATATATTATATAAAATTGTATCATTTATAAACAATTTTATTTAATGTAAAGAACATGAACTTTACTAACATTATGAAAACAGGTTATGATTGTTATGTTTTCATAAATTATAAGTCAGTGAATCATCAAATGCTTTTTCTTTCATAGCTTTTGACTGAATTAATGACATAATTATGTAACTTGGTTTTAATGACAGGTTTCAAAGAACTTGACTTTGCTTATAAGATATAAATAGGTCATGAAATGGCACGTTCTTTACACTTTGAGTAGACCAGAACTGATTTTGTCCAAAAATAGATAAACATTATTGCAAATAGTTATTAAATCAGAAATCATTAAATAAAATCAGAAATGAAACACACTAAATCTCAAATTTTGATGTTGAAATTAACTTACTGCCTCATGTACATTGACCCTAATTCCAGCTTACCACTGACCAAACATATTCCTACATTTTGATCAAAGTAAATGAATAAATAGCCTATAAACTACAAACTCCTGTAAGTAGCTAGAAATAAAGCAAATATATAAGATGAAAATAAAATACCTCCTGTAATGGTCTCAGCCCAGATGTGTTGTGGAATGATGATTGAAAACTGTCATCATGAAAAGACTGTCAAACAAAAAAGTAACATAGTAAACATACTGAATCACAATTTTCAAAAACACACAGGTAATTTCATAGTATTCAACTTGTTGGCTGTATTATACATACACATCAATATTTTGTATTTAGCGCTGCACCTAAACATTCACTATTGATTCTCAAAAAATATGAAAATTCAATTACCATAAATAAACAAGCAATTATCATAGTATTGCAAGCAATCAATAAGTCCCCTACCGGTAAGAGCCCAAGCAACATTCTGAAGGGCCATTGGCCATTCACTTAGGTTCCTATTTTAAGTAAATTTGTTGAAAAAAGTTCTTTAAAAGTGATCACAGGAAACAGTTTTTATGTACAGACAGACGGACTGAAGGACACTCTAAAGTTATTTTTTAAACATCCCTGTTATCAAAATATAACATTTTTAAAATCCTATCATGATTGAAGAAGTTGGAGTAAAAATTACCAATTTCTCAAAAAAAAGTCTAAGTTCAAAAGGGGCATAATTCTGGAAATAGTCTTGCTAGAGTATTGAACACTCACAAATGTTGAGTGACAATAAGAAACATTTATATGAAGTTTGAAGTAGATACATTCAGAAAAAGAAGTTATTAAAAAAAACAATGTTTTTTCATGAAAAATTTTAAGTTCAAGGGAGTAATTCTGATAAATAATTGTGCTAGAGTTGTAAAACCTTGTCACATATGATGTGTTGGTTGATGACAAGCAACTTATATTTAAAGTTTGAAGAAAACACCTTAAGAAATAAAGAACTTATAGTGAAAAAACTTAAAAACTAGAATCAGAAATCTTGAAATTCAGTCTATTTGTTGCCATAGCAACCAGAATTTTCAAACATAGGAAGATAAAAAAGGATGTGCATAATTTCCATACTGCCATCTACCCATATGTCAAGTTTCATAAACATATTTTCAGTACTTTTTGTGTTATCACTGGATCCAGGTTATGTGTAAAATTTGCCATATTTTCAGTCTATTGTTGCCATAGCAACCAGAATTTCAAACATAGGAAGAAAAGAAAAAAGACGTGCATAATCTACATACTGTCATCTATCCATATATCAAGTTTCATTAAAAAATATTTTCAGTACTTTTGCGTTATCGCGGGATCCAGGTTATGTGTAAAAATTTGCCATATTTTCAGTCTATTTGTTGCCATAGCAACCAGAATTTTCAACATAGGAAGAAAAGAAAAAGACGTGCATAATCTCCATACTGCCATCTATCCATATATCAAGTTTCATTAAAATATTTTCAGTACTTTTTGCGTTATCGCGGGATCCAGTTTTGTGGACGGACGGACAGATGGACGGACGGACTGACGGACGGACAGACAGACGGACGGAGGGTAAACCAAAAGTCCCCTCCGGTAAACCGGTAGGGGACTAATAAATACACATCAAAAATGCATTATTGACATAAATATGTGTACAAGAAGTATAAATAATGTCTGATACAACTTTTGATTTAAGTTAAATTGATAGGTAAAAACTTACTCTTTGAAATGATTTGTTTCCCTGAGGCGTCTTTTTTGGAGTTGGTCCAAATCTTGTTGAAACATCAAACTTTGTTCCTGATGACAACAAGCGTGGGGTGTCTACAAAATTACAAGTCAATATCACATAAATAATGCAGATTTGTGTAGTTTGTTTTTTCAAATACAATAAATCTTGAAAAAGGAGAATCAAAGTAACGCTTGTCCTCATTTATTTTCCTATACAAGTTGGCTCTTTTACATATAAAATTGTTTGAGATGGGTTTTTTTTTTTTAATTCTGTAACAACGACCACCCAATCTCTGTAATGTCAATTAGATGTTGTTTACAATAGACATTTTTATTGTACATTTGTTAAAATAGTGCTGTCAAAATGACAGCATCTTGTCCAATATAGATTTTACAGTTATGTACTGGTTCAATAAAATTTAGAGTGGTGGCATGGACAAGTAGTTAACACAGACTAGAAATCTAAGGATTGCTGGCTGCATGGGTTCAAACCCCAACAGGTGTAAGCCGTTGTATCTGTGAGCAAGAACATTTACACTCGTTACTTAGTATATGTTGGTTTCAGAAACACAGGGAGTGTTTCAATTAGTTTATAGCTCCCAACACATTCAAACTAAAATAATTTGTATAAACTAAACTAATAGAATTCAGTGCTGTTCTCAGCAGTATGATATTTCATTTGAATTAAACAAAGTCTATCTGTTATATTTTCACTCATGGCAACACCACTCATAAAAATATTGCATCTGGTATGCACTCTGTGAAATATGTTTGGATTTACTATGAGACAGAAACAAATATCTTACATGAAGTGTGTTTTAGTGTTCCACCCGGAGTTCTCCATCCCTTTGTGGATGGGGATCCTACGCTCTCATCTAATAACTGTATTGCTAATTTTGTGTTAAGGAAACCTGATAATTATGGTCTTTTCATACAAAAATTGTACATGGATTAAGGTTTTACTTTGTTCTAATGAATAATTATAGTTTCAAGGCAAGATTTCAACCTCAATTGTTGGAGAAAGCATGTATCCTTTAACAAGAAGATAATTGGTAAAACATGATCAGTTGTTTAAATAAGCATTAACCAGACAGCATAAAACTAGTTCATTCTCTCTTTAGTTAGCAAAAATATCAAAGTTAACTTTGAAAATTGCTAAGTTATTAGCCCAGCTTACTTTTAAAGTTTAATCCAATTTTTTATGACTACTATGTTAAAAATAATTATACTTTATTTCCCTTTAGCTGTCTATTCCATTAAAGTTAGGGCTAGGAAGATATTTCTTTATTAAGACATATTCAATTATCTTAAGATATTTGGATTTCCAAAAACAAAAAAACAAAAAACAAACACATACATACATGATAACAATTTTTTGTATTTGTTTATTACCAAAGATGTGAATTTCATTGGATTTATGGCATATGTTCAGCCTTATTATAATTTATTACTAAAAGGATACATTTCTGTACATTGAGTGCTGTACTTCTCCTTTTAAATACTTTACTGATTTGCTGGTCTCTCACAGCTGGAGAACCACCATCTAACATGGCCTCAAATGTCTGTAAACTTCTGAAATGAGAGATGTAAAATGAAGAGATATAAGACAAGGAAGAGTTAAAAAATACATGATTTTCAAGACACAGCCACTACAAGTATAACAAGAATTTGTAACAGAGTTACCAATGCCGATGTTAATCTTTGACCTCTAAGTGTGACCTTGACCTTAGAGGTAGGGGTGCAAGTGTTGTGCATGGCATATCCTCTTATTATTGTAACTATTTGTGGCAAGTATTTTCAAAAACCCTTGAACAATGAAGAAGTTATAGATCGGACACAAAATATACCCTATAACAGACCATGTTAATCTTTGACCTCATAGTGTGACCTTGGAGGTAGGGACCCATGTTTTGCGCCTGACATATCGTCTTATTATTGTGGTGATTTGTGCAAAGTATTTTTAAAATCCCTTGATCTATGAAAAAGTTATGGCCTGGACACAAAATATACCCTATAACAAACTATCTAAATCTTTGACCTCTAAGTGTGTCTTTGACCTTGGAGGTAGGGACACAGGTGTTGCTCATGACATATCATCTTATCATTGTGACTATTTGTGCCAAGTATTTTCAAAATCCCTTGATCTATGAAAAAGTTATGGACTGGACACAAAATAAACCATATAACAGACTCTGTGCAGGTGTTGTACATGACATATTGTCTTATTATTGTGACTATTTGTGCCAAGTTATTTCAAAATCCCATGAACTATGAAGAAGTTCTAGTCTTCTAGATCAGACACAAAATATACCCTATAACAGACTATATTAATTTTTGACCTCTAAGAGAGACCTTGACCTTGGAGGCAGGGATGCAGGTGTTGCGCATGACACATCATCTTATTATAGTGACTGTTTGTGTAAAGTATTTTCAAAATCCTTTGATCTATGAAAAAGTTATGGACCGGACACAAAATATATCTTATAACAGACAATGATAATCTTTGACCTCCAAGTGTGACCTTGAAGTTGGAGGTAGGTGACCGGTTCTTGCGCATGACACATTGTGAACAATTGTGGCATGTATTTACAAAATCCCTTTAAAGATAAGAAAGTAATTGACCAGACAGGACATATACTCTAAAATAGACAATGTTGACCTTGAATGAGCAAGTGTGACCTTGACAACTGAGGTAGGGGTCTGTTTTTTGCGCATGACACATCGTCTTATTATAACAAACATTTGTGCCAATTTATTCCAAATTCCTTTGTTAAATGACAAAGTTATGGACCAGACACGAAAGTGTAACAGACGGATGGACAGACGGACTTAAGAAATGGTACTAATGTGACTTTTTCCTTTGATCTTTTTAGCCATTTTTAGTCACACAAGGCTTAAAAAAAGACACACAAGTAAAAACAGAATGAATAGGATCAAAGAGAATTTACTGTTACCCATTGTTCTCCAAGTCACACAAGTACCTCTGGGTTTGTACAGACAGACGGATGGAGGCTATTTCTATATCCCCCTCTCTTCTCCGAACAATTATAAACCCATTAACAATGTTACACTGAAGTCAAACTTGTGCTTTAGACAATCTTAGAGTAACCTCACATATAAAGCATTTCATTAAACAGCCTGCTTGTATACTTTCATCTAATGTAAAAATCACTATTTCACTAGACAACCAGCATACAAAGGACAGTTTTTCAAAGACTTGTCTAAGGACTTTTACAACATGTATGACAGTATTTAAAAGGTTAAATGGTTTCATTCAACATGCTGTAAACGAATACAACATGAACATACATGTCATGTCACAATGGATATTATGTCAGCATTATATCTTTTAAGTTTAAATAAACAACAGCATACCTCCTGCCATGTCGCTGTGCAGCAAAAGATTCATCTCTAGACATGTCCTGTAAATACAACCAGATATTTAATATTACAAAAAGAAGCATGCATACATTTACAGTTTACAAACTTCACACTAGCCTGCTTTAAAGGTCATTCTGTCAAGGTCATTTATGAGACAAGGTCAATTTCAACCAGCTCCACTTGAAGATCTTGACCCAGTGTTGTTGTGTCCAAGTATGAAGACAATCGATTTAGAAATACAAGAAGTGCTGCAATGCGATGAAAACCAGGTTTTCAACGACCAAGTTTTGATGTGACAGCAATCAATAGGTCAAAGTGCACTTTTATTGAGTAGAAGCTGAAAATTCTATTGTAAGCAAATGACCTTGACCTTGCTCCCAGATATCTAAGTGGCAATCCAAAGCTGCCACACAGCAAGTTTGGTGTCAAAAGGTCAAAGCAAAATCAAGTTATTACGTAAAAACTGAATACATTAACCTTGATCTCAGACACCTGGGTAGCAATCCAAAGCTGCCTCTTGATATAAGCTACCCATTAATCACGAAAATGCATGTTATTTTATGACTTTAAGCGAGGATTTTAACCAAAAAACAGCAATTGTCTTTGTACGTTTACTTTTTAGAGATTAATCGCCTTGTTGGCTACAGTAAAAAAAAGTATGAATATCGATCTTTGTCATCTCAACTTGTCGAGAAAAAATAGCATTTGGTCGCAGTTAAATAACACCAATTGTAATAGTCTACAAAATTTTGATAATAGTCCTTTTTGTTTCATTAAGTTTAATTTTCGACACTTTTAAAATGAAACAAAAAAAAACGAAAATTATTGTTGTTGGGCTCTGATAATTGCGTCAATTACCGACGGTATAGAAGTTTGTCCATCATTAAGGAAAGTTTGCATGTTCCGTGAAACGCATTTTAAAATTCTATTGTCAGTCCCTTGCTAGGCTTTAATTATGGCTTATTAATTGATTGTGCTTTTATTTTCGATATTTATCTACTGTATTTGAAAATTATACAATTATTTTTGCTTTTCACTGTTTTTTTTTTTTTCAATGTTCTTTTTATTTATCCCACTCCGATCATTATTTATTTGATCCATGTGCTTAATTAACAAAAATTCATCTTTCATACAAATGAAACAACAAATCATTATCATGAGGCACAAATTAACATATGCATGTTCGACTTCCATATAATTTTGAAAAGTGCCGTACCGCTAGACAATACATTGACTCCTGGCTAGTCATATGTGACTCACGTACGGCTAGAACTTTTGGCTATCCATACATGCCCGTACGGCTAGCCACTTCCTTATTTTTACAGACTGTAATAGCGGCATGACATATTTGAAGACAAAGGAAATGTTATAAAATATTTAATAAATTCTCATACATTCGAGCACGGATTTATATTACAAGGATCGGACACTTTCGTTTAGCTTAAAATCCCGTCGCGCGCATGCGCGGAATCGGATAAAGGTGGACAGAATGAGAGATGGCGGAACGCGCGGAGTGCAAAATATGACAGATTTTCACAAGAGTATGTGGTGTTATTGCAGCTTTGTGAAAAATTATACACATATGAATGTATTGATACAGTATTATTTTGTGCCGCTAAAGTATTAATATATGAAAATATGCCAATAGAACGCTGCAACGCTTAGTTAAAAAAGTACCTAATTTAAAAAATATTTGCCTATTGTTTAGGCATACTCTCTACACTTTGACGCCCTTTTACTTCAAGCATGAATTATTACCGCGATTCAGAATAAGATAATTATTTTTTACATGGTTTAATGATGGCAATGCAAAAAAATGTTTCTTGGTTGCTAAAAAACTTTTAAAGAAATTCATGTTTGAAATGTGCCTTTATTTCTGTGAATTATTTCCAAATGATTTGTACATTTTTTATTTGATTACCTGTATATTAGTAAAAATGTAGTAAATATTCTACTAATAAGTGTATTAAATATATTTTCAGACCATTCTAGACAAGCATTCCTATAGATGAATTCATTAGATTGGCAAGGAAGAAACTTTTATTGGCATAGAGAACAGCTGTTTTATAATATTATTTTTTATTTTGAAACATAATTTTTTCATGGTTATCCTTAACAATTCACGTCAAATGATTTATTTATCACATGTTTATTTTTACTATTTTTCAGAGAAAGGATTATACAAATTTAGTTGTATATTTTCAATTTCATTTATAAATGTTAATAAAGAAAATAGATTTACATTGTATTTATATATATCCTCTTCAGAATCATTTTCTTACCACATATATGCCATGGACTGTAGTTAAAGACCGCGCATATACAAAATATACACTCAAATTCTATTTGTTTTGAAGATTGAGTGTTGCAATTATCACATGTAACATAACATATAACATATAGTTTATTAGCATAATATGTGTTTACATACATACATAGCAATTTACAATGCAAGAAGTACAGACATGAAATTTTTAACAGAAGAACATGATCAAATAATTCAAAAAGGATAAGTATATTGATAACCTGGTAATGAAAGTTTGGAAATAAAGTTTTTTAATTATCACTTACCCTCCTTCAAAAGTAATTAAACTTGAAAGAAATTTAAGCGATGTGTAAAAAATAATCAACAGTTACTTTTATTTCGCAAAATACTGACTCAAACTGTAAAGATTTTTATTGTTTTTCTAGCGTTACATTAAAAAGTATCATAAATATCTTTCTACAGGCATTCAAATAAAAAGAATAATTAAAATATACGGATTAAAATATACGAGTGACATTAAAAAGGCCGGAACCGAGACAGCCACACGAGAGAACTTTACTGTTACGATGACTGTCTACTTCACTGCACCGACATTTGAAAACAGATTTACAAAAAATAATAATGATATGAATGATGAATTAAATTTAAATATTCTATGAATATGGCAATATTGACAACTATTGGCATATATTGGCAATATTTTGTACTAAAACATGAATAAATTTTCTTCACGTGTAAAGGCCGCAATACATTACCCGTAAAATAATTGTGCGTTAATAAATTTGACTACATAACCCAATAAATCTTAAATATTGCATCTTTGATCATCTGTGAATAACTTACATCGGCTTCTTTTTTATTTTGAAAATGAAAGTATTATGGTACCGTAATAATAAATTTCAAATACCTGCTTTTTATATAAAAAATGTAAATTTACCGCGGATTTCGTCAAGTTAATTTTTTAACCGTCGTTGCGGACAGATAAACTGTACCTTTAAAAAAATAAATTAGATATTTGAATTAAACAAGTATTTTTCTTCAAAATAAACTTTAAATTTCCGAAATCGGATAATAAATGGAAAAGTTATATGGTATTTTGTAAGGTAGGTATCCGTTGCGAACGGACATTTACGCTTAGCGCCGGTAAATTATCGATCGATGTACCTTTATCGGGCGCACAACAAGATTTTAAAGCATTTATATAGGGTTAACTGGGAGTGTCCGATCCCTGTAATATAAATCCGTGATTCGAGATCTAATCTGACACTACAATATAGAAATAACGTAATAGACTGTTAAATTATACATAAAACTGAGCTATGGTATAGTAAATATTAACCTACATGGACATACAAACTGCATTCATGAATATATATATCATCATTTGAATTTTCTAATGATTCCATGTCCGAAAAAATTGTGTCCGAAATTATGTCATTACAAATTATACATGTTTTGAAGTTTTGTTTTAAAGTGGAAAGAAAATAACTCCACAATTACCATAATTATTGTTTCTTGAACAATGATGGCTGTATAATTGTTATGATTCTATGTCCAACAGTCGCAAATTAGCTATTTAAGACAAAAGTTTAATTTAGCGCCACCGGCGGTGTTCATGATAATTGCAAGTTGTTACATTCACTAATTTTATGGTCATACATCACTAAAACATTTTGTCTACAAAATATAATCCCAAAAACTCGAATACACCATTTAAATGTCCTGCAAAAATCACAAAGAAGTATATTCTACCAGTCTTTAGTTGGTCACGGCTTTAATGACGCTTTAATGTGTGCTTCATGAGTGTCCATGAACTTTAAATTTCAAACTTTAAAATGGGTCATAACATGCGGCAGTCTGTTGTGCTGAATGGCAGCTGCTCAAACCCCATCCCAGTTTTCTCAGGTGTCCCCCAAGGCTCTGTTCTAGGACCCCTTCTGTTTCTCGCCTGTATGAATGACCTCCCACATAACATAAATTCCCAGGTCCTCCGCTTGTTTGCAGACGATACTGCAATATACATTGCGCTGACGTCAGTCACCCTCACAAATGACCTAAATGGGTTAGAAAAGTCGGAGTTAGAGTCGGATATGGAATTTAACCCCTCCAAGTGTCAAGTTATCCACGTTGCGTCTCAAAAAGGAAACATCATATTCCACCACAATACTACCTTCACGGAGTCCAATTATTAGAATCGGTATCTCAGCTTAATACCTATAGGCATGGATATATCAGAAAACCTCACGTGGGATGCCCATATAGACAGGACATCAAAGAAAGCACATCAAACCCTAGGATTCCTTCGCAGAAACATAAAGGTTAAATCCCAATCAATTAAGTTCATCGCTTACCAGACGTTAGAAAGACGCTAGCTTGGTGCCGAAGTATGGTCTCCCCACACCAAAACTCAGATAGATCAAATCGAAAATGTCCAAAAAGAGCAGCCCGATGGATTAAGCTAGACTATGGTCAGACCTCTAGCGTCACGGACATGCTTCACTCCCTTAACCTTCGAAACTGAAACTTAGACGTATAGATGCTATGTTATGCCTTCTCTATAAGATTCACCATTGTCTGGTTGCTATCCCATAGAAGAATATTTGACACCCCTGTCCCGAATATCACGCCATGGCCATCTCTTCTGTTATAGGTTATTCACAGCAACTTCAGACTATTATAAATTCTCATTCTTTCCTAGGACGGTATACCACTGGAACCACCTACCCCCTGCAGTTGCCCTACTCCCTACCCCAGAGCAGTTCAGTGCAGCCATAGCTTGCATCGAACATGTCTCACCCTAGTTTTCCAGCCCCTGCTTTAAACATTTTTAAAAATTCTGTTATCCTCTCTTAAACAACTCTTTTTAACTTTCTTGCGATTTTTGACGCGCAGCCCCGCGAGCGGTTTGACATTAACGGTAGGGTAGAGGTAGGGGTAGGGGTAGGGTAGGTAGGTATGCTAGATAGATATGCCCTAAAAGTGTAAATATTAAAGCAGAAAGTGGTGATTTATTTCCGTGCAATGTCTATTTAGTATTAGTTAAAAGAGATGATTTTGATGAGAAAGTGGGGCATTGTACAGAGGTTAATGAACGCCTTAACGTACAGTTAACCTAGACAATATGAAAAGTTGAGGTAGCTCTGAAAAGGCTGTTGGTGCCGGGCAGTGAGCTGCCTTTCAAGCCGTCACTGCGTCCTAGGGGTGCACGCACCCTTGTACCATTCCTAAATTATGTCTCAAAATTATCAAGCATTTGGTACACTGAAAATGGATCAAAAAGAAGTGTTTGATAAGTTTTTGTAGTTTGTAGTTACGGAGAAGGGCGAAACTGATTAAGATGACCCAGGTCCATGCAACAGCAGCTCCATCACCGGGATGGGGGCAGAGTCACGTGATCCTGACACAGAAGAGGTCATATGGCGACTCTCCAGCAAAGACTTCAGATGCCCCTCCGTATATTATTTCATGCACAAAATTTTTAATGAGCACCTGATTGGAACAACCAACGTCCTTAAGCAAGCTGGATAGCTTCCTCATACGAAAGAATACAAAGTCCTAAGCGCGATTTGAAAACTTTTGTAGCCAATGCAATCCAGGGCCGTGTACCTGCATCTAATACAAACGACGTCAATGATGCATGAGTGGTATTTAAAATGTGTTAACAGAGTCAGTCTGTAACTGAGGAAAATGGGGACAGGAAGGAAAGGTTGGAAAGAAAAAAAAGGACGTGAAATGGTTGCACGCTTGGTTCAAGCGAGAAAATTTGTTGCATACTTGACAAAATGGCTACCGAGTTATGAATTTTACCAACACTCGCACGTGTTTTCTTCAGGTAAGTGTGTTTGTATGTTATTTTGAAATTCTTTAATATGCTCATTCCTTAAAGCAATATTTATGGCACACTCGGTTTAAGGTCTTCTGGTATGACGAAGTTATTGAAGATATAAACTGATTATGTACATATTTTGAGATTTGACAAGTGGATGTTTGAATTTACATGGTCCAAATAAAGTTTCAATACATGAAAATAGCTTGTTCAAGCGCATTTTAGTTGCAAAATTGAAGTTCACGCATTTCTTGTTGTAAACGGTGTTGTGCAAAATTACATAGAAATGCACATCAAGTTTTTTTTAGCTGAAACACGTTATGACGCCTCTAATTAAGCTGTCGTCACAAAAGGTCAATAAGATGTAATAAAGTAACAATAATCAGAGGAAGATCTCATGTGTCAACCCAAGTAGAACCATCACAGTAATTATCCTGGGATAGATTGTTCTCGGCCGAGGTTTTTTCCCGGGACAATATATCTCAGACATGGAGTCTAGCTAGTGGTCATTTAATTTTCTCTCGCCGCTGATTCTGAAGTTATGTGGGATCAAAAGCGTAAAAAATTTAATTACTGTTTAGTTATCCAGGGAAACACCGAGATATTACCAAATATTGTGTTTAAAGTGTATACATTCATTTATTAACTGTTTGATGATTATTAAATTATTGTTTATATCGTGATTAAGATAATTACATAATAAAAAGAATGAAAAACATTCGCCAGTATACTTTATTTAAAGCGAGTGGGGCATGGTGAAACCATCACCAAACCTATTTAAAATAACACCTGCATATTTTTGTTCAGTTTACGTAAAATATTCATGTACATGTATATCAAATTACATACTATGGTGAAACGATCACAAGTTAATGAAATCAATCTAATTTTACTGTTATAAAATATTTCATCTGCCAAATCATTATTTATTCCTTCAAGTTCTTTGACACTATAATTTTTTTACATACTACTGACACAATATCGCACACAATTAAAATCCAAGAAATAAAGTTTGTATCAGTTTATTAATAAACGTAGATCTACACATAGTTATAAAATAGCACAAATATACAAGCAAAGAAACAAGTGATATAAATAACGCACGGAAAACAAATTATTAAAATCAAAAGGACAACAAAGAAAGATATTAAGGATGCCTATTAAGAACAATCAATTAGCCCGACACATATTCTCGTAAACCATCTTTTACAAAGACATACGCATAAATCAAGTACTCACTAGCTGTTTTAATGTTTCACTAATGTTAAACATATCAATTCAACAATAAAAAGGTAGAACTGACAAAAAGTTGTTTTTTTTCTTTCGTGTTTCTCCAAAAACGAAAGAACACCAGAACTTGAGAAGATTGCATGTGACGCCATTGTGAAGAGTCTTAATTCTTGATACTAAACGTTATCGCATACATCAGACAGTGAAATATGTATAGCATTACTGTAATTTCATAATCATCTAAGCTTTTCTTATTTTAACTTGATTATCATTAAACCCTAATGTATTAGATTTTAATACCTGCATAAATTAAACCACTTACGCAGTACTCCTTCTATAACATGTTTAAATACGACCCTCCGTTGAAAATAGTTGTTGCGTAAATATGCATTGCATACGAGTGAATCTATGTTGCAAATTTGTATGCATCCGATAAAAATCTGTTTTGCATACACAAGTAAATACAAGTAAATTGCGATCTGTACTGCATTCGATAAACAGTATATTCTGTTTTTACAAAGGACTATAACCTGCTTGATATGACGTAGAATGAACCGATTTCATTAACTAATTGTTATAGTACATTGTTGCTACACTGCTAGAAGGTTGGTGATAAAAAAGGGTTATCACATCACAAGAGTATGGAACGTCTTTGCTAATAGCTCGTGGATTTAGTTAGGTATTTGGCACTTTATTTTGCTTATCCTAGTTCAGAAAACATTCACCCGCCCGTAAGATAAACATACCTTTCTTTTATCGATGCTCTGTCGTGACTGTCCTTTTCATGCTACGTGTATTATTACAAAATAAATATATTTAGCTATTTGTAAGTATAAATTCATTTTTGTATAGGATATCAAATTATAAATATTTTTATTGATCCCGAAATCACACCATTGACGTATTAGCAATGTATATACTATATAGAGACCTAATACAACTTGGTACGTGGAAAGCCTAGTCTCAATTCGACCTCTCTTTTGCCCGGCACATGAACGGTTTTGCTCTCATGTTAACTTTGGTCTGGATGGTGTCTGTCCGTCTGGAGTCACAGTGTTTCTCTTCACCTGGTGGGAACTCAAAGTTCCAGCGTCGTAAGAGAGTGGCTAGAAACATGAAGTACCGCGTCTTAGCAAATGTGTCACCTGGACAAAGGCGACTACCCACTCCAAATGTCAACTGCCTGTAATAATGGTAAATAAAATTTTATCAGTCTGTCGGTTAGATTTTAGTGCGTTATTGTTTTAATTGAAAGGTTCTTAATCTAACTTACTGAAGCGGATTAAGATCAAAATTTCTTTCTTTTTTGTTAAAATGCATTGAATAAGTTTTATAATTAAGGGCCATATACTTAACGAAAGTCCGAGATGGTCATTGAACCATGTTAACGGTACTAATTTGATCGGACACGGCTATATCAAAGTAAAAATCTCAAGCAGTTATAAATAATAAGACAACCGTACGTCTGGCAAAGTTTGTGATCCCTCGGTAGGAGATTGCCTTGTTCATCAAGAAACCTTTCCGGCCGGAAGTTCCATGGGTCTCCCCAGGTCGCCTCGTCATGGTTGATATACCAAATGTTGGCAATTATCTAAATAGAAAGTCACAAACGCACCATATATGCCTCTGCAGATCAGCGAGTAAAATCATGTAAATACGTCTATAACTATATAACTATATTCAAAATTGTAGTAGACTTATATCCACGATGTTATGATGAATTTTGAATTATCAAATATAGGAATTATTAGCCGTTAAACGAGATTTCACGACATGGTAGAAATAAATGCATGTTCATCTGTAAAAACGTGTGTAAGATAAAAGAAGAAGAACAGATAAAAGATAACTACCGTGCTGTTTTGCTTTATGTCATACCCCTCAAACTGGACACGTGATCGACACACATGAGGTAGATTTAGTGGGAGAACTGGCAAGAAACGATGAACCTCCATTTCAAATGCCAAAAAGAACGGGCACTTACTTCTGTCTTGAAAAGAATAAAAACAAAATTTAAAGTATTTGTAATGTTCCTGGGCAAAGAAGAAAAGCTTTATCAGACGTTTTTTTTTTATCACAGTCAATGTTGATCTTTGGTTTTAATAACAAAAAGACAAACCAAGTTAAAAGTACTTTTGTTATTTCATTTAAATATTTGTATAAATTTTGAAATAAATGTAAGTAATACTGAAGTAATATTTAATTGAGAACCTGAGTACCTATTATACTCTGTAACAGTATAAAGATTTATTATAGAGATAAACCGCAAATTTATTCGCTCTAATAACTTTTTAACCTTTTAACCCATATATGTACTTTACCATCATAAAATCAAAGCACAGAAGGCGCTGAATTTGTTTGGGTCTCAGAATGTCAGAAAGGTGAAGGCCCAATTTGTTTTTGTATAGTGTCACCAGTGCTTTCCACCGTTTTAATTGTAGTAAATTGTCTATTAGACTAATTGCAACACTGATATTCAATTCAATGTTAATTTGACTTGGACAATTTGAAAAAAAAATGAGCTGCCTTAACAAGGATTTCTTAAGCGAGCGCCCAGGTGATGTTATAATTTTATATGTTAACGGCCTGAAGAAAACCATTTTATTCTAAATTATGGTTTGTAACCCTTCTTATTTCGACGCTAACTGTTATTTAACACAGATGTAAATAATCATGGAGCTTACTATAAACATGTATATCTATAAAGAATAAAACAATATTAGGGAAATATTTTGCTTGAAAATTAATGCGCCTGTCATTTGACCATCTTTACGCAGTGATCTCCCCTGAATTTTTCGGCGTTAGTTCAAATATAAAGGGAAGTAACCGCTTCAAAAAACGGACTACTTTCGGCATTTGCAATTAACAGAATGAGGGTCTGAAATTTCGCTACCTGACGACCCAAACAAATAAAACAAACTACGAAAACATATCAAATCGCACTGGATATACATACATCAAATATGTACATGTACAGTAAAGACTGTTTACAGTGACCTTCGATGGGAGAAAAGAAAAAAGGTCATTATAGACAGGGAGTCACTGTGGACAGTCTCTACATAATTCGGATATATGAACATATAATACCAATATTTTGTTGAAAAGCAGGATAGTACCATACTAAGGGTTTAATTATATTTTTATTGATATTAAACATATCAAATATCATTTATAAAAAACAAGAGAGTATTAAAATTGCATGTATAATTGGTTAAGATTATAAACTACACCATAACATTAGTATTTAAAAGTTACATATTCATTAAAATGTAATTTATATTGATAAATTTGTTTGTAAAAAATGTTTAATTTCAATTTTACTAATGAGATGTTACTGTAGAGACATTTAATTTTGTATAATCAGCCTGTTTACTTTACGGAGTTCAATGTATTAATAAAACATTAGATACAAATCTTCACATAATTTCTACAGATAAGTGCTCCGAAAAAAATTAACAATCGAGGTTTCAAACATAACCACACCTTTAAGACGTTTGGCATTGTTTATCTTTACTCGCCAAAACACCGCAGCAATTATGTATATGCAGGTGTCTTTAATCATTCTATCGGCGAAAATTGATTGAATCTGTCGCCATTTTGTGTAATTGTCAACAAACAGCCACAGTGTATTAGCGTGTCGCCGATTGGTCAATGCAAACTGCCGTAGATACAACGCGCGTTCTGATTCGTCAATCACATGAATACGTAATGAGAAAGATAAACATAGTGAACTCTTGCCTTGCGGCGTGTATTGAACTGGATGTTGACACGCGTTCTTAATTAGCGGATTAACGGTAATTGGTTGTAATTGAGAGATAAACAAATTATTAACATACCTAGCGGCGTAAATAAGTATGACGGAAAATTATAAAAATCGGGCGACTTCTAAATCTCTTTGAAGTTTGTTTAAGGCAAAGTCGCTGATCCGAAGGCGACTTCTTCGCCAAAGTCGTCACCTAGTTCAAGCCTTGCTCCCCTTCCAAAAGTCGCTGTTCACGGCTCAAATACCGTAACGGGTGACTAAATCATGGTCGTTGTACGGACCAGACAGGGAGTCGCTACATACAGACCAATTATATAGTAAATACTGTTCGGCGCACCTAACTATGGTCACTAAAGACAGAACGTCGCTATATACAGGGGGTCGCTAAGACAGTCTTTACTGTAGTTATAATCTATTCTATATATATTTAATAGGTACATTAGAAATATACCATTTTAATTTACTTTTTGTAACATCTGATAAATTTTGTTTGTCTACCTTTATATGTTGGAGTATTATCTTTTCCAATTATTCTGTCCAATTCTTCCTGAATCTTTAATTGGTATTGAGGAAAATTGCATAGAACCAACATCGAGTTGGTCAAAGCTGTCCACGTTGTCATAATACCTGTTATATAACAATGTACTTGTAGTTGAACATATCAATGATTCCCAAGACTTTTGTGTATCGAAATGCCTCAAAATATCAAGCAAGAATCAGCCATTAAAATGTCGGTACCAATGTGGGACAAGTGGTCAACGGGATTTAAGGCGGCTTATTTGGACTAAAAAACGGTAAAAACGGTAAAAAAGGTACTTTTGACTTAACAATGTGTGACACTCAGTACAATACAATAATATATATACCAGTATAAGATGTAAGAGCTGTTTGTACCTTCTGCTGAGTATAGATTGCTTTGAAATACATCGTTTAAAATAAAACACAAGACTATAAGTATATATGAGCCGCGTCATGACAAAACCAACATAATGGGTTTGCGACCAACATGGATCCAAACCAGCCTGCGCATCCGCGCAGTCTGATTAGGATACATGCTGTTTGCTTACCAACTCTATTACAAGTAGAGAAACTGATAGCGAACAACACTATGTTGGTTTTGTCGTGACGCGGCTCATATGTCGTTGGCCAAATTAGTTAAATTTTAATTAATCATTATTATATGAGTAAATATTACTAAGGTAGGGGAAGTTAAAAAAATAACATTCATGTGTATATGTGGTATTTAAGAAGAGAGATTTGGTCTTGTAGTTAATACGAAGGTTAAATGTTGGTAAACTTTATTACCGGTGTCTACTGTTTCAACAATCTGGGCTATTATCCTAGCGTCTGTCAAGAAAATGTCACTTCCGGTCTCAAGCTCTTTCCTTTGTTCATCTAGATATACATCTACAATACCTCTGGATTGACCAGGTCTATATGTTTTCTAAAATTTATATAAACAAGCTATACTAAATCAATGCAGTGCAATCCAAAGTTATGGGAATTCTTCGTACGTAAATCTTTTAATGAAGTCTTTAACTTGATATATCGTTGATTAACAAGATTGATGGCGCTGATGCCATCATTAAAAAAGCAAAAAAAGAAACTTATTTTGTACCAAGTCGCAAAAAACATACTTGTATACTAAGAGCTTACATGACCGAAAAAAATGTAAACAAGAAAATGTTTTATCAGACCTTAACATCATGAAAATAGCGTTTTGCAATTCTTTCATAGACGTGGCACTGTTTCTGAAAATTTGTTCGGAATTGTCCAGGCAAGAATCGTAGTAAAGGAAAGGTAGTCAACATCGTGTTGTTGTAAGGATTGAGGAAGAATTCCCCTCCTGTCCCATGTCCCCAAAAAACATCCAAATCAGGGTCCGTGTCCGAAACAAGTTCTCCTTTAAGCTAAAATATACGTGTATCAGAACTTAATGCAGCGTTATGACAGAAAATAAAATAAAAGAGGATGCCTTTGTTGGGAAATAAGGTTTTTTGATTAGAATCTAGTCATAAAATAATGTGTTAACTCCTTTTGTCCGTTAAAATTGCTTACGAAAAAAGAATATGAATGAATCACGGTAACTCCATGGTGATAAAAATGTAATATTGTACAATAACATACGTGGATGTACTTTGTGCAAAGTCATACATTACTTACCACGAGTGATACAATGTTAGCCAAGGAACGTTTTACCATGTATGAACAATCAAACACAGGCTGGTCCTCAATTCTTCTCACCAAATAGTTCATTTCAGTCAAAACGTTAGTTTCCAAGTCATGAAAACCACTCCCATACATGTGCAATGCTTTGAAAAATGCCTTCCGTGCTGTTTTATGAAGAGTTCCGGAACCATCGATCATGAAAGCTAGCGACTGTTTACCTGCACGAAAATAATCCCCGAAAAAGGTATTCGCACGGTCATTGAATATACGTTTGTAACTTTCCCCAGCAAATGCTTTACGAACTAGTTCTGCGTCATTCAAAACTACAAGATTTACTGTAAACATCTTCAAACGAAATATTTTCCCGTATTGTTTCGCGTACTCCATGAACTTTACATGAGTTGTGAGGAAATCAAATTCAAAAGCAGAACCTATTATTGGTAATCCATTTGGTCCAGGCACAATTTTACCTTTCTTGCTTCGTTTTTCAAGAACAACGAAAAAGAGTACAATAAACCCCAAAAATATCAAAAGAAAATCAAAGTACATCTTGCCGAAGTAAATGTTAACGTAACATTCAATCCTTCGCCCAAGTGTTCACAACTTAAATACCATGCAGTTCTGCACGCTTTCTGATTACCTACATCAATATCTTATAAAACATATTTACATTTATGGTTTCTGATTACCTACCTCAATATCTTATAAAACATAATATTTTACATTTATAAGTTTGTTTATTCCACGCATGAAGATTTACGCTTATGACAGAAAATGTTAATTAAACTCGGTGAAATCTAATACTATTTATTAACTTCATGTCCTGAGGAAAACATCTACATAGAGAGAGGAATGAATTATTTTATTAGCAACTTGATGTCCTTGATCTAAGATAATTAGATAATATCGGACCATATATGTAGATTGCGAGAAATAGTAGACCTTTAATTATTGCTGTGAATGACCTTTTTCGTATAAACCGGTAGAGGTTATTAAAGTGAACATCCATGCTAAAGTTTTAAGAAATATTTAAAGTAGTTTTAGGAAGGTCGATAAACGTAAAAATTTGAAATTCTTACATAGATTCGTTGAAGCAAAATGGAAAATCCGAAAAAGGAAGAATAAAATTGAATATCGATATCTACGATTCTTAGTCCGATTTGAGTGAAAAGAATTGCTACACTTTTCATTTTTGGATCATTTTGCAAAATAACAAGAGCTGTCGGTAGGACAGCACGCTCGACTATTCTAAGTGCTTGATAGTAAAAGAGCCTTGAAAATGTTAAATTTTTTAAGTTCACAAAAGGGCTAATTTTTTTTTTTATAAATTCATGTTATAGGCCTTAGAGAGAGTCTAATTATACAGTATTGGCTTGACTATTCGGAAGGTAATGTCACGAGTGTGTTTTATTGAGTATAATAATACTAATTACCTATGAATACATAAATTTGAAAAGGTACAAAGGCTTGTTATTAAGATGTTTTATCAAGTAAATAACTGCTTTATTATTATGAATGCATAAAATTGTCCCAAAAAAGGCACAAACCCTTCAGTAGTTATTGAGATAACAGCTTACAAGCAAAACTTTACCATGAATTTCTAAGTTGAAAAAGGGGAGAAAAATCAGCTTAAATGCAAGATAGAATTATGGATTCTTTGTCAGTGACCTACAATTATGACCCTAAATGCATATGTGAAGTTTTAAATAAATATCTTTAATAGTTATTGAGATATGTAAAACTTGCATGTAAACATTAACCAAGAGACTAAGTAGAAAAGGGGATATGAATCAGCCTTAATGCAAGATAGAGTTATGGAACTTGGTCAGTGACATACAATTATGACCCTCCAATTATGACCCTAAGTGCATGTGTAAAGTTTCAAGTAAATATATTTGAAGACCTTTAACCAAAATTTCTAAGTTTCAAAGGGGCAAATAATTCTGCAAATATTGCAGGCAGAGTTATGCAATTTTGCAAACTGATGTACATTGTTACTATAAAAAAAGTATTTTAAATTTCAATTGAATATCTCAAGCAATAATTGAGATATTTGACTTTACAAAAAACTTTAACCAAAATTTCTAAGTTAAAAAGGGGAATAATTCTGTCAATATTGTAGGCAGAGTTATCCAACTTGTCAATCTGATGTAGCTTGTTACTATAAATAAGTATTGTAAGTTTCAATTGAATATCTCAAGTAATAATTGAGATATTTGACTTTACAAAAAACTTTAACCAAAATTTCTAAGTTAAAAAGGGGCATAATTCTGTCAATATTGTAGGCAGAGTTATCCAACTTGTCAATCTGATGTAGCTTGTTACTATAAATAAGTATTGTAAGTTTCAATTGAATATCTCAAGTAATAATTGAGATATTTGACTTTACAAAAAACTTTAACCAAAATTTCTAAGTTAAAAAGGGACATAATTCTGTCAATATTGTAGGCAGAGTTATCCAACTTGTCAATCTGATGTAGCTTGTTACTATAAATAAGTATTGTAAGTTTCAATTGAATATCTCAAGTAATAATTGAGATATTTGACTTTACAAAAAAACTTTAACCAACGCAGACGCCGACGCGGACGCTGACGCCGACGCCGGGGCGACTACAATAGCTCTCATATTCTTCGAATAGTCGAGCTAAAACTGATTACGGGGCGAGGGAGTGATCTCAAAAGTTGCAAACAAATTATGTATCCAGCACATCAAATGGTACACAATGTTGGAAAAAAATAGTTCTAGTCCCATCATGTCGAAAAAAGTGACCGATGAGGCTGTCAAATTCATTTGAATTAGTTATATATTTCAAAATATTGACCATAATTATGGTGACTGACCAAAAATTGAAAATGAAAAATGATTATAATACAATATAAAACCTACCTACATTATGAGTTACCGATACATTCTGAACGATAGTTTCAGAAAATTCCTTTGGTCACCTGAATTATTGAAACTGAACACAATTGTGACAAAATGACAAGTTATTATACCTTTTCACTGTCCATTTATACTTGGATAGACATAATGTCACTTCTAAAAATCAGTGTGAGAATAAATGACATAGGGTATGATGGCTAATTTGTGCCATTCGTGTTGTCGCCACGAGACCCCGCCAAGCGAAAAGTTGAAAATTAACAGGTGTCACGGTTCAGAACTGTTCACTATAATTATAGGGGAGAAGATGTGTAAGCGGCCGGATAGCTCAGTCAGGCTGCACATTTTTCTCACCCTGTGACATTTGGCGCCCAACGTGGGGCCGTGACTGAATATAGCTCAGAGTTTAATTCACATTGCTCTGTAACTCTGTGAAATTCGCGGAAGAATTTCAATATAGCAGGGGAGTATGTCACGGTTTAGAACTGTTCACTATATAGGGGAGAAGCTGTGTAAGCGGCCGGATAGCTCGGTACGGTATTCCGAGGGTCCCGGGTTCGAGTCCCGGTCAGGCTGCACATTTTTCTCACCCTGTGACACAGGTTTAAATGGCGGGGCTCGGAGCTAAAACACGCTAATTAGCGGGGCGAAGTTACAGAAATAAAACTTCGCCCCGCGGCGGCGCGGAGCGTTGTTTAAGAAACAAAACGGAACCGCGGGATGAAAACACGCAAATTAGCGGGGGCGTGGGGCGAAGTTTAATAAATAAAACTTCGCCGCGCGACCCCGCTAATTAGCGTGTTTTTCGTCCCGCGACCCCAGCAAGCGAAAAGTCGATAATTAACAAGATAAAAGGCGGGGCGCGGAGCGAAAACACGCTAATTAGCGGGGGCGCTAATGAGTGTGTTTTCGCTCCGCGTCCCCCCACCCCCCCCGTATTATTTCTTAAATCTCGCTCCGCGCCCATGCGTATGGCGGGGTCGAGGGGCGAAAACACGAATGGCACAAATCAGCCACCATAATAGGGGTTCGAGGTTAGCTAAACGTTGATTACAAAGCTATAATTTTAGCTGCCATAGCTTATACAAATTTTTTTAGTTCGATTGTATTGGAAGCAATAAGCTCATTGACAAATTCTCAAATCCGTTCCTGGAACGAACAAGTACTAAGCAGCAATGTTCTTATAATTTCTTGCTCAAGTAAACAAAGACTTGCCCTCGTCTGGGTTAGAACCCACGAAGCCAGTAATTCGCAATGCTAAGTATACCAGTCCGACGCATTGACCATTTGGCCTTGCCGCCACAGTCTTGCAGAAGATGAAGATGATGTCTCTCTGTCACAACAAATAAGCTCAAAAACATTGGCTGGAGATTCAAAGCATCAAAAATTATTGTTACAGCTCGATATTCTAGAACATCCGATATTAAAATTATGATTGAATATAAATTATATAATCATATTTATTCTACCTAAATACAGTCATATTAGCCATATATCACAGTCAGTTTGAAGACAAAAGATTTAATTCAAACAATGAAAAGGAAGTCGTAATGTTTCGGTTTATATATGTAGTATGACACTTGAAACATTAAAAGACTAACGGTGATTGCTACAGCATCAATCTTGAATGGCACAGAACATTCTAACTGCACCACACGCTTCTAATGTATAGCCATCAGGATTTAGGAAAAGGTCGGATTGAAACAAGATTATTCTAAATTATGTAAAGTTCGTTGTCCTTATCTAAATATAAGAAATAACAAGTTAGTTTAAACATTGTTTATTTCAATCAACTTTAAAGTATACATACAAATACTTCCAATAATAAATGTATACGATACAGACAAGAAATGTTGAAAAAGAATTGGGTCCCAAAGATGAGCTTATAAATGCCTCTTCCTTAAAGATTTACAAAGTTATATGCAAAACGAAAATGCATATGATATGGCACAAATCAATCGTTTACACTAAGTTTCATGCAAATTAATTTTTGCTGAACAAAATACAGTTGTGCAGAATTTATTTTTATTGATACCGATCCATACAATTGTTAAGAATTTATTCACATTGACAAGTGGTGAGAACCATTATTAAATATTAAATGTATACAATTTTATCCAAAAACATCTAGTGCAATTACATGAAAATATTTCTTCCTGTGATAATCGGACATTAGTAATAACCTCTCTCGTTTTGATTTCAAATGTTTAAGCACCATTTAAGCCTATATCAGCGAGTGTTTAAGCACCATTCAAGCCTATATCAGCGAGTGTTTAAGCACCATTTAAGCATATATGGTCGACTTTGTTTTAAACAATGTCTGCTCCCTGAAAGACAGTGAAAATACCATTGCTTTCATAGAATGTAGCTAATTCTAATCGAGCACTGTTTTTCAGATTTAAGCCATTTCTTCTTGGCTTGGTTCTGACCGTCTTTAATCAGTCATATGTTAATTTTTAAGCAGCAGACAAGCTATACATTATACAAAGTTATATCAAATACTAGTAGTTCGTACTTCATTTATTATGAACCTTATATTATTATTATTATTGTTTACCTTCAAAACGTACTTTACATGCAGAGCATAAAGTTATCTTTAATTAGTTTCATTTGTGTCAAAATTATGTTCACGTTTTGACTCCGATGATCAATCATTAAAGTAACATATCACAGCTTTGGTTATTTTGGTAATACAAGTTACGAGGGGAAGTCAGAAAATATCCGGACTTTTGACTCGTTCTCGAAAACCATTCAACATTTAAAAAAAATCTTCTACTCTTTTTTCAAAATATTCTCCACCTACGTCTACGCACTTTTGCCATCTTCCTGGGAGCTTTTGTATTCCCGCTGTGAACCGTGACGTAGACCTATGTTTTAGGTACTGTTTAACAGTAGATATCAAAGCCGCCCTGGTCTTATATTTCCCTCCAGCAAGCAATTTTTTCAGTTCTGGAAACAAATAAAAGTAACAGGGGGGCGAGGTCTAGGCTATAAGGAGAGTGAGACAACAATTGCCATTTTCGTAAGACTTGATAACCTCCACTGTAGCTGCGGCGGTATGGGAAGGGGGGAATCGTGAAGAAGGACATTTTTCTGTGCTAACCTGGGACGCATTTGCTTCAGCTTTTCTCTGAGATTTTTCAGAATTACTTCAGAATAGTACTTGGCGGTGACAGTTTGACCTTTTGGCATGAAATGAGTAAGTATCATTCCTCGTGAATCCCAAAAGGCAACAAGCATGACTTTGCCAGCCGAAGGAGACAGCTTAAACTTTTTAGGAGGTGGGGAACCAGCTCGTTTTCACTGCTTTGACTGAGCTTTTGTCTCCGGTTTGGAATAATGAACCCACATCTCATCTAAAGTGATAATGCGGTTCAAAAACTTATCTCCTTCACGATTAAAACGACTTAAATGTTCTTTTGCATTGGATACTCTGGTTGCCTTTTGATCTGCGGACAGCTGTCTAGGCACCCACCTGGCACTTACCTTGCTCATGCCTAGGTGTTCGTGTAAAATCTTGTGTGCCGATGCCTTACCGATGCTAAACTTGTTGGCTACCTCCTCCAAAGTTACTCGACGATTTTTGTTGACAAAAGCTTTAACATTTGCTATCATTGTTGGGATCACCGCCTCAGCTGGCCGCCCAGTCCTAGGCCTGTCACAAACACTTGTTCTGCCTTCTCGAAACTGAAAAACCCAGTTGTAGAAGGTTGAACGTGATACACATTTATCAGAAAATCTTTTTTTAAGTCTCTGAAAGATGCGGCAGGGCTTCTGCAACCAGAAACTATATTACAGAGCGTTGTTCCTCTAACAAAGAGTCCATGATAGACGAAACACCTATCATATATCAGAGGGCAAAATACTGTGTATACACAACTATCATTGAAAATAAACTGACCACGTTATTGGCGAATGAATGTAGTTTTCACCAATATATAATGTGTGTATAAAGCTGCACGTGGAAAGAGAGGAGGGTGAAAAGTCCGGATATTTTTTGACCGTCCCTCGTACGTCAGTTTAAATGTTTTCCACTCATTTTCGTGTTTATAAGCGAGATGTACTTAAAAACACGGTTGCTTTAATAAATGACCCTGCCTATTAATTAGTGATTTGTATGTTGCAGTAAAACCTAAGATTCTAAATGTCCTTGTAATACATGTATATTTGGAGAGTTGAATCTGTGACCTTTATGCCTTAGTAAGAAGTAATCTTAACCTTCTTAAGAAAGGACAACGCGAGTTATACGATATAACAATGAAATAATGGTTTCAGAGCATCTTTGATGCTTATAATTTGAAGAATTTAGCACTGAACGGGAAACGTTTTATCATTAAAATAGCAAAAGGTTTAAAAGCAGTATTCCGACTTTTATACAAAATCACTATAACCTTACTAATTACCAAAATGCAACATTGAAGTAATTGGGCAACTGTTGGAAACTATAACGGGACACCAACAAGAGGAGCTCCGCTGAAGCAGGACAAAATACCCAAGATTGCAAATTCCAAGACAAAAATATGCCTTTTTATTTGAGAGATAGCAAATTCAATGTTATACATGACACATGTGATACATTTTAGCAACAGAAGACAATTGAACTACTTGATTTCATTTCGAATGTTGTAATTATTTTAAATTTGCCTTATTACATTTAAATTTGCCATATAATGACATTAAACGACAGTAAAACTGAAATACTCCGGACTGTGAGAACGGAATTAAAGTCCTTGCTGTGAATAACCCTTAATGAATTAAATAATTTTACAGCTCTAAAAATTTGGATAATATAAGACAAACAACACTGTCACCAAAACTTTGCATAGAAAGAATGTGCAAATTCTTATCAATAATATCAAACTGCTTATAACATACATAACATGGTAGTCATCAAATTAAAAGGTTGGAAGTAAAAGCAAGTCCAAGTAAAACATGTATACCAATACAAATACCACTGTATTTAGACATTGCAGGCTGAATTGAGCTGTAATAAAGTAAAATATGACACAGTAAGTCAGTATTTAATCTATATCATTGTTATATGATACCATATAGATACATGTCCAATTTATTTTACTTTAATTCTTTTCTTGGACATCTTTATTATCTAATGTGGTGTCTGCTGAAACACTTTAGTCTTAAATGATTGTTATGACTTTATGAACATTGACCTTAGAAAATATCATCTAGATGAGAGAGATCGGGAGTTTGCCTGGATTTTCTTTTCTTTGTCATAAATTCACCTGATAATACCTCAATATCACTAACATAAGTATGATTTCCTTTCTTGTGAATGTTGTATAAATTTTGTTTATTCTTGAAATCAATGTCACTAGAAATGTGTTTCTTTATTTCCAACTGTCTATGTTTACACGGTGTACTGCTTCTAACATCTGTTTCCTCCTTTATCCTGAAACAATAAATACTGTTTTCATTATTTATAAATAATATATTCAGGTTTTGATATTACTTGTATCCTTCAATTTTTTTGCTTCATGTTGCATGTAGACATCCATTGTTTCTACTGTACACGTATATACATATTAAATGAAGGGCTCTTTAATACATTAATATGTATTAGTAGCAGCAGAAGAAAGAACTAGAGGATAACAAGAGTTCTAAATATATATTTTTTTAGGTATAATTTTACTTCTTATCAAGCCTTCCTCTAACTCCAAAATTACCTTGTATCCTTTAGTGTGGAGGCTAGGAGGCAATACATACTTTTGTTATAGGGAGGAGAACTTAAATGCCATACAAACTGCTTGTCTGCTATAGATAAGAAGAGAAGAAATAGTTGCAAGTACCTTGTCCTTTTTCTTGGAGATGGTTTTGATGGGACATTGGACATAGAGAAATCATCTAAAACACTTGCAACTGTCTCGTCAATATGTGACCCACATTCTCTAGTCCCTAATGTATCTAGGTCATCTGCTGACATATTAATAGCAATGTCCTTATCTAAAACCGTATTAAGTTCATTAAATTCCAAATCAGATTCAGTTTCCATTTTAGGACACACATTACCTAACTGGTCACCTACATCATTCAAACTTTCTGTTTTCTCCATTGTCATTTTTGATTTTCCACACTCACTTATATGCCTACTACTTTCAGATTTCTTCCTTGTTGTTTCTTGTTTATCTGAACACAATTCATTTTCAAAGTTACTTTTTAATAGAAACTTTTCCACAATTTCATCTTTGCCACCCTGAAAGATAGTTTAACAAATTCATAACCCTTGTGTTCTAAAATTTATTCAAAACATCTAAATAAAATATACATAAAAATATCAACAAAAGCATTACAGCTATCAACAATTTTTTGTTTGTTTTGGTTTAACGGCACATTGACACATTGCTGGCCATATAAAAAATTAATATTTACAAACCATTTCCTCAAATGAATGGTAGTAAAATATTTTGACAAGGTATTAGGTTAAAATTCAAAATAATCTAGAACCCCTTTCTTGAAATATTTAATTATAGGCTATCAGCATTTTTTATGATAAACTGATCTTTAAAACAGAGTTTACAATAACAATTAAAATATAGTAATGTACCATGTAATTTGGTAGAAACTTGACACAGATTAAATATGCTTCCATACAAGTAAAATCAACATATAAATGTGTAAGCACTTTCCAGACAAATATCAGATTGGAAATGTAATGTTTTAGTAGGATAAAATGATCTCTTGACGGATGGAAAGCTTTAACCTGCTGAATTTCTTAAATGGAAAATTTGTCTTGCTTCTGTCCATTATCAATATGTAGGCATATCAACATGCAATCTAAAGTTCCCCTGCCAACATTATAGAACCTGCTAAGATTAAACATAAGTGCTAGCAGGTCTGACTCTATACTGGTGACAAATGTTTATTGTTTATTAATTTATGGTTCCAACAGGTTAGTGGTTAAAACAAAAAACTACCAGCACAAAATACTTGACTGACTATTCCCAGTACTTCATAGTAAAATAAGAACAAACATACTGTAAGACTCAAAATAAAAAAGAAGAATAATTTAGTAAAAGGTAAGTTATGGAGTAAAAGAGAATGTGTCAAGTGTCACATGAATTCTTGCAGTGTTTTATAAAATATGATAAAGTTATATCAGGTTTGATGCACTTTAAACTGAATGTGAAAGACCAACATGTTATCAATATTTCCTGCACCTGTTTAAGAATATCACATGCTACCTCAACCAATTCTTTTTCTGTCATCACATACATTGTTTTCCTGAAAATAAAAAGCAAATATAAATATCTACAATATTTTAAATCTCATCTATAGGAAACATCAGTCACAAAGAAAATTTAGTTATGCTTACATGATAAATTTAAACTTGTTTCCCTATTGTTTTATTACAAAAACTATTATCTTAGTCACACAAATGAATGTGTTTATATTCATGATCAGTTTAACTGACTTCCCCAATGTGGTAAATGTTTCAAGTCATATGAACACTGTGATATCATGACATTCCCCCAGCTTTACTGATAGAAGAAACCTCGGGCACCTCTCCATGTAATATTTCATGCATGAATTGGCACATGAGTCAAGGACGCCAAGACGATAGCATTCTCAAAGGAAAGAATCCATTTCTCCCTGATGAGATTCAAACCTACAGTGTTGAGGGATAAGCTATTTGACTGAAGTCAATGATTTTTTAATGTTGTTTAAAACAGACATCTCATAATTGACCCTGAACTTTAAATGAGCTGGCTTATAGGTTAATTTTGGTACAGAACCTAGACTTAATGGTATAACTGCTTGCTATTTATAAACTGAAATACTGTTACATCTATGATAACTTTCTTTTCACAATAAGAAATATATCAACTAACTAACACATGATGTACACATTTCTAAAGTGGTCTCTGTATAAAAAATGTTAAACCTGATTTTTTCAAGTTTTTGTTTTCCACATTCTGATTGGTTGTTATCTTCAGATGACCTTGAACCTTGACTTCTGTCTTTTTTCATCATCCATTTAGGAAGGTCACGTGATGCAAGGTTAAGTCTTGATTGGTCAGTAGATAAATTAGAAATGAGACTAGTATTAGATTTTTCTGGTGTAGAATGGCATTTCTTCTTGGGTGACATTTTACTTCCTGGTGTTCCTACTTTAGTCGCAGACTTTATATATGAATCATTATACCTTGAAAAGAAAATGCAATCTGCTCAACAAAATAATAAACCTTTGGTAAAATGTATCACTCAACACTCATGAGAAATGGCAGGATAAAAACATTCTTACAGACTAAATTAAACAAGAAGTTATTCTACACTCAGTTACCTGATAATAAATTTATCAAATTTAAATCATATTTCGAACAAAACATACTGCACCGATGGAAAGACAAAAATACAATCTAATCTGTACTTTAAATTATTCCCAAAAATACTCTATGGAAATACATAACAACTGAACTATGATCAGTGTTATCCTCTTCTTGTTGGGTTTTACATCGCACAAACACTGTAATGGTCATATCGCAAAACTCCAGCTTTACTGGTAAAGGAAGACCTCAGGTGCTCCTCTGTGCATCATTTCAGACACAAACAGGCACATGATTACAAATATTAATGTTTCAGAATCTTGCTGGATAGCTTCCTCACATGAAAAATCAAAAGGTGGGAATCGGACCCTAAGGGGCAAGTGGTTTGAAGTCAGCAACCTTAACCAAAAAGCCATGAATACCCCTTAGCTGTGTAATCTAACATGCATACAAACCTTTCAATCATTTCAAAATCTGCAGCATACATATATTCACATCTTCCATGCTGTAAATTTTGTGAAATTTTCTTCTCGGAAAATGTATCCTTTAATTGTACAAGAGGTATAGACGGTAGTTTATCACTAGATTGAACAGGCAATATTTTCTGTGTCTTCAACATTTCAGGAATGGATGGAGTGACAGCTGCATGGCTCGAGATGAGCTATAAAAATGAAATAATTTTCTAATTTATCTCTCAAAAATTATTATCAATTCTAACACGACCCTCATTTTTCCCTATTGAACATAGAAGAACAAAAAGTGTGTGTTTTTATGCAATAAAATCACAGTTGTTGTTCTATATTTAGACATGTGAAGTAATCATTAAACATGTAATGTAACCACTAAAAATGCGACACGCTGAAAATAGGTACCGAAACAAATCAGATGCAATTTAGCTTAATATCAAATACGACAGCATTTATTCGCTGATGTCGTGTTAGAATCTAAATAAAATATCCAAATCAGTGATTTTATCGCTTGATAAAATCACTGTTTGTCGTTCGGATGCGCATCATTTTATCACTCGGGCTATGCCCTCATAATATAATTCCTCGCATCCTTACTCAAAACAGTGATTTTATTGAGCGTTAAAATCATTGTTTGGGATATATATTTCTTAAATAGCACATAACTTTGAAAGATTTTTATTTTGGCTGGATTACACTGGGGTGACAACAAAATTTTAGGTCTTTAGAAAAGCTTCTTAACTTACCTAAGAGACATTTCTAAATCGACACCATGATAACATGAAATTGCTTAGCTTTAGAAAATACAATTCTTACCAAGGATGGGTGATCTATCACTCTTGAAGCCTGAAAAAATACCAATATTGTTATCATTATAACTTCAATACAACTTTTTACATACAGCTAACTCGTAATAAAATTTATGTGTAATATGCTTACATTCTATTTTTGCAAATTCTAAAAACAATTAAACTAAGGAATGGTAATGTTCCTTGAAATCAGTCATTAATACAGGTGATCAAACTGAAAGGTTGAATAATGAATAAAAAGAAAAGTCAATTAAATGACATACATTGTCAAAAGTTTAGATTTTGAATGATATGCATATCATGTGCTTATAGCTCCCAAACACTTGGAGGTTAACGATTGCCTAATGAAATTCTGATTCAAATATTCGTCTCCCATCCTATCGCCAGATTCCAAACTTTTGAAATTTTGTTCTTAAAGAGATTATTTGTTAAATCTCAATATCAAAAAATTTATTCTCTTCTCCTAACTAATATTTAAGTAACAAAACATGCAAAACATTCTTTTTTAAAAAGATGAAAAAAGTCATAAATCCAACGTAAAAGGATCATAAAGGGCAAAATATTGGAGAATTTACTATTTTTGTCATATTTCTTTCAGAGCACTAACTTAAATCTGTTTCTGTACATTTTCAGCATTTTTTGTGATAAAACACCTTACACTAAGTTTAATAACTTAATTTGTCTTCTTTATAACATACATGTATTTACATGTTATATCTCTTCTAAATTATTTATGTATATAATATAAAGGTGTGCTACTTCTAAGTCACACAAGATGCTAAGTTATACACAAATGGCAATTTCCTGTCTCAATGGTACATGTAGATAAATACTCCAAAAAATGCCTCATGATTGGCACAAGCTTTTGCCCTAGTAGAACAACCGCCTCATGTCAACTGGATATGTAACTTATGAACATATACAGTTTTTATTTGTTTGATTTGTCAGACCAAACAAATAATGGTAGCAAAATTTCAGGGCCTAATGCTGTTAATTGCAATTGCCGAAAGTAGTCCGCTTTTTTAAAGTGGTTACTTCCCTTTATATGTACACTAACGCCAAAAAATTCAGGGGAGGTCACTGCGTAAAGATGGTCAAATGACAGACACATTAATTTTCAAGCAAAATAGTTCCCGAATGGCCGATGATTTTGTATATTGTTTAATTCTTTATAGATATACATGCTTATAGTAAGCTCCATGATTATTTACATCTGTGTTAAACAACAGTTAGCGTCGAAATAATAAGTGTTACAAACCCTAATTTAGAAAAACATGGTTTTCTTCAGACCGTAAGCATATAACTATCAAGGCCGAGGGGTTTGCGCGCTCCCTTAGAAAGCGAGAGGTCTGGAGTTCAAATCCCAGTTAAGACAACTAATTTTTTTTTCAAATTGTTTAAGTCTAATAAACATTGAATTGAATATCAGTGTTGCAATTTGTCTTATAGCCAATTTACTACAATTAAAACACTGGAAAGCATTGGTGACACAAAAACAAATTAGTTTATAATCTCACACCCTTCACCTTCTGACATTCTGAGGCCCAAACAAATTCAGCACCTTCTGTGCTTTGATTTTGTATACCTGAAAAAGTAACTTGTCCAACTTCTCTACCACCTCACCTTAATATGTCTGACTCCTGCATTTTCGGCCATATTCATGTGACATGATGACTCAAATATGTAAACACTTCTCTGAAATAAAACAAAAATATTTGTCAACTCAAATAACATATGTAGCTGTTAATGATAATCAATGGTGTCATATGAAATAATGAATACTCTTGGAAATAGAAAAATAAGTTAACCCTTAATGGCCTATTTTGCACTAGGCGAGTAATGCAGTAAAGGCTTTTTTGTGTATATTTTTACCTGTTTCTGGTTATTTATGTGGAATTAAAGTGCTCACAGTCTGCAAGTGTAAATTACTTTCTTTGTTTACTTCACAATATTATACATATAGATTTCATTTTTTAAAATCTTTATGAAAATAAGCATGAATCTGAAGGCATACTGTTTAAATTCAAGCATATAACTGTTTAAAATATTTACCCTAGAATGTAAATTAAGACAATGCCTCTGCTGTAAAAATGCCAGAATTCCTGGTTTTGGAGGGACAATGTAACTGCCAGCTTGCTTCCTATCCACAACATGGTATACATATACTGGACATCTGGTAAACTAGGAAAAAACAACAACATTTCTTGATAAAAAACATTTCCCTGATAAATATGTTTACTTTCATATAAGTATATACAATTGAGAGGTTAAACCTCTTTTATGCACATTTTGTCAATCTCACTTCTATGAGTACAAATCAATGAACCAAGAGTAAAAGACAATTTGCAAACAAATTCACAAGTTTTTTTTGGCCAATCTTATAGTCTTCAGATTATCAATGGAAATCTTTATCTTCTATTGTTAGATAAAGTATCCAATAGAAACATTTGTATGAAAGGTTGTCATTCCTGCAAGATGTGAAAAAGGCTTTGACTTTATCTATATATAGAGACATCTTCCCTAAAGTAAATTCCATACTGAAAGCAAAGCAACATCCCAATGTTGTCACTCGTAGGTCAAGTTTACACAATACAAAAATGTCTAATACATGGTTTTTATTTCATTTTGTTGGCAGCTGACATTTATATTGTTTTCAATCAAGATAATTCTTTGAAAGAAATGAAAAGTTTGCAATTGATTACTTTTAATCTTTTTTTTGTATTTTGTAGAATTTTGGGGCTGAAAAAAAGAAAACAGTCTTTGATATAAGCACAAGGCCATGCCAGCCTACATGTCCATGACAAACTTAAGGGTTTTACTATGAACATTATATCCCCAATAATGGAAGCTTGAAAAGTTCATTTAAGAAATATTTATTACCTGTTTTATCAAGCTGCTGACAGATGTGTCAATATTTGCTTGTTGTTGTATCTTTGTTTGTTCACCTGTATTATATACAAGTAATATTTTCCATGTACCGTAAAATTCCTATTAAACACCCCCTGGGGCTAAACATTTTCCAAAAGGGGGGCTATTATTACAACACCATTTTCCTAACTCCAAAAATCACTGTAAATACATTTAGTGTTAGTAATTGTTGGTAATAACATTAAAAAGTGTTAAGGTTTTAAAGTTCATATTATACATATTTGTGCTAACTATAAAATAAAATGGATTCTGAATGATTTGAATAAAAATATGGATTAAATTATGAGTTCAGCACTGATGAGTAGATTGTTTTCCTTATCAAAAGACCTGGGGGCCTTTATTAGGGGAGGGGCGTTTATTAGGAGTTTTACGGTATGCTAACCAACCAGTTAGATATTATTTATATCTTATCTTACACTACAAGAAAAATTTTAATCAAAATGCATCAAATTAAAATATTGATATATTTATATAACATAGTACATTAAACTTGTTTTGGAGTGAAATATTTTTACATTCCACTTTTAAGCAATACAATTACATCATACAGCAGACTGTGATAATAAAAATGTTTTCACTTCTCTATTCATGTATGTGTTCTCCTATAAACATTGTAACATTAATTTTAGAGTTTCATCAATCAATTACATGTACATTATTTTTTTTTATCTTATTTATCACAGACTTAGGAATATAATAAGTGGCTACTTAAATTATCAAAAAATATTGCAAGAGGGTTGAATTCTAATATTAGTTTATTTCAATTCATATCTTTATTTTTAAATTATCCTTGACTGTAAATCTATTTAAACAAGACCCGTCTCAACAGTTTCTGAGAAAATGGGCCTAATATTTAAAAAGATAAAACAATGCCAACTTCAGGGTCATGACAAAAGCTCCACATTTTTTTCTTCGAAAAGTGGAGCTAAAAACATGTAAATAAAGATATCATAACATAGAAAACAATAACTTACCAGTATTGACCTGTGAACCATCACATACAACAATAATTCTTCCACATATATTAATGTCTGCCCACAAATGTAATGCCTTTGACAACTTGGACATTCCTCTGTTGTCATCCTCTAGTTCACAAATCACTTCCCATTGGATAAATATCACAGGTACTTCAAACTTAAAGTAAAAAATTCACAATATAATAATTAATATAAATATACAAATTCTACAAATCATAGATTTTTATACTTGCTAATCTTAATTCGTCTGCTTAGCTAAGCAGGGAAAGGATTTAATTTGAAATACAGGAATCGCTTGTTAAATCCTTGTGTAAGGTGAATTTTCTCCAAGACAAAATGACCTTGGATATAGAGTCTTATGGTCATTTTGTCTCTTACCACTAATTTAGATATCATGTGGGACTTGTTATGTAGTTGATCAATTATGGAGATATTGGTAATTACTGGTTAGTTATCCAGGAAACTGACTGTTGAGATATAACCAAACATTTGTCACAGTTTAGAACGGTTCACTATTTAGAGGAGATAGTGTGTAAGTGACTAATAGCTCAGTCAATAGAGCCGTGGTACAGTATTCCGAGGGTCCCGGGTTTGAGTCCAGATCAGGCTACACATTTTTCTCACCCTGTGACAAATGTGTTAAAATTAGAAAAAAAAAACACATAAACATACAAACTGAGTTGCTTTTTTGAAGAATCTGGCACGATTGCTTGTATGTAATATTTTTTAAAGAGTATTTATGATAATGTGGAAGATTGTAATAACAACAGTCCTTATGTAGCAGATTGCCTGTAATTTGGCTATTTTTCATGAAGCATTTGTGACAACCAGGCACATTTCACTGGAATGAGTACCAGTTATAATCTGGCTGATTTTGCTTGCAATTAGCTATCTTCTAAACTGTATTTACATGTATAATGATATTTAAAACTCCTTGCAATAATACATCTTTAAAGTGTATATCATAATAATAATGCTACTACTATAGGGTTCAGTGTACCATCATAATGTTGATCTTTGTCTAACATGATGTGAAATAATGAATTTTAAACAAGTTAAGGTTGTACCAGGATACTTTTCTGTATACTAACACCACATGATTTTGTTTGTTAGTTTGTCTGGCTTTTACCGTGATTTCAATAAGCCTTTAGTTTATATCTTGGTAGCTGATCCACCTAACTAGTTTACCTACACAACTAACCAGTAATTTAAATATTCTCCACAAGTGACAGACTTCTAATTCCACAGGATTTTTCAGAACCAGTGGTGTCAGACATAAACTTTTAGACAATCCTTTCTGAAATTTTAAACTAATATAAATTAAAATATTCATCTATTTAACTTACTTGTATTGAATAAATTCTACTGAGTAATTATTATAACTTCACAATTAACTTACTTTGTAGACAGACATAGTGTAAATTCCAGTATGCTTCTCAATAACTGTGCAGCCTTCAGATTCAGAAGGCCTCTCAACTGGAAAGTCAATTAAAAACAATTGGTTATCATAACATACTGTATTCCTAGAAATGTTCGCGGATACAATATTTCGCGTTTTTCACAACGTCGGCATTTTCGTGGAGACAAACTTTCGCGGATTTGTAGTAACCGTGAATTCCGCGAATATTAACTCGCTACGGCCTAAATTACAGCTTTTTTAGGCTACGGTATAAACCTACATGTATTTGATTTTCCATTTATGAATGTCACATAAATAATTCAGCAATTCATGCAATTCATGATTGACCTTAAAATCTATAAACTAGATCAAGTGTATTACTCAAAGGTAGCAGGAAATTTCCCGGTTTTGTTTTTTGTTTTTTTCCCCGGTCCAGACGTCTGGATTTATATAACGGTTATGTTGTGCTACTTTAACAGTATTGGACTGTACATCGCTTTCATTTTAACAATATAACAGATGTTTATCAATGTAGCTATTGTACTTTAAACAAAGGATTAAAACTTCTCCAAGCAAATAAAATCCAAGTCATTTAATGTACGCAAACTGTAAATGCTTTGTATACGCTGTGACTAGCAAATAATGTGAATAAGCGTGATAATTACTAATAATTGACATTTTTTCATGTTTTTTTTATGTGCATTATAGGTATATTGAAGTGTAAATATGGATTACAAGCTAAAACATGTGGTGGTTTAGTAAGGAGATGAACTTTACATAATTTTTACACATTTCTATAGCACCTGTGTTTATATGTTATGGTGTAAGTAGATTATAATAAATATTTGGAACGTTTATGTTTTTATTTGGTTGAAGCTAGAAATGTTCGCGGATTTGTTATAAGTGACATATTCGCGGCTATAAAGATTCGCGTAATCATGCCTACCGCGAAAAGCGCTAACTTAAAATGCGCGAAATCTTTTCTAGGAATACAGTAAACATATTCATGTTTATAAATTATCGTCCTATGCTAAATATCTATTCCTAAGACGTAAGATAATGTACACTAGAAATGCTGATGTCTTGTTAAACTTAGCAGACTAAAACCATACTGTTAGAACTATACTGTATATCACTCTGCAATACATAGACATGTCTTTTCCTTTACCAATCATTACGTTGGATTACCAATTCCTTATGAATATGTCTTTGGAATAGATATTTAGTATAGGACAATAATGTCATGCATCTCCAGCATATTTTCTGGGAAGTATGCATGAACTGGTTAATACAGAGACAGTATGAAAATAACAGGGCTCTGTTTTTTTTGTTGCTTTTCTTTTCACCCCGATATTAACATCTTTTCAACCATATCTCGGTGGTTAAGACTACTAACTAGCTTTCCTGTATAACTTATATCAAAAATTACCAATTCTAGGCTACAGCCTAACTATTTGGAAAACCAGTGTGTTTGCTAGGTTTCCTTTTAAAAATGATATTAAACTATGTACCTATACCATGCATGTACTTTATCTCCACGTCAGAATCTTTAGAGAACCACTTAGTTAGTCGGCTGTCGTTGACAGAAATCTCCGATGTACAGCCATCTCTTGTTTCAAAGACAGCAGACTCTGAAGCCAATCTTTGTTCCCGTGTCCAGAACAACTGCTCACAGCCATATTTGGGTAAAATACTGACGACTGCTATGGACATATGTTCACACTAAAATTGAAATAAATAATTAATGTGTCCAAATTGTTAATGCTGAGAATTATTTCACAGGTCTATTATGTTATGACTTCCTATTCTTTATCTTTCTCTGTCAATAAGACTTACTTATCCCAGATATCCATCAAATATATTTCTTATCAGTTTTCTCTAATGCAAGCACTTTCCCAAAATGTCACAATATAAGTCATCGTGATTAATTGAAAAAAAGCATCAAAGCAAGCTTGTAAATTATGCGTAATTACAACATTCAATACAACATTCTAATACAGGTCTTTTAGCTAGTTAGAAACCAGAATTCCAAGAAAAAGAAAATCTTTGTACTAGAGACTGACCTTTTTCTGTAGTAATTTGACATATGATAGCCTAGTCTTTTTACACTCATTGGAATCCACAATTGCAATCTTTTTTCCCTGAAAAGCAGTAGTTATTAGTGCACAAACTATCAACATTGTTTAAACATGATTCATTTTAAGCTAGATATTGAAGAAAATTTTGTGTTTACTGGAAATAACCAATACTGGCATCATATGAGAATACATCATACTATCTTGAATTTTTATCAAAATGTATGTTATAAATATTGGCTTCTCTGGTCTTATCATTGAAATGAATAGTTAGTTTAACCAAGAAAAGAGTCCCATAAATTAAGGACAAACCTCTTTCAAAAATTTAATAATCTGTAAACAAATATCCCTAAAACCAAGAGATGGATCCCTGGTAAACATTTTCGCAGGTTGTAGCACTTCATGAGTTTTTCTAAATTCTCGACAGTAGAATGTGTATTTCCCCTGCAAATATATTTATATATAATTTCAGATAATATTAAAAACAAAATATCATTAAAGAAAACAAGAGCTGTCATATTATATCCTCAGTTCAATGAAGTTAACAAAGTGGAATAGTTCAGAGAATATCCATGCTAGAGTTCTGGGTCTTGGTCAATGACCCACAATTATATGCAAAGGTATGAAAGTATACATTATGAAAAGGTAATGATAGTTTACATCAAAATTGTTTCTTCTAAAAGAAAATACTTCAACTGTATAACAAGATTTTATCATTATGTTTCATGTTAATGTACAAATCTGATCAATGACCTGCATTTCTGCAGTTCAGTTAATTCATAATATTTTATATAAAAATTTGATCATTTATAGAGGAAATAAATTATACATAGCTTCACTGTCAAGCTGCAGTAAGAGATAATTATCTCATAAGCATATGTTAGTGTTCTGATACTTAAATAATAAATTGTGTTGTTTTTCTTTCAGGAAATCATGATCATCCTCTTGTTACCCCCTCAATACAATAGAATAAGGATTAGTTACATATATTGTTGTATATAATTATGTAAAAGTTTGAACAAACCCTCCAGCTACATGTATAACTAAGAAAGAATCATTTAACATTTAGCATAAGAGAAAAAAACAGGATAACACCCAAGATGTGTAAACTCTGTCTAAGTGAGTACCTTCATTTGATATATTCAGCAATAATTTAATTATTTTTAATATTAGGTAAATTCATTCCATGTGTAAATTGATATTCATGTAATCTACAGGGCTCTAGCTAGACCAAAATTTTAGGGAGAAGTGACTTCTCCCTCAGCTCCTATCAGGGAGAAGTTTGACAACATAAGGAGAAGTGAAAAAGTGCTTAGTACATTGATTTGATCTATAAAAAGGAGTTTTACCTATTTATTGATAGTGATATTTGAAGTATAAGTTCTAAAACCCTCTTTCATCAGACCATTATAATGTTTTCTTCCTGATGAACTCCACACACCCCCCTCCCTTAAGAAATTATTCATTGTACAACACATACTGGCAAAATTCTCAATGAAAATTAATGTTAACGATACCATAAGGAACTTTCTTTAATAAACTACATTTTAAGTGTTATTGGACAATTTTTAACAAAACAAATTTTCCTTTTGGTAACTAGATTATTTTCATCGTAAAAATCGGCATCACGACAAATGAAAATTTGTCTGTTACCTGCAGAAACACTTACAATTCTAGTTGTTGTTGATTTTGATTATATTTAATTAAATATTCAATGATTATTTTTAGATTGTTATTCATCCGCAATTGCAACAGGCATTGTAAAACAAAATTTTCAAATTTGTAGTTTACCGCATAATTTACCGACGTTTATGTAACTTTTTAAAGACAAAGTTTATCTACTACTGTTTTTGACTTGTCCAAAATTGGTCTAATGTGGGTCAATGTTTTTTAAGTTCTTTTACAAATTTCATTTTTACTATCAAACAGGGGTCAAACCATTTACTTGTGCTTCTGTGTGTATTAATTTATATGCAAGTAAATTTACACGGTCTGAGTGAGGTTGCGTGTAATTACTGTCAAATATGGTAAGAGCAATTCCGGGTGTAATCTTTTTACACTCGGCAGGTGTCATAAAATTATGCCTAAAAAATGTCATGTTTACATCGGCGAATTTCCGATGCATCTGCATATCATGTCACTTAAATGTGTTAATTGATGTCAATTATCGGCAGTAACTGCATGTGCGTCACCAATTCAGTTTGATTTATGCCTGGAGGCGAGGATTAACTTAATTACATGCACTGTATGATATATATGTACATGTGGTCAGTAAAAAAAATGCGGCGAAATCGTTTTCGCTTTGATGTTCAAACTCGGCGAAGTTCTGACACTTTAGGCGACTAAGTCGCCGAAATCGCCCAGTTGCTAGAGCCCTGATCTATGTATATGTGAAAAGAAAAAGTAATTATGCTTGAATTACTAACTTGGCAAATGTTACAAAACTTGCCACATACTTTAATATAAAGCAAGTAGGCAAGGCTCATTTCCCCATATATAATAATATCAAAAATATTTAATATTAAATGAAATAATGTATTGATACTAATTCATTAATTTTGCCTATTTCACAATACTATATGTTTTTAAATCAATCAAAATTTTGCTCTGATGAAATAAACTTGATTTAACCTAGTGAAAAAACCAATGAAATTCCAGCAGATTATATAAAGACCCAACTGGAACTGGAATCAAAAATCCCAGTACAGGTGTAATTCCAGTTTAATTTGAATATAAATACTATTCCAGCTAGAATTGTAATTTGAATAAAATTATTATGATGTTATTAGTATTTTCATGAAATACATTGTCTTTTTGCATCAGAGTCGACATGATCGGAGTAGAAATGATTATCAAACTCAAAGTACAATTTCGTATATCTTTTATATTTTTCTGTCAGTCAATAATCGATATAGATTTGAAAAATATTGAAAATTTTGACTCACTAAAAAGATTTCAAAATTATGAAAACCCAAAACATATATAAATGCAGGTGCCAAACATGTCTAAAACCATAACCGTCATTATGTAACTAATGGAAATATTTCATTGCAGTGATAACAAAATATGGTCAGAAAAAAAACATGTATACTCAACATCACTAATTCCGCGTCATCACTTATCTCACGGTAATGGCATATTTTCATGTGACCAGTGTTAAAATTGGTCAGAATTGACATATTTTATTAAAACACCTTAACAACAAAGCTTTTGTGCAAAATAATTTAAATCTATAGATTTTTACGTAAAACTGAACAACATTTTCAAACTTCTGCAAAAAACAACAATAGTCCATTAAATTTGTGCATACGTCTGAAACAATCATCATTTTCTAAATGTTTTTGTTTGTTGAAAGAAAAAAATTTGAGTTACAATGTAAAAATTCTTTTATTATTTAAAATTATGCAAAATAACATAATTTTTTTTTAACTGAAACATGAAAAAACTGAAATAAAACACCATTACCGCGAGTTAAATGATGACATACTGTTTTCAAAATGGCTGACACACGGTCTACATCTGACAAATTAAAACTTATTTTGATTGAATATATTGTTTTTTCCTTGTGTCATATAGCAGAAAAATGACTAAATGATTTAGTTTTTGACAGTTTTTGTAGTGTAAGTTTATTGTTTGTGTTCTTTACTGTTTTAAAGTGTTAAGTACCGTGAGCTAAGAGGAGCACAGTATAATGGACATGTGCAAACTAAACACATCAAAATTGTTTAGCAGTCAGAACATATTTTTACTGCCATCATTAAAGCTGGTATGAAAGTGAAATAAGACGAGTATTTGAAATTACAGTGGTATACTGGTTATTGCAATATCTTTTCTCGATATAAAATATCAATTGACCTTTTCGAAAACCTAGCTAAACACCGTTTTCCGGTACGTTACCGATTTAGCTCTAATGAAGTACATAACACAGTTACATGATATTTCTATTTTTTTATCATTATTTTACCGTTTAAGTTAAAAAAAATGATTTATTTGAAAACTATCAATATTCCTTTGATATCTATTGCAAATTTTTCAAAAAATAAATTGTTTATAATGAAAATCAATAAAATTAAAACAGACGTAGTGGAATCTTCCATAATAAATAAGGTTATTTTTTGCGTAAACTTGTGGAATTACTTTATTTTTTTGTATGGAATTATTCATACAATGATATTTAATTATTTTCTTATAAAGAAATAACTGTTTTATTTCAATTTAATTTTCGAAAACATCGAGTTAGCTATTACACTCCATTAGGTGAATTCCCCAGAGCTATGTACAGAAAGTACCGGAAAACGGCATTTAGCTAGGTTTTCGAATTCGAAAAATTTGAAAAACTGTATATATACCATATGGCCTTTCAGATGTAGTCATTATCTTAAAACAATATTATATATGGAAAAATAAATACAACAACAAAAATCAAAACAAATCAAAATGAAAACAAAAGTAGTTAGTGTATTGATAGAAGTTCCGATTATAGACTGGTTTCTGATTGTATAGTGACATAGTATAATCTTCAATGTTGTGAAGTTTTATACTTGATTTGATTATGAATACGAATGGTTATCTTTTTGATGCATTCAAATAACTGAATAATACATATATGTATAATGTTTTAACCAAAGCTAGTTATCATATTCATTCCTTTTTTAAAAAACTGATATATCTGACTGTAAGAATGTGCCAAGACATAAAAGAAAAGCAAATAGATAATTTACATAATTTCAAGAAGTACATTCTTTCACTAGTCCTTCATTGACAGACATCGCATTTTCTTTTTTTTACAGTTTGACGTTTATCATAAAGCGGATTTGACCCATGTAAAAAATAGCTTCAAATTCGCGGTTACGTCTAAATATTTGGAATAATTCTTTCACGTGGTAATTGCATATTAGCCATTTCCAGGATTTTTGTGTGTTTGGTTAGACCTTAAACAAAGCCTTGAAATCAGGATGTCTGTGTTCAGACGCCAGTTAGAAACTGTGGACAATTTTTCAAACGGCGAATAGTTTTGGGTCGAAAAGACAGTGGGCCGAATTATTACCATTCGCGAAAACCTGTGACCTTTGGATTAATTTTCATACATTCAACACACATTTTTTCTATCCCTGTCAATAAATGTATAAAAACAAATCATTAGCATTGTATAATTTCAATTAAGTGATTCGATGCATATTTACTACAAAATCTGGACCATGAAATATGAACACTTCATTTTTGTCCATTTTTCATTTCATATAGTCGCTTACATCTAAAATAAAAAATTTCAAACAATGATATAGTATGGCATTGAAGACAGATGGCATGACAGCAGTAATATATTATATGTTTTATAAAATCATATTTAGGCTATCATATTTGATTGTATATTTTACTTGATAAAATTTAAAATGGTTTTACCAAGTTGGCATTTAAATTTTTTGAATGTTCAAGCGACGTCACTACTGTACTGAGTAGCGCTCTTTTGATTTTCAAAGAAAGTTGTGAGTAAAAATGTAAGCCACTCATTTGGTAAAACCATAAAATTCCTCTCATAGACTAGTTTGCAAGCTCTCCAGTTTCATGAATAGAGATAAACTACCTGCTTCATTATTATTTTTTTTTTTGCAGAAGATCTCGGTACAAGTCAATCCGGCCTCTTAGTCAATCCGGCCCCAAATAAGTCAATCCGGCCCCAAATAAGTCAATCCGGCCCCAAATAAGTCAATCCGGCCCCAAGTCAAACTGCTTTCTTGTCAGCACTTGCTTTCTGAAAAATTTCAGGGGAGCAGAGGTGTACTGGTAAGAAATCCAGGAAATCCTCGCATGTATCAGTGCTATACACTGGGCATGTAAAAGAACCAAGGGGTCTATTCAATAAGAGCTAGGGACTGGTTCCCGGATTCCCTTGTATCTTAAAGCTGTTTCTTAAATGTATACAATGTATACCTGCCTGTAACACTCGTAAGAGGGGTTGGCAGTATCCATAGTCCAATATATTAGACGTTACAGGCTTGTTATAGTTTATGTCGGTCAAGCCTGACGTCTAATAGGTATTGCTCAAAAACGCATAGCATCATAAAAAAATCAAAAAATGTCTTTTGTCTTGCCTTTCAAGCTTTATTCAAAAGCTTATCTTCTTTTCTTTCAAGTTCATGCTCAATCATACACAAAAACTCTCAAACAATGTACTTATCAATTTAAAATAAAATATAAACATCAATCTATTTTTGTCTATCGGCCATACTGGTTAAGCAAGGTGCTTTACAGATTGATTCCAAATTTTTGAACGGAAAAATATATTCGAACACACTGACGGTGCATGGGCAATTATTTCGTTAAAAAAATATTCCGTTAGATTGTTCTGACTCAGTTAAACGCTTGCATTTGAATTAGCCAATCAGGTTTCGCGCACCTTATGGCCGCCATTAGTTTATCGGCTGTAAAAAGAATTGAAATACATGAGAGGATTTAATCATGATTTTTCGGATGTGACAGTTTAATTATTTTGACAAAAGGTATTTATTTTTTAGTTTTGTTCATAAATTTGTCAAAACTTATGTAAATACACGCTGTCTTCATTGTTTTTCGTTCCGCCCGATTTTCTGGCGGAACATGCTATGGGTTTTTGAGCAATTTCGATATGACGTTGCTTTGCCCAGAAGCAGAAATATCTCAAAGCGACGTCATATTTATAGGACTAGCAGTATCCAGAGATAGATAGATAGATAGATAGATAGGTTGTCCGTTCAAAATTCCTGTCGGGGGCCCATAACTTTGTTATTTGAACTTAATTGAAGTCGGATTTTACAACTATTTCACAGAAATGATCACCATATTGAGACGACATGTCGCAAGCAACATTTGGGTCGTTACCTTGAAGGTCAAGGTCACAGCATGACCATGCAGCAAAATGGTGTCCGTCCCATAACCTTGTTATTTGAAGTCGGATTTTACAACTATTTCACAGAAATGATCACTATATTGAGACGACATGTCGCAAGCAACATTAGGGTCGCAGTCTTCGCCTTAACATTTTATCAGCACTAGCCCGGTCGGGCTAGCAGCTTACAAATTTCACTAGCCCGAACACATTTTAACTAGCCCGAACCAAAATGGTATTTTTTGCATACATTTTGTACAAAAATAACACTTTCTATATGTTTTATATACCATTTAACATTATTAAAATATCAACTTATCAACTTTTCTTCCTTTCATTATTTAAATAAGAAGAGTTTAAACTATATATGAAAAGGAGATATTTTGATATTTCTGTGGCATTGTCCACAGACACTGAAAAAAAATGTTTAAAAACTGAAAATACTCTTCTCCTTGTTTACTGTAACCATGTCGGCTGATACATGCATTGACAACATATTTATATTCCTTTTCGTATTACTTTTATTTTTTTTGGTGTGTTCCTTTTTGGCTTAGTGCCTTCAAAATACAAGGGAAAAGACATATTGTGAAGCATGAGATGACACCTAATAAATGTCTAACAATCAATAATATTTCATAAGCGTTTTAAGTTCAATAAAGCTGCTAATAATTTTTAGGGCCAAGGTGGTTTACCCATCAAAATCTAGAGTAAAATGAAAATTCTGGGATAAAATTTATAAAAAGAATTTGCATTGTTTTGTTATCAAATTTCACTGCCTTCTAAAAAGTTCCTTTCTTTACATAAATCAGACTGACTTATATTATATAATAAAATTTTGATTCAATGTGAAATAATACAAAACTTGCTCTGTTAAGGCAGGCTTCCCTAGACTAGGGTTTGTTTAGGTTACACAGCAAATTAATGACAAGACTCATTTTTTTGTTGCTGACATGTTGTTGTTTGAATGTGTCACATTCTTTTACAATCAGCTACATGGTCAGCATGAGGCTTTATTCATACTCTATTTCTACAGACCACATATTAGTGCTGTTCTTTGGTTTTGATTATATATAATTGAAATTAGAATTAATGAAAACTAAATATAATAGAATTAAAACTTTTACACAAAAAGAAATAGTCTTTGAGGAAATTGTCCTTATCTGTAAACTTGGTACGAAAATATTGAGTACAAAACTGCAGATGGCAAGGGAGAAATATGTTTTCCAATATTAACTAAAGTGGCAAGTACAACATTTTTCTTTATTTTGTAGCAAAAACATTATAATATATGTCTAAACAAATTGAATATTAGGTTAAGTCCTATGCTGATTACACCAAATTTAACTTTATCAATAATTTCATTTCAGAAACTCCCAAGAGTTACCTTCCCTTTTTACTCGATGTCACTTCCTGCTACTTTCGTTTTCAACTTGCAGCAGTGTTGACAATATAATTTAGTACTTTTAGTTTTCCATCCAATTCAGCAGAAATATTTTGTATTTTCATAAAGCCAAAACATTGCTATCTGGAGCTCTGCATATTTCTAACATTTTCTTAATTTGGATATGAAAAAAGCCCTCGACCAGACGGGCTACCAGCTTGGAATTTTCACTCGACCACCCGCAAATTTACTCGACTCGGTCGTCGGTCGAGTGGGTTAAGTCGAAGACTGGGGTCGCTACCTTAAGGTCAAGGTCACAGCATGACCATGCAGCAAAATCGTGTCCGGCCCATAATTTTGTTATTTGAAGTCTGATTTTAAAACTTTTTCACAGAAATGATCACCATATTGAGACAACTTGTGGCGCACATTTTGGTCGCTACCTTGAAGGTCAAGGTCAAAGCATGACCTTGCAGCAAAATCGTGTCCGGCCCATAACTTTGTTTTTGAAGTCGGATTTTTAAACTATTTCACAGAAATGATCACCATATTGAGAGGACATGTCGCGCACAACATTTTGGTCGCTACCTTGAAGGTCAAGGTCACAGCATGACCTTGCAGCAAAATGGTGTCCGGCCCATAACTTTGTTTTTTGAAGTCAGATTTTAAAACTATTTCACAGAAATGATCACCATATTGAGAGGCCGTGTCGTGCACAACATTTGGGTTGCTATCTTGAAGGTCAAGGTCACAGCATGACCTTGCAGCAAAATCATGTCCGCCCATAACTTCATTTATTGAAGTTGGATTTTACAACTATTTCCACAGAAATGATCACCATATTAAAACAACATGTCACATGCAACATTTGGGTCTCTACCTTGAAGGTCAAGGTCACAGCATGACGTTGAAGAAAAATCGTGTCCGGTCCGTAACTTCGTTATTTGATGTGGGATTTACAAATTTTTCACAGAAATGATCACCATCTGAGACGACGTGTCGCGTGCAACATTTGGGTCGCTTCCTTGAAAATCAAGGTCACAGCATGACCTTGCAGCAAAATCATGTCCGGCCCATAACTTCATTATTTGAAGTCGGATTTTATAACTTTTTTTACAGAAATGATCACCATATTGAGACGATGTGTTGCTTGCAACATTTTGGTCGCTACCTTGAAGGTCAAGGTCACAGCATTACCTTGAAGTAAAGTTGTGTCCGGCCCATAACTTCTTTATTTGAAATCGGATTTTACAACTATTTGTAAGTGCAGTGCAAAGAACAGTAACTTTGCATTGCCTAAGTTTGTAATTACCACA